TTTTGACCTCAACTATTTATTTTATTACAATTTTTTTAAGGACCTTTCCTATTAAGAGAGGCGATAACATACTAAACTCGCACACATTACGAATACACCGATTCAAACTCAAGGCCTTTCATGAAGAAGTATTTGCTCCAAACCACTACACTAATGTGCCGTTTTTGCGTCAGCTATATTTGAATGGAAACTAAAAGTATAGAAATTTTTTTTTTCGGGGTAAAAAATGATCGGATTATGAAACTACACTTTGTGATGGGCTCAAAAACATGATTTGCACCATATCAAGTTGCGTAGTTCTACCATCACGAGAGGCCCAACAAAACCAAAATAAAAACTCAAAAGTAAAATCCCGAAATGCGAGTTTGAATCGAATGCAATGTATTGGACATCTGTCCCAAAGTTTATTGTAGTTGATCCAAAGTTGATCCAACGTTCTCCTTTTTTTTTAAACAAAATCAACCATGCCATAAATACCGTTGAGGAAAAAAATTTGAAAACAACCTTTCCGTGTCTCCATTTTGACCTTTCCAAGACATAGAGACAAATTTGATGTGACAACTTAGAGCATCGAGGACAAATCTCATACTGCCACGTATAAAGTCATATTTACTGCCCTCCAGTGCTCCTCTTCTCGAACCACTCCTCGATGCCCCCCAAAGCCAAGCACAGACTTGCTCAATCTGTGAAAAAGAGGGAGAAAGATATGGGTAGGAGAGCTGCTTCAAGGAACGAAGAAATGGCTCACATGGTAAATTCTCTCTTACCCCCCCCCCCAAAAAAAAAAAAAAAAAAAAAAAAAAAAAAAAAAAAAAAAAATCACCCTTTATTTTTGTTTTTGTGTTTAAACCCATACTACATTTTTGTTCTGCATCCTCTGTATTTTTTCAAGCGGTCTTGACTATTTTGTTGGTATGGCTTAGTTGTTTTACTTCACCTGTCTTTGTGAAATGTCATGTTTTAGTTGTAAAATTTAATTATTTTTTCTTTGTTTTCCTCATGGGGAGTGTTCATGGTGGCTAGCATTATATGGTTATTTTATTTTTTATTGCAGTAATTTTTATATTTGCAATTGTAAATGCAATTTGGTGCTCTCTGGCTGAGGCATTGTCAAGGTACTTAGCAACTGTGTGAAAGGGTAATGGAAATCTTGTATTTAATTGAAGTTCTTGTTTTGAAAAATAAAATCTGTTTTCCTCAGTTTGTGTAATATTTTACAAGATCCGCTGTGTATATAAAATCATTGATCGTTGTGAAGCTTCTGCTTCTGCTTTTGCATGCGTGGATGTGGCGTGCTTTTGTGGCTTTATATTTGATACATTTGCTGTTGCATTTATTGTTTGCCTTTGCTTTGATCAGAAATGTTACCTTCAATGAAAGTGGCTTTTATTATTTGGAGTAGACAGTGAAATAGATTGAACATTTTTGGCTGAAATTCTACATTTTAGTTCATTTTACTAATTATTGATCATGGTGTTCAAATCAAAGCCTCAAGGCACAAATCCCTCATCTGAAAGAGTGGAACCGCAGCCTGAAGCTCCACGTTTGGAGATGATAGAGCAAACTAATTCAAAGCTTCCTGAAGCTCCACGTTTGGAGATGATACAGCAAACAAACTCAAAGCTTCCAATTGAAGAACAAGGTACCAAAACATCTAGGAAAAGGCCAAAGTGCTCTGGTGCTGTTGTTAGGCGATCTTTACGTATCCAAGATAGTATTGTGCCTACTGAAAATCAGAATATGGAGCATGTGATTGAAGATACAACCGTTAGCGAAGGAGAAAATGAAGATGAGCAGCCTGCTCATAAAATGCACGGGTCAACCTCAGGGGAGAAAAGCTTGGAAGAAAAAGTTAACTATCTTGTACAACTATTGGATACAATGAACTCAAAGGTAATGCATTCTTCCAGGGAGAGAATTAGCTTTTGGGTGTAGTTAGTTCTATCCAGTTGCATTACTTATTTGAAGCCTTTTTTTAATGTTCTTTTACGGTTGGTTGTGAAATCAGGCAAGGAATAAAAACTCTGGCTTCTGCGAAAGTCCAGCTTCAATGTACAAAAGCTTGTATGCAGATTCCCAAAAGGTTATTCTCATTAATATATGTACTATCATGTTTTTTCATCTGTCTAATCTGCAAGGTTTATATTATTTCCTTTTATATGCAGATTAAGGCGTTAGAAACTGAAAACCATCAACTTTCTTTGAAGTTGGAAGTTGCTCTTGCCAAACTTGAAGCAGTATGTCAATTAACTTTGCTATCTTGAGCTTGTATCTATAACAATAGACATTATTTTCCAGTTTAAATTTATGTGTGCATCCCTGCTTTCTTTCTATTTGTCGGCCATTATGGATTTGTTGTCAGTTTTCATATTAATCTATTAAGTTTGCATCATACAAGTAGGATTAACAAATTGTAGTTTACTAAACTACATATATTCTGTAATCCAAAAAAAGTAAGTAAAAATATGATAAAATAAAGGAGAGTTTTGTTCTTGACCGAAAAAAAAAAAGAGTTTTGTTATGTTCTTTGCATTATAGACCTTTGTATTTTTCCCCGAAGTAGTGGGGTGATCTGACTCTTTGCATGCTTTGGTTGGTGTAGTATGAGAACGGGACTCGTGCTTTCTCTGAAATGGCTGATAAATTGAAGGATTTGATTTTAGTCTCAAATTTGGCAAAAGCTACTGAAACTGCAGTAAATTTGTCATCTCAAACAGCACGTGGAGCTTGTTCTCGAAAAAAAAAACCAGCACGTGGAGTTGTTGCTCCTCAGGAGGACGTGCTCTCACATTTAATTAATCCAAAAGGGCCAACTGTTGAAGGACCAAAAATTGCTGCTAAGAGAAAGAAATAAGAACATGAAGGAAATGGAAGGTACTGCTGAAGTTCACCAATTAATGTGATTAGTTTAACTAGTCTTTGTAAAAAAGGGAAACCTGTTGGTACTTTGTTTTATTTTTCTTGAAACTGAGGGAATGTTTTATGGAAAACTTATGTGTAATATGTACATTTGGTTTGTGCATCGTAGACTTCAGTGTCAATGTGATGTATGTTCGTTTGAACCCTAACTATGAGCTTGTATAATGCTTATTTATTCTTCAATCATCTATTTTTTTTCATAGTTTCTTCTATGAGATTGACAATGTAGTGTGCAAAAAAAGGTCAATTTATCTTTCATTTGCAATATGCAATGGGGGAGACAATTTTCCTCTGCTCCCTATAGATATTTTATTGTTTATCAATCTTTTCTACAAGCTGGGTTTTGCTGATTGGATGGTTAAGGTCTTTAGTTGTCATGAAATGTTACAGAAGAAAATTAGTCTAGGCATTCATGGTATGCTTAATATAAATGTCAAGTATTGTTAGAGTTCAATAAGCTGTGTTTTGTGTTCAATGCTAAGAGTCAGAACGTACTGATGAAGTTTTCCAGCTAATCAAATTGGTTTAGCCAGACTTCTGTAGCAAAGGAAACATGTTGGAAACTGTGCTTTATTTTGTTAGCCATTGAGGGATTGTTCACGTCTATTTGTATGTTTAGTATGTTCACTTTAGATTTTGATATCAATGTGATGTGTCTTTATTTGAAGTAAGCTGTTTAGATGTTCCTCATGTCACATACTAATAATTCTCATATTGCTCGATTGAGCATGTTTAACTATGCCAAATTAAGAAAGGGGCAATTTCCTATTTCTCTTCAATCTCATTTGTAAGCTGATTGTTCTTGATTGAATGGTTAAGGTAACTTGAATGCTTTACAAGGGAATTGGTCAACTGAGAATCTGAGATGTTATGCGTTTCATACTAAAAATTCTCATATGCTTGTCGTTGATACATGTTTTGCATTTCATATTGAGAACTGTGATCATCTTTGGTTCTATATATATATAGGTTATTTATATATGCATCCAATTAGTTAATATTTAATTATTGCAACTGTTTATAATGTTCATCCTAGTTGGCCTCACAGGCTTTTGATATGTGAATTGCTTTAGCCTGCAAATTGTCACATGGATTGAGTGATGATGGTTCCTATGATTGTGTGGTTAGTTGATAAAGCATGAAAAAATTGCTAGGCATCAGATTCACTGATGAATGATGTAATTTTTTTTTAAAGTATAAGTGATAGTGTAAATTACCGGGAAGGAGTTTCTCACACACACAACCAAGATGTCATGGGAGTTCAAACCTGATACCTATGGTGTGCAAGTTAATGACCTTTTTTACTAAACTAGACCCCGTTGGCCATGAAAAATGTTTTATTCTTGGGAACAATAGTTAATTCTAAACCCAGATGAAAGAGTATGCAAAACCAGGCTGCACTTTGGTTTTTTTTAGTCTTTTTTTGGTGGGTAGCTAGCTAGCAGGTCTATTGTCTGGGCCTGTGTAAAATGTGGATGGAATATGGAGACAATAACACATTCTGGATTTAGTTCTATGTTTACACCAAACAGTAGAATCTTTGTAGGACACAATTTCATATCTCTGCAGAAGAAAACATTTAAAATTTGGTTTGCACTAGACTTTTCCTGTTATTCTTCTGAAAGTTGAAATCAAACCAACTAATTAAAAGAAAGAACTTGTGTGCTGATAATAATGTTGTGATAATTACAAGAGGTGAATTCTTTTCTTTTTGTTTTTAGAAATGTAAAATAATAATAATAATGTCTGGCATGTTTAAAGCTCATAAGCTCCCAAACAAGAAGTAACAAAAACAAGATTTACAATTGTCAGAAACCTGTATTTAATTGGCTCCTTGAGTCTTAGTATATCATTATATTCGTCTTCTGCATGTTTAATTTGACCACTCGAATCTAGTTCATCACGCCATGAAGTCATTTTTCTTCATGAGATTCATCGACCTTCATTGGAGTTTCCATCCAGAATTCCAAAATCATCTCACGTCAGAACCCATCACCATCACAAATCCAAAAATCCACCAGTTCTGAGCGTCGTCATAATGTCATAATGTCATAATATCATCAGACCAGCTCTGAAACACAATGGCAAGCCCTTCAATAATCTCCCGCTCTTCCTCCTTCCCACGCCTCAACAAAACCTGGCCTTCTCAGTACACTCTCCCGGAAGACCTCCCTCTTGCAAACCTGTCTGCATGCTCAGCTTCCACGTCGAAAATCGCGAGTGTCAAGCTCTCTTGGGGCAGGAAAATAAGAAGACTTATTGGGAGGAGGGGGAATTCGAATTGACAGAGCAAAGCCTCGAGGTTCACAATAAGACACTAGTTGGGGAAAATGTGGTCAACCATCACAAGAGGGTAGGGCAAATTAGTCTGAACGACTATCACAAGGATGAGATTGATGATGAAAGAAGCTCCAAGTATAGTCCCTATTACATCAGGGGACTGACGTATCCGAGCATCATTGTCCCTAAGCATCCAATTGCTAATACTCCCGGGCACGAAAGCAACAACTCTGCTGTTACTTGGACCTCAATCTCCACCTTCTTTTCAGGATTCAAAGTGCGAGAGTGGAGCTCTTGCCTTGGTTCTAGAACCAAGGAGTACAAAAAGAAACTTCAGCCTGAAATGTACACCGCGATCAAACCCTCCACGCGTTCAACAGTTAATGCTTCACCGAAGAATTCAGAGACGTCTTTGGTGGAGGAGAGCATAGAGAGGAAGGAGGTCATGAAGAGTAGCAAAGAATATAACAAGGAGAAGCCATTGAGGGAGAGAGTTAGAGCAGCAGCTAGACCAAAAAACGAAATAAACGTGATGAATGAAGCTCAGAAGGAGTATGCGTGGGCAGACAAATACCAACCTCTGTGCTTAGAAGATTTCATATGCAATAAAGACAAAGCAACTCAGCTGCAGGCTTTGGTATGCATAAACAGCACACATCAAGTACTCTGATTCTTTTTTATGTACTTTCTTTTTTCTGTGTATGATATACTAATTTATGCATTCAAAATAAAAATACAGGCCAGAGGAGGAGCATGTGGGCATTTCATCTTTGAAGGACCACCGGGCGTGGGGAAGAGAACGATGATCTGGGCTATGCTTCGCGAGGCGTTTGGACGTGACACAATACATGTAAGTATCATGATAAGATTCACTATATTCCTCTTAATTTATTTAAAATTTGTATTAATGTTATTATATTTTTCCATGTTCTTTGAAATTCTCAGGCCAGGGAGGAATTCAAGGCATTTAACTTGAAGGTAGTTTAGTTTCAAGTTGCTTTATTTATTAATTGATTTCAGAACATTGAACAATTAATCATAGTACACACTTAATCAAGCTTCCTACTTAATGTCTATTCAATCACCCTATTACAAAATTTACACCACAATTATGATCTTAATATCTTACGAAATCTATTTGCTGCATGATATAATCATATAACACTCGTTGACCTTTTACTCAATTTTACTTTGATTTCATAGGGTGAAATGGTTGGTAGTATAGAAGTACATGTAAAGCAATCCCCTCAACATGTAGAAGTGAATCTTTCTGAACTGAAGGGCTATGAGAAGCATGTGATTGTTGAACTCATGAGGGAAACACAGGACAAGACGACCAACAAAGCTTTGCCCTGCGGCCTCGACAACTGTCGAGGTATATACATATATATTTGGATCACCTGTATAAAGGGGAAAAAAAAACACACACACACACAGAGAAAGTTGATCTAGTTCTGAAATTAAGGCATAGTACATGAAATTAATGAATCCTTGATTGCCTATTATTATCTTTCTGCAGCAATAATCTTATATGAGGCAGACAAGCTATCTACAGATGCCCTACTTTATATAAAGTGGCTATTAGAAAGGTATAAAGGGTGTAATAAGGTCTTCTTCTGCTGCTCTGATGTCTCAAAGCTTCAGGCAATCAAATCACTTTGCACTGTCGTTGAGCTTTTACCACCTTCAAAGACTGAGGTGAGGAACTAACATTTTTGTTTTTTTCGGCTTCTTTGAAAAAGAGTTTGATTATAAGCTTCTTGTCTGCATTTTCAGACTGTTGCAGTTTTAAAGTTCATAGCTAAGCAAGAAGGCATAAATTTGCCAGATGAATTGGCTGAAAGGTTTGCTGAAAATTCTAAGAACAATTTCTGTCTAGCCATTCGTTCATTCGAGGCTACTTGGAAGAAATGGTAATTAAGAAAACAAAAGTTGTTTTTGTTTTCGATTTGTTTAGTTATCTGTTTTTCTAATTTCCAGTTAAGTATACTACCATATCCTTGTACTAATCTACGCATGATTGGTGGTGTGCTCTGCAATGGTGTACATGCAGCTATCCTTTCAAAGAAAATCAAGTCATTTTGACAGGTTGGGAAGATAATATTGCAGATATTGCCAAGAATATGATCGAGGAGCAAAGCCCAAAACAGTATGCTCTTTCGACTAGTTGAATGCCTATTTTATTTGTTATATAAATTCAATATGTAGTGAGGGCCGGTACTATACTAGGTTATTGTAGGTTAGAAGCTAATTGTCTGAGGTAGAAATTATTGTATGAGCCGGTTATATATAACCTCAGTGTCACAATATGTATTGAATCTTGCGTGCATGTTGTGAGACGGAGGTACAGAGATTCTTCGCTGTGAATGGAGCTTAGCCTAATTTCTTTATAATAAGCTTAGAGTTGTGATTAACATTTGCAATTTGGGATTCAATTGTCACCTACAAAGGAAAAATTGAAATTGTTCCATATCATTTGGCAGGCTATATATAATCCGTGGAAAGCTTCAAAATCTTATAGTGCATGGCGTATGCCCCGAATTCATTTTCCAAGTAAGCATTTTGTTTCTCTTCTTATTGGTGGCATGCTTCTAACTGAAGTAATAGGTACAATATATATATACCAGTTAGTAAAACATACAGCGCTGACCGCTCATTTGGCCACACTGTATGCAGTCCCTGGTAGCAGAGCTGAAGAAGTATTTGGATGATAGTTTGCAGGATCGAATTGAGAGCATGTACGATGAATACAACGTATGAATACAAACCTTGTAGGCCAAGTTGTTTTTTTTTTTTTTTTTTTTGTTTTTTTTTTTTTTGTTTTGAATAATTTGAGTAATAATTCTCTTGTATCATGCAGAGGAATGACGAAAATATGTTTGAGAGTGACAAATATGATCATGAGGAAATGAGTAAAAGGCTTAACGATCATTCCAGAAAGACTATTAAGCAGTTCTTGAGGATTGAAGGTAAAACAACTTGTTTTGTGTTAGATATATAAATGCATTATGCATGTGGGAAACACTCTCTGCCCAGACAGTCTGACAAAGTAAGATGCTAGATTGTTCTGTATTTAGACTATCGATCACGTCGATGTCTGAATACGTGGTCTAGAATCGGTCTGTCAACAAAAGAATGTAGCTGTATCACAGTTAATTCTTATACCTAACGTAAGTTTTTTTTTCTCTCCCAGAGTTTATAGCTAAATTCATGAGCTGCTATAAGGGTTGCACGCATACGAAATCTTTGCCCCATGACGGTCTGACATAAGGAGACTTCTTATTGGTCGGGCAAACAAACTCCCAGAAGGAATCATGCATCCTAAGATTTCCTCTTGGGAGCCTTTTTCTTATTACCAATGAGGAGACTTCTTATTGGTTGGCTTCAAACTACTTATCGAGTAGTGTTACAATTAATAAGGTGATGCGACGAAAAGTTTGTCATGAACATTTTGATGAGAGTAAAAACGGTGCTATTTCCTGTATGATGTAAATTGATAAGACGTGGTTTTGTTTTAAGCAATGTATATTACCAGTTATATGCTCAACAAAGAGGACTTGGAAATTTTCTTTCCTTCTTTTTTCTTCTTTTTTTTTTTTTTTTTTTCCTTCCTTTGTTTTTTTTTTTTTTTTTTTTTCTAAAAAAGGTTAATCTTTAACAAAAGGGCCTTTGCTTTGTAAATTACAAAATTAAAAACCTACAAATAGCTAAAAGGCAACTCATGAGGAAATCCCGAAAATTCAAAATCCTCTGAGATTAATGTAGACTAAGAGGTGAGCAGAAAAATTGGCCTCTGAAAATATACATGTTTGAGATGAACTAGTATTAATTTGCATACCTCAATTTGGGAGGCAGTCCAATGTAAATCATCTAAGTACAGTACCTCGTCAAAATCTGGACAATGTTACTGATCGAAATCATAAAGAATACAGTCAATTTTGTGGCATGGCCAGCGAGCCTATTGATAATTGTTTAAGAGCTAGGTATTCCAACCAATGGTTAGCTAGCTATTCTAATTTGATCAATCAATATATTATTGTCGATGTAGAAGCATGATAAGCTTTTGTATACTATATATAGAGCCCAAACCATATCAAAATTTGAATTGAATCGTATGCATTACTGTACAAGAAATTGAAAAACAAATTATACAAAACTGCAGGATACCCTCTTGTACATTATTGAACTGCTAATCTCTGGAGATGATCCAAGAAGACTTCAAAACCAACATCATCTGTAAAGATAACATCCCCTCCTGGAAGTGGAGCTTCATTGTTATAAGTCGCAGAAGGATTCAACTTTGCCAAAAGAAAACGGGCCTGCATAAAGGAACGGGATTAGTGATGATAAACTCTACACACCTCATAACAAATACCCTAGAGTAGTGTATCAAGTGAAACACAAGTTTGCAATTATTTTCCTAAGACTTGTGCCGTAACAAGCAAAATTGACAATAGATTCAAACCAAGAATACCCTAGAGTAGCGTATCAACAGTATCAGTGCCAGAAATTGAATTCTTATCGTTATATAAATCATCAAAGATAAATAAGCAGCTCATAAGAAAATGACAAGATGACAATGAAGGGCCCACTAATATGTAAGAGACTAATTGTAATGCCACAACTAACTTCCATTACTATTTGAGGGCCCAACCAAACCATCAGGGACGTAATTGAGGGGAGAGGAATAAAAGAAAGGTCAGCGTTTGTACCAGAAATACAGGTTTTTAGGTTTAACATCCAATAGATTGATACTACAAGACAACATCAGAATTACCTGAGAACCATGCTGATCACAAATCACCAGGCGAGGTACTGGAAATCTTTCCTTGATAATTTGATCTCCATCATCACGAGGAGCTTGTAGCAATTGAGCAAATGCCTGCAACCACAGATTTGTTTTAGTGGACTTGTAATATTTTTGAAGTAAAAATATTTATTTGTTTGAAGTAAAATAAACAGAACAAAACAGAACTGAATCTGACAGACTTGCAAACCACCATTGTATGGGATAAGAGCAACAAAATATATTACCCTTGAACATATAGACCCTATTCATGGAGGCATTTAAAATGGGAAACGGTCACCCAACTAAAACTAAAAATTATTTAAGGTATATGGGTGCAAGGACAACAGATACACCATCAAGCCAAATATGAGTTACTTATGAGACTAGGCAATACCGCATTTTCTAAGATATGTCACAAATTTTGATAGTTGATCATGGAGTTTTAATTTCTTTTACCCCCCATAAATATGCAACAAATATAGTTCTACACAATTAAGTGGTAATATTTCAAAGGAAGTTAAACATTTATTACAAGACTGCATATATCTTAAAATAATCAAGAGGTTAAGTGCTAACACGTGTGTATACAGACAATCAACTATCTGAAAGCAGGGTCATCTCTAACCCAAGGGAGTAGCTTCAGTAACCAATTGTAACGCTAAACTATGTTATAATCAAGTACATGTCTATACAAATTAAACTGGGTCAGGAATTTTGCAAAGAGAACCAAGGCATCTAAATCTTTGACTAGCTGGACGTCTGGATGCAGCCCTCTTTATATCATGCAATGATAAAGGATTCGCTTGTTTTAGACTTGAAACATAGATCCATGCCAAAGACATGCTGTTTAGATCAAATTACTTCAAGTCGATGACTACAAAAGATTACCTGATGTTCAGGCAGATCCTGATACCCTGCTTTTCGCCATGAGCAATAGTTGAACCATGAAAAATAACAACAGTAAGTAGGCGTCTAAGAGCAGAATCCTGTCTGCCGCAATGGCAGCTACATCAAGAAGTGCTGGTTCCGGGCCTGAATGAAATGAATATGAAATCAATGAAGGCTGAATCATCACAACTGAATTGGCAACATTTTCTCGGTTTAGGATCATTCTGAAGTATGCGGTTTCATCCGGGCTGTTGTTAAAAACCTGTAACACAATTTCAACTGACTTTATTCACAAGAACTATACAATAGCATAACAAAGTGAAGAAATTTAGAAGAAACATGAAATAAATATAGACCTATATACCTGGACAAACTGAGAACGTCGTAAATGAAACATAAATTGAGGGAAGATTGAAAACCGTGGAGATAAGCTGAAAGAAGAAGGACTGTCCTTTTGGTAATCTCCAAACCGAGCACACATACGTATCAATGATTTATCAAGCCATCTAATAGGGTCAAACTCTGCCTGGATACCCACCAATGGCAATATTTCATGAAATGGCACAAGATTTGTGCATATTTAAGTCATATCTTAAAAAATACAAATATGATACAAAAATCTAGAATGACGAAAATCACTTCTCATGACAGCAATTCAAATATATTGACTAAAAGGATAAGATTTTTTTTGCAATTTCACCACATCAAATATGTAAATGCAAATCTAGTAGTGACACTTGTCTCCGCTCATTTCCTTTGCCAGTCACCTTGTCGCATAGATTTTGGAGCACAACAATCTCAAAAGCTCAAATGGAAAAGATAACTTAAAAAATTTTTTTTTTTTTTTTTTTTTTTTTTTTTTTTTTTTTTTTTTTTTTTTTTTTTTTTTTTTTTTTTTTTTTTTTTTTTTTTTTTTTTTTTTTTTTTTTTTTTTTTTTTTTTTTTTTTTTTTTTTTTTTTTTTTTTTTTTTTTTTTTTTTTTTTTTTTTTTTTTTTTTTTTTTTTTTTTTTTTTTTTTTTTTTTTTTTTTTTTTTTTTTTTTTTTTTTTTTTTTTTTTTTTTTTTTTTTTTTTTTTTTTTTTTTTTTTTTTTTTTTTTTTTTTTTTTTTTTTTTTTTTTTTTTTTTTTTTTTTTTTTTTTTTTTTTTTTTTTTTTTTTTTTTTTTTTTTTTTTTTTTTTTTTTTTTTTTTTTTTTTTTTTTTTTTTTTTTTTTTTTTTTTCCCCAGTTTAGAAACAACATGTAAACTATTTTTTATTTTTATATGGTAAACACTGTCTTTCTTTTCTTGAAGACCTTTTTTCTGTGGTGTTGGTGTGTTAATGTTTCAGATTAGCCCCCTTATTATTTTTAGATTTATTGTAGATTAAGATTGGTGTATCCTTTTAAAAGATATGCCGCTTATCGCAAAAGAGGATCCCTACAAACACAGATGTTGACATACGTTTTTCAAAATTTAACAGGACCAACCGAGGCCCTCATTGAGTAAGCCCAGGAATGATCTTTATGGTTGTTTGGAATCCATGACTTTTTGACTGTTTCAAATTTCAAATTATGAGTCTAACGATTTCATTTCCCCCCCCACAGCACAATGTACCTTGTTACATGGAGGCTTCCATCCCCCTGCACATCTTTTAATCTTTGTCCTAGCCATTGTCCCCATCGTGACCATTCTTTGCCTCTCCACTTTTGTTTTCCGGGGGTTAAATGTGAGCATTAGAACATCTACCATGTTATCTTAACCCTTCCCTTTGCCTTTTTCCTGGTTAGTGTTTTAGATACTTTTAGTAAATCCTTATCATGCTTTCGATACATTCATGAGAAAGTGGGAGGATGAAAAGCAAAAGAGATTAGGAGGAGGCGAATGACGGTATGCATTCTTTCTATGTTTCTTTTGTATTTGTTACAATAGATTCACCGCTGGTAAATCACTCTATTGTAACACGTTATCCATCTTTAGCTTCCGTGGCTGACTGCAGAACTACGTCTCATTTGGAAATATGCTTTAGCTGTTGATTTGTTGCTTGTATATTTCCAATTGCGATTGTGTTGGTGCAGTTCACGTAAAGAGCACCCTGTCCCGGAGCAGGATTTTGTCAAGGAACCATTTTTGGGGTATTGGTAAATTATCAGCTGATTGGGTTTGGCTATATACTCCTTCAAGGAATCGATCTACATATAATTTTTAATAATAGACTCCACCGAAATATTAAAGTTGCCTGAGCTTTGGTGCTTTCTTTAACCGTTATATGATTCCATGTCGTATATGTTAAGAAAAGGCAAGAAAATTAATTATTATTGTTGCGCACTGATCATATCATTCTGGGATAGGACCTGTGAAGATTAAGAAGTTAAACCTTCTGTTTTTTCCAAGTGGAAGGAACTGCAATGCTAATTACTCTTTTTTTGTTTTGTGGTTGGTTTTGTTCTTCCTCCTATGCCCTTCTTTTCCTCATCCGTTTTATGATCGGTGACCAGATCAACTACTTGCCTTTGGCACTGGGTTTCATTACGTACGGGCAAGCTAAAGAGGTTGAGGAATCTTGCATTGCCAGTTTTCAGTATGTTCTCAATGGGGCTCCTAGCCTCTCTTTTTTTACTTTTGTGTTTATTATTTCTAACTTGCGCGACTCCCATTGCAGGGGTACCCCCCAGTTTGATTTTTCAACACGTCCATGTTTCGGCCCTTGAAGATGATTTTAAAAGAGTCGTTTGTATCAGGCAAGTTTGTCTGATTTTTTTTCTGCTCATATTGAATTTTTCATTGAGTCTGCATTGCACGATTTCCACACCTTTAATGCTTCTGGCCCAATCTTTCTTTTTGGTTATGAGTCCGTTTTGTTCGCCGTAACATTTCCTTGGCTCGTTTGGTTATCTGTGGATCTTTGTGGTCCCTTCATGCTTTATGACTGTTTGGTATAGTCTTGTTTTGAACACCATTTTTTGCAGTTATGAGAATTTTTTTTTACATATATTGTTTCTTTTAGACGTTTCCGGCAGTTTTGTGGTTCTGGCATAGAGTACTTTGCCCACTTTCCAATGAAGACACTATCACTAATACCCATGATTCTCCTCTTTTCTTGCGCAGGCGTCACCATACTTCTGGATGGCCTTCGTTCCTTTACTTTGTCGTAATCGTCACATAACCTTGCTATCAGTTTTGTTACCCATTCACTTGCATTTTAATTGCTTTAATCTGCTATGCTTTGCAAAATCAGGCAGTCTATTTCACTCTCTCCCTTAGCATACTTGCGTTCATGCAACACTAAGCCAGAGCATGGTATCATATTTCTTCATTCGATTGGTCTTAATTTCCATCTGACTATTGAGTCTTGACAGGCTGAAGCTGATTTTACCTTGCTCAAAGTTGTAGAAGCACATTTTTGGAAAAAAAAAAGGGGGGGGTTGCTTGGAGTTTCGATTGGCTTGACCTTGCATATTCTCTCATGCCAATAGGATCGCTGTTAACCGTGGCTGTTTCATTTTGGTCCTTTATTATTGTGCCCGGGTTTCAACCTCTTGATTCAGTGTTGCTTGGTTGACAATTTCTTTGTGACCTGAAAGATGAAGATTTAGGCTAGACCTATAGCATTGATTTCTTCTTTACAAGAAAAGCTAAAAACGAAGTCTAGAATATCCCCGAACAAATAAACTTTAATTAATTTTTCTTTTTTCTTCACCCCCATAAACCATTTATCTGTCTTTTTTTTATGTTTGACACTTCCATTTGATTTCATAGGCTAACAATGCATGATGAAACCATACATGTATGATGGCCCCTTTCAAGTAAAAACAGGACGCTATAATTTTAAAATCCTTTGGATACATCTTGTTCTTATGTTAAAAGGAGTTGATTTGATTCATTGTGGTTGGATGAAACAAATTACCTGCTATTGTGTCAGCCACTTAGTTGGAACTTAAGCTGGGGTCAATTTCCGCTTAGAAAGTTCTATATACGATAACCTCTCACAACTTTATAAAATTCAAGTAAATTGAGAGAAGCTTGCAAAGGAATGCTGAGCTAAAATTCTTATACCTCTAAATTCCAGTACGTGCTTCACATGTCACTCGTTTGTTAGCGTGTTAAGCAGAATAACTTTTTCATTCTTTCAGTCCCATGTCTTTGATTATGTCTCATGAAAAAGAAACTCTAGTTTTCTGTATCATTGCTCATTATATTTTCAGTTTCTTTTCCATGTACTCCTCTTTTCTTATTTCTTCTCTCCTCCAGCTTCTTCCTTTGCTGTCGGCACTAAGCTGCGCATGTAATCACCCAGTTGGCTCATGAGGTTGCTGAGAACATATAGCCATAGAGGGGAACAATAGTTCACCATCAGACGAACACTTTTGGTTTGGCAAGCCCAAATTTGTTCTCTTCTTGATCCATTTCATCCTTTTCCAAATGCTTTCGAGATGGCATTTTTTTTCTGGATATGGGTATGCTGATTCTTTGATCCACTATGTACTGATGAGTAAAACTCAAATTGCGTATTGAGAGATTGACATAATCTATAATCTGATTATACAACTTTGCAGGTTCATATGGTTTTTGACCTCTTGCATAATGGGAAAAGTGAAGTACATTATCCCTAGGATTGTTATTGGGTAAAAAACCAGAAACCTTTGTTCCTTCATTCTAATAAACTTATGGTTAGAAGCCCTTCAACCACATCAGGTTTTTAACTTGTCTTACTGCTGATGCCCCTCTCCTTTTCATGTCTTTTAGGGTGTTCATTCAGGTGCTCTGTAGTTACAGTACACTTCCACTTTATGCCATTGTGACACAGGTTTGTTGAGTTTAAAACTACATGTTACCTTCTATTTTGGGGAGTGGGGGAGTTGGCAAATTTCGCCACCTTCAAAGAAATGCTTAATTTGGTCAAATTTGTACTGATGGACAAAAACTCCCCTTGCTCGAAGTGCTCGGAGCCCTTTCGAGGAAGACTCAAATAGGGTTTGAGTTCAACTAAAGTGGTCTATCGGTTTCAAGAAGAAAACCTCTTTGTCTTTGGGATTGCATTTGTTTTCCATTTTTTCTTCTTTTTTGTTTTTTTTCATTTTTTTTTTTTTTTTTTTTTTTTTTTTTTTTGTTTTCCATCCTATCCATTCTATATCTATATGCTTAACATATTTCATGTTTCTGCAATGCAATGAAGATGGGATCCAATTTCAAGAAAGCTATATTTGACGAAGACATACGCTTGGGACTCGTTGGTTGGGCTAAAAAAGCTAAGAGAAGAAGGCAAGCATGGATGGCTCCGGCTCTGGCACTGGTTCTGACGTGGAGTTCAGCTAGGGAAAGTTAACCAAAAGACCGCTACGAAGGGCTGAGCAGCTCTTCATGACAAGATATGTGTACTTTTTGTAGAGTCAATGTTAATATAGCAATAGTTGTCACCACCCTGAAAATTCTGCATAAGGCATGAAGAACTAAAAATCAATCGTATATTACTACGAATTACGATATCTTTTGGGCTCGGGATGTAGGATTATATTCAGGAATTAATCAAATTATTATATATGCATTATGCTATGCAGCTTTGCCTATTTCTGCATGCATAAATTTGTCTAGCACACCAGTTGAGTTATTGCTGAGTTCTTCTGGAGAGTTCAACAGACACTTTGTAACATCTGCACAATGCTTATTCAGAAATCACTGGAACAAACGCAATAGTTCTTCATGGAACATGGGCGAGCATGGAACAAGTTGTAAATTTGATACGTGTGATTTCCGAGTGAGAAGGAAGGTCCTGAGGTTTTTCATCACCCCGAAAAACATGGAAACTATAGTGCTCGTAACTGATAAATGTGATAAGAAGCAAGTATAATAATACAATTTTTTCTACTAATTACTATTACTTTTTTTTGTCTTCGTCAACATAAAATTCAATCCAATATGTCCAAATGCACTAATTTGGTCACTTTTGATGATTCTAACAACTTGGCCTGCATCTCCAATTTCATAAGCGAACATATTTTGTTCTATTTATGAATTTCGTCAAAAGTCCAATCCAATGCAATGTGGTTTATATGATTTTTTCATACACTTGAAAAGTATACGTTAAAAATTACAAACAAATGTTAAAAAAAATGGTGTTTGGATGGAGAAATTAATTGTAAATTAGACAAAACTCAAGATTTCTATACCTATACATATTCTAATTTCCTTGTTTGACGTTTATATATGAAGATATTTTATATATTCTATGTGGATACAAACTTAGAACAATGGAGTGATAAATCTCAACTGTGAATTTCTCCAAAATATGTGTTAATTCTATAATTCAAAGACAAAAGTGAAAATTATAAGAAAAATGTTACAACCATGCCATCACCATCACTACTGCCGCACAACCACACAACCACACAACCACCACCTTACCACCACAACTACCACCTTGACCATCACATCGCAAAACCCCCTCTTCCCACATTGCCACTATCACCATTACCATCACCACTCTCATGCCTGCCACCACTTGACTCCTACGAAGCACCTCTCACCATCACCGCCCTGCAACTATGACCATTACCAACTTCCTCTTCCTTATTAGAATTACTTTAATTGCGTATTGAAATCGCTATATCTTGGGCAGCATGACAAATTTAAAAAACAATTATTTTGAAAATTTTAGTGTAATATGACATATTACCAACAAAAAAAAAAAATGCCGGATCACGATTCACATCACAAGTTCCAACTAATTCTTTTATTTCGTGGAACAATGAGCAATCTGACTCTTATCTCAATCAAAAGAAGAAAAGAAATTGAATATTTGACCCACGGCCCATGGATCACGGGTCACCTGACCAACCCGACCCATTTCTCCACCCCCAACTCAATTTTCATTTCACCATTTTCACTCTGGAAAAACCCAGCTAAACCCTAACAAACGCCATGACCCTCCACTCCATAGTGATACAGAAGCTACTGAGCACCAACGCCCATTTGGGTCGTCGAGTAGCAGCCCACCACTTCAAGCAGTTCACCTATGGAACCCGCAATGGCATGGCCATCATCGACTCTGATAGAACCCTCATCTGCCTCCGCACCGCCGCCGAGTTCATCGCCGCCCTCGCCCAGCAGAAGGCCCGCTTCATGTTCGTCAACACCAACTCCCTCTGGGATGAGATCATCGAGCAGATGACGAAGAAGATCGGCTGCTACAGCCCCTCCATGAACTTGCTGTGGCGCACTGGTGGGTTCCTCACCAACAGCCACAGTCCCAAGAAGTTCAAGTCCCGCCGTAAGAAGATTTGCTTCGGGCCCACCCAACCTCCTGATTGCCTGGTTGTTTTCGATACTGATCGGAAATCTTCGGTGATTCTCGAGGCGGATCGGTTGCAGATTCCCATTGTTTCGCTTGTTGATTCGGCCATGCCGTTGGAATACTATAAGAAGATTACGTATCCGATTCCGGCCAACGACTCGGTTCAGTTCGTGTACTTGGTCTGCAATTTGATCACCAAGACTTTCCTTCTTCACCAGAAGAGCACTGCTTCTTCTGTTGCACAACCGGAGGATACGAGGTGGGTTTTGGTTGTTTGTGTTTCTTAAGTTGAGCTCTAGGCGCTTGATATTTTTCTTCAGTGAAATTGAGTGTTGAATTCGATGTGCTCTGCGTGTGTTTTGTTGAAGGGAGCAAGTGGAGCGTATAGAGGAGGGCAAGAGCGTCAACAAGGATGAGTTGCTTGTGCTTCCTTACAGCTTGTTACCCATTTCTCCTGGTAATATTGGATAAATTTTTTTTCTTGTTTAATCAATCTCAACAAAAGTGATAAATTTAAATGTACTTATTTTGGTGCATGCATGAGAGTGTAGGTGTAGATAGAACTGAGGAGCTCCTGGACAAGCTTGTTGTGCTCAAGTTCAATGGAGCTTTGGGTACAAACATGGGATTCCATGGCCCCAAGTATGCACTCATACTCAATGACCAGAATTGTTTTGTGTTCTCACTTATTGCATTTGTGGGCTAAATTCTTGTACTTGTTTTGTGCAAGTATTTTGTTGCGTATTGATTTCTTGGTTTTGTTTTGTAGCTATATTACTCAAATTCTTTATAACTTTGATGCAGGTCCACTATTCAAATCTGTGATGGGTTGACATCTCTAGACTTAATTGTTAATCAAATTGAGGTCAAATTTTACCTCTCTCTCTCTCTCTCTCTCTCTCTCTCAGTTGTTTTTTAAAAATTGCACGTATTCTATAATCACCCCGTCACATATCCTAATATTACTATTGCAGGCCCTCCATTCTAAGTACAGATGCAGTGTTCCTTTGCTCCTTATGAACACAACAACAACACATGAAGATACGGTCAAGGTGAATTGCTTTTGCCATTTCCCCATGAAGTTCTTACTTTTAGATCCTATGTTTTTCTACTCATATTAGCTTGTGTAATGTAGGTCTTGGAGAAATACTCCAAGTCAAACGTTGATATTCATTCTCTTAAACAGGTTTGTGATTCTAAGGCGTATTTTTTATTAGCTTATGTTTTCTTTTTCTTGTTTTGGTTATTGGAAGCTTGGATTAGGACTTACTTGTGAATGTATGTTCTCATTTATGTGGACCCAACAGCCACAGCACAAGTCATCTGGAGGACAGAGCAGTGAGGACGAACTGTATGTCATCTTTCCTATCTGAATTCTTGACATTGTTTATTTTTTAACAAATACGCGCATAATCTGTATGATGTTGAAAGCAGACATGACTTATTTTCAGAATCTATTAAGTTTTTTTTTTTTTTTTTTTTTTTTTTTTTCTTTTTTTTTTTTTTGTATGTATCCATATTTAATAACTAACAGATTATAATCGCAACTTTTTTTAGAATACCTAGTTAACCCCAATTTCAAATTAAGTCAAACTCCTTTCAGATTCTGGGCCTCCATTAAGAGGGTTTAGCTTTCACACATGTTCAACACCAAAAAAACTCAGTCCTCCACTGTGTTTGAAAAGGATGAAATCTAAAAGCATAAAGTTGGATGGTTACAGGCAAATAATGCTTGTTCCTTCGGTTGTAATATAGAAAACAATGGATAACAAAAAGTGTATTGGACAGTTTTTGCCCAGGCCCACCAAATTCTTTGACCAAAGTGTTTAAATAAAATTTTCACCCTTTTACTCCATGAATAGTTAAGTTCCCTGTATCATGAGAACAGGTAAATAATCTGAGTTGAATGCATGGTTTGATTTATAATTCCTAGTACCCATTGGAGATTGTAATTCACTTCAATATGTGGTGTCGTGTAGTTATTACTTGAAATTGTCTTTGTTTGGTAGAAAATCTAACAGCGTGGTTATGTGCTTTTTACTATATGATTATGATGGATCTTTTTTATTTATAGAATTAATTTTTTGAGGATGTGATTGTCTTAAGATTTGAGAGCTTCATGACTCATGTGAGGGTACTGTAATTGCTTTATGATTTGACTGCAGTGTTGTAGTCCTGTTTCCTCAAGTTAATTATTTTCAGTTTCCTATATTTCTGATCTATTTGAGTTGTCTGTTGAAAGTGAGAGTTTGTGAAGCATTATGTAACAACCATGCTGTCCTTTGAAAAAATTGTTGGTGAAAACTTTAGAGCAGGCTCATAAGAACTAACTTCTACAGAAACTAAAAGGTAAAAAATTGTTTGAATTTGTCAATAGTCTGGTTTAGCTGCTGGACAGTGCCTACATGTCCTTTTTCTCCCTTGTAACTCAGTTAATTTACAGGAGTAAGAATAATTACTTAAGTTGTGTTTTTCCGACTTCTAATCTGATTAGAGGAATATGTTTCATATAAATGTTTCTTTTAAATCTGAGTCAATTAACTTGTGATTGAGAGTAAATCCCTCTGTTATTTCTTTTAATGGTTCAATAGTACACCCATTTCTTTTGGTGGTTACAATGTTCCTTGAGTTATTTTGTGATACAATAGTGGACCTAAGGCTAAGCTCATAAATGTTCCCATTTTAAGATACTAATAAGATGTATGTCAAGAATCATGTTGACCTTCTTGCAGCTATCTGTCAAGAACATGCATTGTTCATGATTTCAGTGATAACCATCATGAATTTTTTTTTCTGCATTCTAATTTTGCCTGTTTTTTAAGAAATGCCTTTTCTAAATATACTGTCCAATAATTCTCATATGTTGGTTCCGCACAATCACAAATTGATTTCCTTTGACAGTGAACATAACTTTGCTGATCAATTACCCTACTTTTGTGCTTATGTGAAGGTATCCTGGCCATGGTGCAGTGTTCCTTTCCATTATGAAAAGTGGAACTCTTGATGTCCTATTATCACGGGTTTGTATCTTAATGCACTTCTGGAGGTGTCCTTATGGTTTTGTTTCTTTTTCATTTAAATTACCAAGAAACATGAATTTGAACCAAACAAAAGAAGAGAGACCTGTTGAGAGGAGGTATTTAAAGGTAAACTTGGCTAAACTTCTTCAGCTTTCCTTTTCAGGGTAAGGAGTATATCCTTGTGGTTGACTCAGATAACGTGGCTGCTACAATTGACCCAAGTATCCTTGTCATATATTTTTATTTTTATTATTGTAGTTCTCTGCGATACTTCCATTTATTATTGCCTTTTTTGTCCTCTGTTGGGGATCAATCCTTAGATCATTGTGTCCCTTAAGTCAATGTGTAGAAATTTTGGATCATTTGATTGAAAACAAGATTGAATACTGTATAGAGGTAAACAAAATGAGAGCTTAGGATGTTCTCCTCTTTCTCTCTGTGTGTATGTGTGTGTCTGTACATTTACATATTAGAAAATCTTCAGGAAGTGGGGTCCTGCAAAACTGGATTCCACTCCTGAAGCTGCCTCTGTGTGTGTGTGTGTGTGTGTGTGTGTGTATCTTAACCCCCTTTTATTTTCTTCAGTTTTCTCCATCTTGTGTGGTAGATTTTGTAAGTCTGACTTTTCTCTCCCATCAGGTTGTGCCTACCGCACATGATGCAGATTTTAGTAACATTGGTTCACTCCTACAGAAGTTTGAGGTAGGTAGTATTGATATATGTATATATATATATATGGTACTGTACTACTATAACGCCCTCCCTTATCTCCAATCCTTTAAAATTGTGGTTGGGATGCCCTGTGTTAGTATCTTCAAAGGTGGCTATAATTTCCATCTTTTTATATAAATTCAGTTTAGTGATACAGTTTATAAATGTTTTGAACTTTTGAATGACTCAAGATTCTTCAATAAATCCACATCTTGTATGTGTCCTACTTCTCCTTATTCGAATTGGTTAGTAACCTTCACGTTTTGGGTCTTCCTTGAAATGAAGTAACTGCTTAGATAATGTGGAAATCTATTCATGAAATTGGAAGTCTTGCCAAAAATTAATCATAATCTTGGGTTCTAGATTAAACAATTGAAAAGCTATTTTCATAACTAAAATTTCATATTAATCCAATTGATTGAGTGTGTGATGAAAAGCCTTAGGCTGATTGATGAGATTTCAGCAAGCTTTTGGGGTATTTGAGTTAAAAATAACAGTTGGAAACCTTCCAAGGCTTCCATTAGTCCTACTGCTATGATTATCATCCTTCAAGTGGGCGGGGAGATAGATTTGAGGATATAATTTTTTCTTTTTGTACAAGACAAAGTAATTTAGCTATATAATTTTTTTTACCAAAAGACCCTAGCTATGCATTTTGATATGAGTTATGTTGTAGATTGGCATAAAATTGACAGGTTGTAACAACTATATATTGATGATGAACTTAATCATCAAGCCCAATCTAATTTTGGAAAAGGCGAGCTGTCAATAATCCAAAGGGAAATGTTAGAAATGTCACCTGACATTATAAAATATTTTCGATTTGTCACGGCTAAGAAAATTTTAAGAGAACGCCACCTTGATTCGTTGAAATCCCTCATATGTGACCTGACTAATGCTGTTCAACTTTCCACACGTGACCCCTTTTCAGGGGTAGTTAACTATCAATTTAACATTAACATTATCAACAATAAGAAATAATAAAGTGCTTGTCAGTGGGGTTTGGGGTGGGTTGTGGTTGGAATGAGTGGTCAGTGGGTTGTTTTTATATAGCAATTTTGACGAATCAAGGTGGCATCTTTGTTAAATTTTTATAACAAATTGGAACTGGTGTATAAGTTCATGTGACATTTCTATTAATTTCCCTAATCCAAATAGCATATTGACAACAACAACAAAAAAAACTTTTAAGTGAACTTGTTTATGCAAATATGTTAATCTAAAATGCTCTGTGATTTCTAGAAGTGAACTTGTTTTTGTTAATCTGGCTTGGTCTAAAACTTGAGGTGTAGTTAATTTAATATGATACTAAGTATTGATGAATGGATTTTCCTATATTCTTTATATGTTAATCCATAGGTGATTAACGTTTTGTGCCATAATATGATGCAGCTTGCAGAAATAGCCCAGAGTTCTGTCAAACATGTAAGTTTCGGTTTGGTTTTTTTTTCTTTTTCTTTCCTTTGTTTTCTCCTGTATTGGCTATTTTGCATTTATATATGTATGCTTAGGTTTGAAATTTTATATCATGCTGAGTATACTTGGTAGATTTTGATCAGTTACTTGATTTATTATCTTTTTATTACATGGTTACTCACTTTCCTTGGTGTTATGTGCTCGTTACATTGAAGTCAACGGAAAATTTCAAACTTGTTGATACTGGCAGCTTGTAAGTTGATTGCTTCTCAAACTCAATAATATGCTAACTTTCAGTCTTGTTTCCTATAAAATAACTGCTTATCTTCACTTTGTGCTACATTGTACAGGTGGGTGAATTTGAGAGCCATTAAAAGGCTTTTGGATACAGATACACTAAACATTGAAGATATCTCTGTTTCGAAGGTACCATACCTTATCATCTGTTGAGAAACTTCTGTATATTGACTAGTAATTAACAAAAATACTGTTTATTATCATTACTTTATAATGTAGAATAGAAAATGATCAAGTTCTTTTGCAGGAAACAGCGGCTGGTTCAGCAATACGGGTATTTTTCATATTATACAAAATAGTTGTAATGTTTATTTTTACAGTTATTGTTTCTAGGTTTTTTTTGTTATTTCACTTTTTATGGCTTGTACAGTTCTTTGATCGTGCCATTGGTGTCAATGTTCCCCATTCTCGATCTCTTTCACTGAAAAAAACATCAGACCTACTTCTTCTAAAGGTGATGTTGACACTTTTCTAACCCGTAACTTTTATTTTGACAATTGAGAAGAAATGATGCTCTTTAGAACCTTGAATTTATTGTTTTTTGTTATATCTCATTTATGTGCTTCTACAGTCAGATCTCTACACCTGTGATGAAGGGGTTCTAGTTCAGAATATAGCTAGAACTAATCCCGAAAATCCTGTAATTGAATTAGGACCTGAATTTGAAAAGGTAAAGATTTGTTTGGTCACAATTGCCTTGCCTTTATCTATTTGCATTTGTCTTCTTTAACGTTTTTATGTGTTTTATCTCCTTTCAGGTTAGTGACCTCCTAAGCCGCTTTAAGTCCATGCCTGACATTATTGGCCTGGATAGCTTGAAGGTCACAGGTGATGTGTGGTTTGGAGCTGGTATAACTCTCAAGGTATTGCTATTGTTCTCCTGGAATCTGTTTCAAATTTGTTAACTTGTAACTGTTGCTTCTTTCATCCCTTTTTAATTTGTTTGCAATTTTCACCCAATCATAGTCTGCATTATAGTTCGTGAGCTTTAGGGAAGTTTGTTATCTTTTGATATCAGCAGTTAATAAAGCTCAGTAAAATTCTTTTACTGGAAACAAATTTCTTGCGCTGGCAGTATCTAAGAATGTCCACATCACATTTTGATATTAGTGCAGAAAGCTTTGTAATATGCATCAGACTGGGATATTCATTTGCTCGTACATATAAAATGATTTGCTGGAGCAACGTATTGCCATCAATCTTTCAAAAGGATCTCTCAGTTATTTGTTGATTCAACAGTATTTCATTTTTCTTATGGTTGATTTACTTCTCTAGGGGAGAGTAACTATCGCTGCAAAACCCGGGATGAAATTGGAAATTCCTGATGGAGTGGTAATAGAGAATAAGGTAGGTCTCTTTAATTTATTTATACTTTTCGCATCGGTGATTTCACATATCTGCTAAAATGTTCTATGTTCTGCTACTTTTCCCAGGACATCAATGGCCCTTCAGACATTTGATAATGAGATGAATTGCTTGGAGAATGTTGACGAAAATGAGGGTTAACCTGACTAACAACTTCCTCTGGAGTTGTCGTCCTAATTGTACCTAGCTGGCCTTGATAATGATATCTTTCCATACTTTCTATCATTTTTTCCTGATCCTCCTCCATTGGAATAAAGGTTCCTATACATTTATTGCAGGCTAGGCTAGGGAAAGAGAGATATTCGGCTTCCATTAATATTTGCTGAGAGAGAGAGAGAGAGAGAGAGAGAGAGGAGCTGTTCGCAGGCGCAAGATTTTTTTATTTTGGCAGAGGAGTAGAGGTCTGCATGACCAAATAAGTTTCTTGTTAAATTGTTTATTAGAAGAGCATCACAGTAAATGTTATAGAATAGTTCCTTTGGGTTTACCATTTGATTTTTGGTTGTAAATTGGAATAGCAATTCCTACACTTTCCAAGTTTTCTTCTATGTTCATGCTCTATAGGCTTAAAGGCTTTGGCTGCCAAACCAATGCCTTACCACTTGAAAGGAGAAAAGAAAAGTAGCAATTTTTATTTTTGATTGTTGCATATAAAACAAGAAGGGGAAAAGTCACTTTTGGTTCTTGTAGTTTGCTAGTTTTACTAATTTGGTATCTGTAGTTTCAATTTTTGTCAATTGTATCCTTGCTTTTAATTCGCTAGCAATTACGTTACATTTTGGCCATGTGTCTCTTATATGGAGGGGTATTATAGTCCACTCGAGCCAATTCTTTCAAAATTCCTCCCAATTCACTCAAATTTTAACCTAGAGATGCAAATATTTTTAAAGGAATTTTTGTAGAAATGTTATTTGAACTTATACCTCAATTTTAATTTGTCACTTTAAAGGAAAATTTTAGGGAAATGACACCTTAATTTTTCAAAATTCATTATTTATCACTTTAACAACTTCCAATTTTCTATCTATTTTAAGGGTATTTTAGTCCTTCCATTTTTAAGGAAAAAGAAGAGAAAAAAGAGACCTTTCCTTCCCTTTGTACCCAACCTCACTCGCATGCAAAACACATCGAAGGGGGAATGGATTTCAAGGTGGGTGGCGTTGGTTGGAGCTACCGATGGAGCACATGGGATGGGGGAAGGTGACAAATCGTGGATTTTGAAAAATTAAGATGACATTTCTCTTAAATTTTTCTTTACGGTGACAAATTGAAACTGAAGTAAAAGTTCATGTGACATTTCTACAAAAATCCCTTTTGGAAACCCTAAGTCCTAAAATTGCACCCAAAGTGAATGGGAAGAGCTCTAACTTGTGTTTTACAATTAAATATGGCTCTAGTGGATTGGAATATCATTTTCACGTCAGGGGCATGTGGTCAAAACTTAACGAAGTTGGGAGGGATTTGACAAAAACTGAAGTGTCCTTGAATTGCTCATAATTGAAAAATACAAGGACAATTGACAAAATTCAAACTACAATGACCAAAGTGGTAAAACCAAAAGCCTACATAGACCAAAAATAATTATTTGCCAAACAAGAAATGGGCTCTAAGAAATGGCCTTGCATGATTTCTTTTTCTGTTAGAGAAATTCGTCCTAGATAAAAACACACTCGTTTCCAATGTGAGGATTGAGTAACGAAATTGGGAGGAATTCGACAAAAACTGAAACATGCCATTGAATTGCTCTAAATTGAAAAATACGAAGACAAAATTCAAACTACAATGATCAAAGTGGTAAAAGACAAAAGCCTACCATGACCAAAAATACCTATTTTGCCAAACAAGAAATGGCCTTGCATGGTTCTATTCTTTTTCTTTTAGAGAAATTTGTCCTAGGTAAAACACACCCGTTTCCAGTGTGAGGATTGAATAACGTTTGATTCAAACTTTTTTATTCTTTTTTTATTCAAACTCGTTTCCAGATCTTAAAACCATACATTTCAAACATAATTTTATAATACACTGTACACATGAAAGGAAAAAAATTCAAACCAAATACAAGGTTGTTGAAAACTGATGTCCTAATGTAGCAAGACTATCCCGCAACCAGATTGGCTTTTTGATAAATATGACAAAGGGATACTTGAGACCATTTCTGCAGTACAGTGGCGGAGCCAGGAATCGAAACACAAGGGGTCTTAGTGTAAAAGTCCCAAAAAAAAATTTAGGATGGAATCAACATATATATTCTACATATGCAAAAAAATGAAAATAAAAACTCACATTGTTACTGGAAATTAGTGCGATAAACATCTCTAATACTTCACTTACGCACTAAACACATAAACTTGAGACATCATTTTAATTGAGATCACATAGAAAAGGGAGGGAGGAGAGAGGAGATTATGTAGTTACCCTAAATTCCTTAATTAAACTGCTGCCTAAGTTTTAATTTTAAAAAAAAAATTAGAATGGCATGCACAAGCTGAGGCGCAAGAGTGGCAGAAGTTGCAGCTTCGGATAGATATTAAAGTGTAAACTTTGTTATTACTGGGGGCAAGGATGCTTTGTGATGGTCCAGAGGCCAATAGATAGCAATTTGCCATTTTGCTTTGACTTCAATTATAGTGTCTCACAGACGGATCCAGAATTTTTTTAGCGGAGGTGCAATACTGACTAAGTATGAAAAATGGTTTTTTCGGAATAATCATTTTCTCAAAATAATTTTTGGCGGCTTTTATTCTCTACATATCAAATAAGAAAACTTGATTTTATGGGATTTTAGTATGAAACATATATTGACTTAATGAGCCATCATTTTTAGCCTAAATCATATTTTGCACTAAAACCGAATTTTCATATTTTGATTTGGTGAGAATTTGATTTTCTAGTATTTTTATTTGAATCCAAAACAAAATTGGGGGAAAATTGGGGGTTTTGGAATGGAGGAATCGGATTTGTGGAGAAGGAGAGGCTGGAGGATACGCTGGTCATTATCTTTTTTCTTTAGACCTGGCCCAAAACGACGTCGTTTTGGCCAGGTCATTTAAAAATATTCCCTGGGCCAAAACGACGTCGTTTTGCCCAGGTTGTTTTAAAAAAAAAGATGCGCGCCAGCAGCCTCGCCTCCTTCTTCTTCAGCTGTTCTGTTCCTTCTTCTTTCAAGCATTCTGTCGACCACGTGGTGTGCAGCTCCAAGAGGTCGCGCCAGCAGCTCCAAGGGACCTCCAAGGCTATTTCCATGGCTTCCAAGAGGTCGTCCGACCCCGACGACCCCACTGTGGCTCCGCCTCTGCTGCAGTAAGTGCTAAATATTAGTAAGAGCACTTCCACTGCAAAGCTCAGTCTGGGCAAAAGGCCCCCCTAGGTTGAAGAAACCCACTCCACTGCACAAATCCAGCCCGAATAAATGGTGGGCTCCACGAAGACTGGGCAGGTCTAAAGGCAAGAATAGCCCAAGCTGTTGCCTGAGGGCTCTGACCTCAGCGAAGAAAAAAAAATTCTGAAAAAATACAAAAAAATTCAGAATCTTTTTTTATACACACCTAGCAATTTTTTAATCATTAACCTCATACATAAAAATAAAATTAATCTTATGTGAATAGTATCTATCATGGGTTGCCATGGCAATGGGTGAAAAAACCAAAAAATAATTGCTATGGCAAACACTATTCACCCTTACTTTTTGCCATGACACCATGGATGGAAATTATCGCGCAATTGATCCTTTCGAAGACACGGTGGAAGGGATAATTTGAAGAAGATAAAAAAAAAAGACACCATAAAATTTTCTTTTGGGTCTTGTTGTGAGGTGTAAATAGAAATAAGAACTGCCAAGGAAAAAATTACACAAAAAGTCACTCTTTCTAAAGCCCAAGTTAGTTTGGGTGGTCCCAAATACCAGTATCCTCTCCCAAAACCCAATTCCAAAAGGATAAGAAAACCCTCTCACTCTTCTTCCTCTCTCTCTCTATATGTGTCTGAAGTGTGCAATTGAGCAACTCATGCTATGCGTTTGAGTGCATAGCCAGAAGCAAAGAGAGATGTCAATCCTTTCAATTTCAGCTTCATCTTCTTCTTCCCTTCTTCCCAATGTCTCATTCTCCTCCTCAAAATGCTGCTCTTCATTTCTCACCCCACCAACCCACACCAACAGCAACCCATTTCTGCCCATTGTGAAATCCAAGAAGAAGAAACCAGTGGGCGTGACCATGAGCGTGGAGGCAGGCATAGGAGTTATGGCCACGAAGCTCGGCATGATGAGCTTCTTCGAACCCAACGGCAAAGTTGTCCCAGTCACAGTGGTGGGTTTCAAAGAAGGCAACATAGTGACCCAGGTCAAAACCGAGGCCACAGACGGATACGATGCCGTTCAGGTGGGCTACCGCAGAGTCAGGGACCGGAAACTAACGAAACCCGAAATGGGTCATCTCCAGAAGGCCGGTTCAATCCCCCTGCGCCATCTCCAGGAGTTTCGGCTCCAGAGCGTTGATGGGTTCGAGCCAAACCAGAAGCTTTCGTTCGACGAGCTCTTCAACGAAGGAGACATTGTTGATGTCTCTGGAACCACAATCGGGAAAGGGTTTCAGGGTGGGATTAAGAGGCACAATTTCAAGAGAGGGCAAATGACTCATGGGTCCAAAAGTCACAGAGCTCTTGGGTCAATTGGGGCTGGAACGACGCCAGGGCGGGTTTACAAGGGGAAGAAGATGCCTGGAAGAATGGGAGGGACCAAGACCAAGATCAGGAAGCTCAAGATTGTGAAGATTGATAAGGACCTCAATGTTGTTATGATCAAAGGTGCTCTTCCTGGTAAGCCTGGCAATCTTCTTCGCATAGCTCCAGCTAAGATTGTGGGCAAGAACATTCCTAAGTTTATTTTTTTTCTATTTTAGATTTTTTTTTCTTTATTTTATTTGGTTTTGTGAATTTTGTATTGTCATTGACTCTCTCATATGAATGTCTTACTTCTCCTTTAATTAGTGCTTTGTGAATGTTTGCTTGGTATGATATTTGGAAGTACTTCACCTGATTGAGGGAACAAGATAGAAACCAACAATTTTGGCCCAAGGATGAATTGTCTCGTCTCCTCAAAACTAGGAAATCAATTGAGTAGAAGCATGATCTGTATTCTGTCTGTCTGATTTTTCTGTATCATCACTCCATGATCTGGTTCCATACAATGAGAGATCTTTTGTCGTGTTTGTTAATAGCTTATGGTCCTGTTTGGTGCTTAAAATTAGATTGGGTTTGGTAACTCATGATGAGACTAGATGCAAGTAGAGTTGAAGAATTTTTCATTTTGTGGGGATTAGACGGGATAAGTCATAAGGTGTCGATACCAATCATTTGGTGGGCTTTGGTTTCTACAGAGTTGAGTTACCCTGCTTTGCTATATATATGCAGACTAGATAATGTGGCAGGGCTGTTTATTATTGTATTGCAATTTCTATGCTTTGCTGGGTAGCTGTTAGGCTGGGTTCACCTTGTCCTTTGTCACTTTTTGTAAATTATGTTTGCACTCATTTAGCGTTCATAAGTTGGGTCAAGATAAATTATGAAGTTGGGGATGAGAGAGACATTTAATCAAAACCCAAGTACATCAGCGAAGGTCTTTGGGTCAAGATAAAACTGCAATCATCCCCTGAGATGAAAGCTTTCTGGGTTACAGCTACATTTTTTGGGTGCATTGGGATCGGATTGAACTCGTGACGTATTCTAACCCTAACCCATTTCCTTACTCCCTCACCACCTGAACGAGTCCTAGGGGCTTTTGCAGGTAGAGAGTGGAAGAGCTGAAAGGTTTTCTTTGTAATATACAAACTGGAATTTAAGATTTCAAGCCAAAAAGGAAACAAGATGGCCTATACCCTAATGTAGTGCCTAAACGTTTATCTTTTATGGTCTCTTGTATAATATCCTCGGCGGTCAAAATCCTTCCCCTCCCCTTTGACCAACTTTGTTAGAAAATAAAAGAAAAAGGAAAAAAAAAGGAAAAAGGACTAATCTTCCATCATACAAGGCTCATCTCATCAATTGAGGAGATTATGTTTACCAATACATCGTCAACCACATTATTTGAAGACAAATGTTAACCATTTTACAGAGAACTTCAACAGAGTACACTGAAGTAGTTTTTCTTCCTAATAGAGGCGCCTGCAGAGGGTGAGGCCATCGCCGATGGAAACGTGAGCCAATTCGATACGGGAATCCGCGGCTAGAAAGCTGTTCAATTCCCTCGTATGTTTTCTGGATGGCCTTAAATGTTCCTCTACCATTTCCTCAGGCTCCGCAACTGAGCCAAACCACAATGTGTTATCGAATGCTATTATCCCACCAACCTTAACAAGCTTTATCAGCAGCTCATAATATTCAATGTACGTGTCCTTGTTAGCATCCACAAATGCAAAATCAAAGCTCCCTTCTTCGTTCCCCTGCTTGCTTGTTTGAAACTCCAAATCAAAATACAATTCTATCTATATGAACCAATGATAAAACTAAACTATTTCAGGCTAACGTTTTCTCGTAGGTTTATGTTGCTAGATTGTGAATCCGAACTACACCTTCAAGTAAAGTGTCAACTTAATCAATAACATAGATTGATGGTCTCGCAACATACAACGATGAATGCTTTTTCAGAAATCCTTTGAAAAACATGGGCACATGTATAAGGTACAAACTTACATTGGTAATGAGATCATTTAGGACGGAGAAGGCATCCGACTGAAAGAAGTTAATCTTATGCTCCACCCCAGCCTTCCGAATGAACGGCAATCCGAACTCATAGGGTTCTTTATTCAGATCGATTGCTGTAATCTGAAAAAATTCATGTTGAAACTCCAAAACTAATTACTAATGTAAGTCAAGATGAAAAGTTTTATTTATATATTATTTTAATGAAAATTTAAAATTAAAATAAAAAAGAATGAAAAAGGAAGAATACTTTTCCGTCAGAAGGCAGTGCAAGAGCTGTAGTAAGAAGAGAATAGCCAGTAAATACTCCGAGCTCCAGTGTCTTCTTTGCATTCATGAGCTTCAGAATCATGGAGAGCAACAGCCCTTCATCAACAGGCACATTCATAATGCTCCTGCAATTAATTAGATCAAACTGTAATTATTGAGGTTAAAGTTGGTATTTTCTGAAAAGTTATATTAGTTTCCTTGATCAAGAAATTTATTAGTTCTGGAAAAAAAATATCAAGGAATTTATTAGTTGATAAAAAAAAAATCAAAATAACTTACCAATATTACTAAAAAAAATTATCTTTATGATAAGACCTTGTATTAATTAATTTATTAGAAGCAATAGTCTTAAATTAAATTAAATATACGTATTAGACGGCATTCACTCATCAAACTATAATCAAATAAACAGATGAACACAATACTTTCTGTAAACAATAAAAATATTAACGATCATTCAACTGGTAAAAATTTGGCTAATTTTTCGCAAGGGTGATATTGGAATGATGACCTAGAAAATGAACAGTTTGGATCATGAGATGACATTGTGAAGTAGGCCCAAATGAGTTGCTAGCGTTGTATTAACTTACTAAACCAGCTAGCGCTTAAGCGCTCTTGTATATACATATATACTCGTTAATGTAAATGCAAATATTCAACATACCTGAACTGGTATTTCTCAACAGTGGCTTCCCTTAGTTGCTTCAATTGCTCATGTTCTTTTGGATAGCAGCTTGTTTCAAGGATGTACTATCACAAGAAAGGCCAATGGTTATCTTGTGAGAGAAAGTAAATCTAAAAGTTTAAGGCTAGTAATTTAATTTCACTTGCCACACTGCAACTATGTCGTTTCTTGTCTCCATTTGGTTACTGTTCTAGTTTGAACTCTAAAGAAAAATAAATATAAAATCATGAACCAGCTGAAACAAGTTTATGAAGAAACACTATAGCTCTTCACACCCACAGTTAAATGAATAATTAAACAATGAAAATTGCAAGGAAAACAAGAAATTATTTCAGTCTTAGCAAAACTGCTTCTTTAATCATTCAATCGTCCACACGAAAAAACAAAAATTAAAAATTAAAAATTAAAAATCTAAAAAAAATTGAAAAAAATCATCTATGGCCTTGTCAACAGCATTTGAAATTGAGGAAAAGAAAATATACCTTTAGAAGAGCTGGGGTTTTGAGGATGATCTTCTCTTGTTTTCTTGCTTCCATCCTCTTCTCAACAAAAACTAAACTATTCTGTAAGTTTTTGTGAAAAAAGAATCAATTTTAATAACTCTCCATCTTACCTTTTATTGCGAATCTCGGCATAAAGCAACATGCGAATACCATTATGAACTTCATGTCATGTGATTTTGAATGTAAAGAACCTATTCTGCCTGGATTAATTCATCTTTCCTACAACCAATTGGTTTTAATTAATATCATATATCATATTACTACGAGTTCATGTATCTCTCTTATCACGAGATAAATCACTTGACCAACGAACATGTAGTTATATAAAAGAAACCTCTCACACACCCCCTTGGGTTAAATTTTTGTGTCCGTATTTCAAATCACAAGTATTGGATTAGATTATTGTCGAATTTATTTTAAGACAAAAATGATTAAATTTTCATTACTAACTTAAATAAGAAAATGAACCTTTAGAAGAGCAGGGCTTTTGAGGATGGTCTTCTGCTCTTGTTTGCCTTCTTCTGCCATGCTCAACAACAACAACAACAGCTATATTCTAACTTTGTGAAACCAGAACCAATTCTCAACTCTATCTCCGAAATGTGAGAAAACTTTGATGCTTCTATATTTTTGTGTCCGTTGCTTTCTTTTACAAATTCTTTGATTGTTTCGAAACCATTTCTGACAGCATATTCTGTTACCATTTGTCCTGTGCCCACCTGTTACCAATCTAACGTTTTCACATCTGTCCTTCCACTTAACTCTAACTTAACGGTGGGTGGGAGTTGTTCACGGATTGGGTGTGGATGGGAGTTCGATGTTGGGTTTTTTTTATTATTATTATTAATTTTTTTTTTTAGCAGAAGTTATTTCTTATCCAAGCCCCAAACATGGCTTCAGAGCCTCTGCCTTGTCTGGCTTCTTCATGAACATTCCACAGGACTTAGGAAGGAGGAAAGGAATTGGTTGGTCTGACTCTGAGCTAGGTATTCATGGAGCATGGATCAATGGAGTATTCCAGCAAACAACGTTACTGGGTGTTAGAAATCAAACTCCGTTAATTTAATTAAACTTAACACTGTTAACTTAGAGTTAAGTGGAAGGACAATGGTAATAGGAAAATTGAACTCCGTTAATTGTCGTTGCATGTGTGATTTAATGTAATTGTTACAAAAATCTCAAAAATCAAACTCTTCTAACGGCAACTAACGTTTATATAAGCCAGTTACGCAATTAAATCTTCCCCGACCTTTATGTGCTTTTTACTTCATAATAAATTGGCCTTGATCAACGATGAGATGAAAATATTAAACGTTCTCTCTAACTTCAATGCTCAAAATTTTGACAAAAACATTGATCCATCCAGTGAAAAGAGTCTTGACTTACAGATCCGAGATCTCAGGTTAAAACTCACCTCCTTTAATATCGCTTGTATAACAAATTTTGACAAAAAGAACTAAAAACACTTCAATGCTTAAAATCAATGTGAAGCCATGTCCTCTTTAAGAGCTTCTCACTCCTCACTTGTATAAATAAATAAATAAATAAAAAGTTGTTTGTAGGAATACAATAACCATATAGTTTCTAAAGTGCGAAATATACTTTTTAAGGACAATTTCTTACATGCTTCAACTTAAAATGTTGTCCTAATTAAGCATTCACGAAATCAAGCCAAGTTACACCTTCAATCTTCATACCACAATGCTTGGCTATTGATAATTGAGGGGAGAATTCCTCCTGACATGGTGACGTGGTGACCTCAAATTCAACATATGTTCTTTTTATTTTTTAAATTCCAAATACGTTTTGTGGATCATTTTAACTCAAATTTTTTTAAAAGTCAAATCTTCCTTTGTTGCCATTTCACTACCAGCAAGGACCACCACCTACAGGAGAATTTCATATCTTTGGGACACAGACCAAGTATGGGAAAGTTAATAGACTAAACTAGTAATGGTCCTTAAATTATATCTCGATTTGCATTTTCGTCATTAAATTCCAATAATAGCTAATTTCATCCTCAAATTAGATTTCACATTGCATGGTAGTGGTCATTTCCGTCAAATTTTCCATTAAATTTAGGAGTAAACTAGTTCGCATAACTTTTAAAAATAAATAAAATAACAATTAAAATGAATAAAAAGGAGTGCTGGATTTTTATTTTTTTTATTATGAAACATTTCTTGCTTTATTTACTTTTTTTGCTAAATTATCGTAATGTTCCCTAAATTATACATCAATTTACACTTTCGTCCCACAATTGGCTCGAAAAGCCTTTTTATTGCAAAGTTTTTTTTACTCTATCAATGCATATCCGATAAGTATTGGATTAGATTATTGTCGAATTTATTTTAAGACAAAAAATGATTAAATTTTCATTACTAACTTAAATAAGTAAATAATTTAAGTGTGTTGTAAAAGCAAATAGAGAAAGTATATGAAAGGTGAGAGTAGTTCTCAATAGTTCAATGCTCAAGTGTCTTATTCATCTTTAGTGCCTACTATTTATAGGCATAGGAATATATCACCATTTACCACCCTTAAATAGTGGGTTACAAAACATAATAACCAATGATAAATATGGTATTTAGTGCATAGGTTACAACCCTATAATGATAGGTATAATGATGGGTATAATGGATGAATTACAATGGACTTATGGTGGGCATCCATAACCTTTGAGGTGACAACAAAGTGTACTTTCAATGCATAAAAAACTCAAATCACTCTTACATTACACACAAGTAATATTTATAAAAGTATATAATAATAAAAAAGTAAGTTCTATATTGTATTTAGTCGGATTGGATAAGCTTTAATCCATAGCTGATTTGTTATGTTAAAGAATTATCTAATTCGGATCACAGTCAGATTAAAAGTCTAAATTATATTCTATTATTTACATCGAATTCGGATCAAAATCCGATCCATTCACATGTCTAGAACAAGAAAATAAAAAAGGCTGAACAAGTGTAAAATGGACATTATAAAACTTAGGGGTGTGTTTAGAAAAATTGTTGCTGCAAAAAAAAAGGTTCTAGAGGAAAAGAAAAGGGGTGAGAGAGAGAGTATAACATGTATGAATGTGCTAACAAAAACATGCCATACAAGCCAGCTGTTGCTGGTTATGTAATAAATGAGCTCACACCAGATGATACAGGACAAGGAAGAGAACAAGTAGAAGAAACGATCCCACACCGAACCCGAACCCATCACCACCCTGGTCAGAGCTACTTGTTTGATGAACTGTAACCGGAGAAGACATCCCAAATGCGGGAAAAAAATAAGAAACAACTTGTAAAGCTAGCAAAACTAAAAGAAGAAGAAGCATCACAAAAGCAAAGGTGGCTCTCCCCTCTGTATCTGCCCCTAATTGGAACAACGACACTGAGATTTCCAAGAGGGATACTAAGGTAGGTTTGCAGATGATCAAGCCCAATGCTCCTACCATTAGAGAAGGAACAAGTGGTGAAGGCCCTCTGCTCCCCATTGCAGTCTTCAAGCTCAGTTGCTCTCTATTTACTTGTTTTAAGAAGCTCAAAGCAAGCAAAGGAGGAGATATTGGAGAGGAAGGCTTGTTTGTTAGTAGCAGAAGGAGATCACTTCTAAAACAAAATCACTCTTTTTTGTTGCATATCTGATGGTTTGTTGAGCGAAGCCAACGTCTCTACAGGAATCTGTGTTCTTTTTTTATTGTTGTTATTTGACGTATAGGATGTAGCTGAGACTTGGCAGCCAACCACAAGATTTTTCATGAACACATACTATTTAATTTACATGGATTAGCATAGTATACGAAACAGCTTCTTACCTATTTATTTTGTCTTTACTTGGTCTAAGTTTAGTTGAGTTAAATAATACTGACAATAGGACATGTTTTCCAATGCCTTCAAGAAAGGGCGCTTTGATGACAACACTAACGAGAAATTCAAGATTCACACGAACGAAATCTGGAAATGGATAAAATATTTCATTCTTCTCACATAATATAACAGCCAAAAGGAGTCAACCTTTTCAAATATTCTATGTGTGTAGAGAGAGAGAGAGAGAGAGAGAGAGAGAGAGAGGAGTTACTGACGAGATGTGTTCATTTCCATGTTAAAGATCCAGATACAACAAATATGTAGATAAAAAAGAGATGGCCTTTTAGTGATCTCCATATTACCTAATAATACAGTAAACTTTTGTGGTCAATAGATGAGTGAGAAATAGGAGAAACACGCTGATCAGCTACCGGTATATGACTAAGTTCACCAAACTATGTTTGTTAACCTGCACTCTCTCTGCAACTACAATATTTCCAACACTGTGTACAGCTGACAACAAAGAGATGCAGATTTAGCTATTCTCCGTTTACACCTTGAATTACAATGTAGAATTGTACCGGAGATGTTGCTCATAAAAATCGATCAACTGGAAAAGAGGAGAGAGATTAGCCAATAATTGTTAGCTACTGGCGCCATTGCAATGTTGTCAATAAAGAATGTATATCCTGTTTCACAATAATCACTTACCAAAAGTGGATGATTAACCTTGAGAAACTTGTTATCCACTACCACTTCTGTTCCGTCGGACCTATAACAAGGCAACCACATATAAAAACGTCATGAAGCAGGTGAAGAGAACTATGTGATACAGGTTAAAAGTTGGATCTGTAAGCAATTGAAGGATCTGGAATGGCTAGACTTTCCAGATTTCATTTCTATACAAATAAAAACAATAAAGAAGCAGCAGCCAAACATGTTGACAATAAAATGCCAAATTGCAATTTTCTAGGAAAATACTGTAGTAGTAGTGTTAAATAGGACTGCATTACATGCTAAGATAGCTCAAACACTGAATAGTCCATAAACAATCAACTCCCACAGGATCTAATTTTCAGCCAGCCAATTTCTCTGATGAAGGTCATAAAAAGATATATAGTTTAAGCCATTAAAGACTTTCGCAGTTAATGCAATGGATGTCATGCATGTCAACCAACAACATGTCCAAACATCAGAATCACACGAATCCTCAAATACAGTAGTTTGCACAAGTTATCACAAGAAGACTAGGAAATAAGTCATCTTCCGCTGAACATTAATATTAAGAATGTAATTTAAGTAAACCATAAGCTTTCAGAACAAATTGCTTAAAACATAAGCTTAGATAACATTTGAAGAAATGTAAAAAAGTTGCAGATTGCCAAATGTGCCTGTGCAATGACTCTATAGAACTGCCCAGACTCAGAAGCCATCAGGAACAAAGCATGTGCAGCTACTCTGATATCATATGTTACTGCTCCTAAGCAATAAATTACTCAAGAACTTTTACTACAAGTAAACTACACATTTTCTCACTTCAACTACAATAGCTACTCTGATATCATGTTACTGCTCCTAAGCAATAAATTACTCAAGAACTTTTACTACAAGTAAACTACACATTTTCTCACTTCAACTACAATGGGGTGATAGTGGTCAAAGGATTAGTCTGAAGATCCGCCAAGAATGTTCTATTCTAGCCCACATACAGAGTGATGGTCCAATTAAAACACGCAACACGTGCCAGAACTGACTAAAAGCATGAAAACAGTCAAACAAATAGACTGTTTCAACCAAAGACGGAAGACCTATTAGAACTAAATTCTTTTGATTAGACCACAAGAACTAAATTATAAAAGTATAAATACATTTTTAGGTCTGACTTGTGACCACAATCAAATCAAACAACGTAACACAAACAAATAAATCATGCCTGGCACACATGTGTCACAAAGAATGGTGCAGAAAAGGATAAGAGGATTGGGTAATACTCCTTGCATGCACAGTGTAGCTTTGTCTTATATCAGAGGAAGAATCTTAATTCACATACAAAACTGTGCTTCCCAAGTGATCCAAATTCCAAAAGGAACAACGGTGAAGCATAAGAAAAAGCTATGAGGTAGGGCTTACGAGTGCTTCTACAAGAGTCATCAGATTCTCTCTCTCTCTCTCTCTCTCTCCAAGTTTGACAACCTTTCCAATGTGTAATAGTTTAAGAGATGATCTCACCCACTCCATCAACCCCTCACACCACCTTAGTTCAAGGGAGAGGTGATGCCCTTTAGTCCAAAGTCTTCAGTATTGGACCAAGTATGTTTTAAGCACATTTTTGCTGCCTTTATGAAGTCTAAAGCCTTACCTAATTTGTATCTAATTCCCAAGACAATTGTATTATTATCATTCAGGACTATATATGTGATTAATTTGGTACATGACTGGAATCATGTCTATTTCCAAATATGAGTTCGTGTCATAGAGCCTGTAGTTTGCGTGGGAGGCATAATGTACCTTTCCTCAATAATTATTAGGTCAATAAATGGATTTTCACAAGGGAAATTCCTCATGCTCTTATCAAATATCTAAAAAGGATCGAGGTGCATTAATCAGCAACATAGTAACAATTCCAAATTCAGAACTCCTGCTAGAAAAAGATGGTATGAATGATCAATGCAATTTGAAAAATATCAAATGTTTTAACATCATAATTTCAGTAATATTTTCTGCACAACATTACTCTATGTATGATATTAGAGAAACTAGTATTCAAGGAGAATGCTCTTAATAAGCCATCTAAACATATGAGAAGAACAACTAATTTGTAGATGATTACCACAAAACTGTATGTATATATAAGAATCTTTTAGCTGTATGCTTGGCATCTTTTAGATGAATAATGAATTAGGAAAATAAATAGCTCATTGAAATGCCAACAGTAACTGATATGTAGCACTGGTAGGCACATATAACCCAGTCATGGCACAATTTGGTAGCGGACATTGGAGATGGTTATTATAAAGGGACGGCAATTTCCACCGAATGGAGTATGCATTTTCTTTTTATGAACCAGAGGAAGAAAAAAGGTACTAATGGGTTATGCATTTTAATACAAATTTATAAATAAACCCAATCCTAGACATGTATTTATAAAAAAACTCAAGCACTATTTAAACATAGAAACACACCCAAAATGAACCCAAAAATCAACAATTGTATATTTTTTGGGTGTGTTTATAAATGGGTTTTGAGTGTGTGTAATGATGGGTTTTGAGTGTGTGTAATGATGGGTTTTGGGTGTGTTTATAAAGTGTTTTGGGTGTTGGGTTTTTTTATAATTTCAGCCCCCATTTTGGGTGTTTTAGTGAAACTCCCTTTATTTAACCTATTCAAATCATAAACTATTTGTAAATCTAGTCAGAATATATACGTAAAGTTATCCTCAAAGATGGAATAGAAATATAAATTGAAGTTTAAGACAGACCTCATTGCCTTAAAGGTGACTGACACATCCTGGACATCATTTGACACAGAAGTTGAATACCCTATTGGCTTGATAATCTTGGTGATACGCACTGCACTTTTGGATTCATCAATCTTATTCCTGCGACTTGAATTTTCCCCGGCATAATCAAGATTTTCTGCCCCTGATTGATTAACTCTGCCACCATATCTAACACTGACTCTGCTTGTTGCATTTGGTGTAGCACCCACTTCAGACAATTGCGTCTCTTGTTTAAACCTCTTCACAGAACCAGACTTCCTTCTCTTAGCTCCAGTATTGCGATTGCTCTGTACTGGTTCTGCACAGTCGACCTTGGAAAGACCATTAACTTCAGATGCCTTTGCTTCTTGGAAATGTACAGAAAGTTTATCTGAATTGACAATATTAGTAGATATTGTTGCTCTGAGCTCACTAAGCTTTGGATCATACTCATTTTCCTCTCTCCTTTCACCAATTTCTTGGGAAGCATTTGAACACAAATTCTCAGCATCAACTTTCTTGGTGGTTTCAGTATTATTGACATGCCCATCATTCTCTCCTTCAAATGCTACGCCCACAGACTGCTGAGGGGGCGGAAGATCAACAAGGCTCGGGCAGTTGAGAGCAGCGGAGGACAGAACTTTATCAACCATGCTGATTTCCACATCTGTCACGTTGTAGATAGGATCAGTAGAACGCTGCTGCCTCTTCTTGGGTTGAGAATGAGGAGTCCCGGACTTGCGCTTGCGCTTCCGATGCTTTCCAGCACGCAAGCTTTAAAAAAGACATAATAAAAATAATAAAAATGAAACTTAAAACTTTGCATTTGTTGCTCAAGCTACCTATAAAAAAATGGACCCAATCAACATAACCAGAATTTTAAAATGAGTCAGTTTTTAATATCTTTGTAAGCTCAAGCACTGCGAATTGTTAGTGTCCTTTTCCTCCTGTTTTTGGAAAACCAAATGAATAACTAGAGGGAAATGGAAGAAAACTAAACAAAATAATACCTTTCCTCAAATGCTTCGATAACATCAGCAATTGAATGGAGATTATCCAAGGGCTCCCATGTATTGTCAGTCTCTGGCCAACCACGCCTGTATAATGAGCCAATAGCAATAAATATACAGAATTAATTAACAAGAGATCCCGATTATATGGAAGAAAAAAACCTTTATTAGAGTTTATGTACCAACTTTGGAGTTTTTATAATGTAGTACGAGAGTATGGCCGTTTTCTAGTACCATATAATAATTTCTCCCATCTTTGGATGTCGTATCATATTTTAAGATTGGGATTATATATTACATAGGGGTTGAGGATTTATTTGCTTATCACTATTTAGGGTTTCTTTATCGAGTTAGGAATGTCTATAAAAGGCCTTAATCTTCTCCCCACTCCCTTCTATTCCCTATCTATTCTCTGTCTGACATCAACAAGACTTAGATGATTTGATTTGATATAATGAAGCAGTGTATGTGCATAAAGTAAGTTAAGAAACAACAAGAAAAAAATGATAAAAGAGAGGTACACGCACCATTTGATGAGATACTGGAGCTCACCCTATATTGTTGATTTTCCCACATTCCAACGAGAACATAAGGAAACAAAACACTTAGTAATCAGAAGAAATATGTAAACAAACACAAAAACCCATCATTTTCTTATCAAAACTTCAACAAAACAGCAAAACTAAAAGAACCCAGTTTAATTATCTAAAGCAATAATATAACCCACAAAAAATTGGGGGGAGAGTAGTACCTTGCGGACCCTTTTTCGGCGTATGGCTTCGATTTCGTAGTAGCCCTCGGCAAGCTTGTTGCGCTCTCTATTCTCATCGTCATCAACAACACCATCAGCCTCACGATCACCATCACCCCCAACCTCACCATCATCTTCACCCTCGCCCTCGGCCTCACCATCGTCAGCTTCTTCGAGAGCTTGAGGCTCTTGAAGCTCTTGCTGTTGCTCTTGGGGTTGCTCTAGAGCGGCTGCGTTAGCTTGCAGCTGAAGAAGAGAAGCAAAAGGAGCATTTAGGTTGTTGCTGGTATCTTGAAGAACAACATCAAGAGGCATTGCTTCCCAACTCTTCCTTCTTCCTCCTCCCTTCACTTTCATTTGTGCCCAAATCAAATGGCACAGCTACTACTTGTACTAGTGATAGGATTCTTCTTAAATGATTAAATCTACAGCTAAATTAAAATCCCACAAAACTCTCTCTCTGTCTCTCTCCCTCTCTCTCTCTCTCCTTCTCTACAGTGCAGAACCCCAATTCCCCCCAAATATGTTAACCTGGCCACCACTTCCTTTTCAAGCGTTTTCTCCCAACTCCTTTGTCCTTACCCCTATTTCTCTCTCTTCCTCGCTCTCTCTCTCATTTGTTTATTTTCTTTTTTCTTGGGAGTAATGGTCAAGTTAATTAGGTGATTTGGCCTCTCTTTTTTTTCTTTTTTTTTCCCGAAGTACAAAAGTAAATTACAAAGAGGATTCCGAGTAATTCCTAAATACTTTTGATCATGCAAAAGTCTCACAGCCATTAGTGAGAAAGATTATGAAACTAAATAAAGAAGTTATGTTGATGGTGACCCACATTAGCTAAAGCATTAGCAACAATATTCGGATTTTAGAGATCTCAAGGTGTTTTAAAAGGTCTTGAATATTCAATAAGATACAATAAATTTGACACAGTGGAGAACCATTTTTGCTGCAAAAGTTTAATAAGTATTTGGGAATCGCCTTCAATAACAAGATTGGAATTACCAAAACGCTTAGCTCAACCAAATGTAAGATCAAAAGCTTCAGCTTCCAAAACATAGGTAAAGAATTGGAGGTGGCGGTTGGTGTTTGGTTGGATCTGTTCTGATGCTCATAGCCACAATACGTTATTTTTAGTATGTGCGAAGAATTACGATGCTTTTTTAAGATGATATGAGGCTTTCTTTGACAGTACCTGCATAGTGATGGGATGTGTTTCAACAGTTTTGAGGTTGGTGTTTGGCTGGATTTTTTCTAATACCCATAGTACGATTTTGACTCTGTACGAAGAACTATGATTCTTTCTTTGGATCATAAGAGGACTTCTTTGATAAGTTTCTTTTTCGTATAAGTTGTTTAACTCTGTAGTCAATAACATGGGTGGTTTCACTGGCGGAGCTGGTGCATGCCCAGGGTGGGCATTGGCCCCCTCTCAAATATTGTTGTATATACAATTTTATGTTAGTATATTGTACAAAATATTATAAAATTCCTCACAAATTCTTAAAATGGCCACTATTTTCTTTGTTTCTCTTTCATTTTCATGTCTAAATTTCTTTTGAATTGCATGTATTTTGTTATCATAAAAGAGTGATAGGTTATTCATACAAAAAGTAAAGGAAAAAAAAAGAGAGAGAAAAGTGATAAAATTAGGGATTTCTTAAAAACTAGGTTGATTTGTCATAAAAGAAAGTGTATGAATTTTTAAAGGTGCCCCCTCTTACTTAAATTCCTGACTCCACCACTGGGTGGTTTCCTACTTAGGGTTCTATTGTCTCCAGGAAGGTTTTAACGAGACTGCCGTTAACATGCTAATAATTTTTACCATGCAATGTTTCCTATGAGTTTAATGAAATACCATCTTTTCTCAACAAAAACAAAAAAACCAAAACAAAACAAACAAAAAAAACAAAAAAACAGAGGTAGAGGTAGAAAACGTACAATTTTTGTGTAGCCACTACTACTTCTAATAATAAAACCGGCAGCATATGCGCCATCTGATTTAACTAAACCGTCATACTTAAGTTTCCAAGTAGATAAAAGAGGTGCATCCCATTTTAAAGTAACTTTTGAATGAAATCATTGTTTCTTCTTCTTAATTTTCTTATGCCAAATATCATAAAGAAATGTTTTAACATGAGTGCACATTAGGTAATTTATTTTTTTAAATCAAATTATTTCTTTTTAGCCAAATTTGCCAGCAAATTGTTAGAACTTTTTCCAAATTTGTAGACAATATGAATTGTTTTTGGCGCAGAAATTCAATGAAATTACCAAATTAATTACCAATTTGACTGGCAAAAAGGATTCCAATAAAATATTATTAATATGTTCAACATCATTATGATATAAGAGGCAATAATGATGGATAGAGAAAAATGTAACCAAATGTTCCCCAGTAAAAAGGCGTTTTTTAAGAAAGATCTAAGCAAAATTTTAATTTTCGGGGGGGAATTGCAAGTTTCTAAATTCATTTCAAAACATTTTGGGGAATGCTTGACGAATGCTTTTTTTGTTTATACAAGCGACATGGGGAAGGGAGGAATTTAACATAGGATCTCAAATGCATGGGTAAATGCTTTTAACCACTTAAACTACAAGTTCCTTGCACTTGGAAAAGGTTTAAAAAGAAGAGTACTAGCAAATTTTACAAAAAAACAAAACAAAATTGGTGAACGATTGAAGCCCCAACAAATTTATGAGTCTGTATAGTTAAATGATTATTGAAACAAAGTTTCTTTCATCCCATCACATAGTGTTGATTGATTGGTTTGAAGTTAAAATTAACTTTGAATCAAATTTATTTTTAAAAGGTAAAATATTGAAATGCACACACTGTCATATTGTTTGGTGAGCAAATTTGATGAGTAAATTTTGTGACTTTAGACATTTTTATTTATTTTTGTGACTTCCCTACATTTTGTGTTAATTCAATAAAAGTTTAAATTGACGATAACAATTTCGGGGGAAGGACAAAGAAGTTGGGACTAAGAAGTCTTGTTGGTGTTAGGATCGAGAACAATGCTGAAGTTTATAGCATTATAAATGGATGCTAATGGATCTGCCCTAGTGATGCTTCTTAGGTCTCGTTTGGGATTACTTTTTTTCACCAAAAACCCGCTTCACTTTTAAGTAGTTTAATGTGTTTGATAAAAATAAAATATCTCGATTATTTTAAAAACAATGACCTTTTGACAACAATTTTTAAAAGTAAGCTTTGGATTGCTTTTCAAAAGAAGCATAGATGAGCCTTCAATGAATTTTTTATTTCCCAAAATACCATCATTAATTTTTTTAAAAGACATCACCTCCACGTCCTCATCCAACTCCACCACCTCCACCACCACTATCGACAGCCACTGCCGCCACCACCACCACCACCACCTCCTCCTCAACCTCCACCACCACAACCACTACCTCCACCTCCACCTCCACCTCCACAACCACCATCCCCACCACCACCACATGATTAGCGCATAACACTTTCAACATCATGTCTATTTTAGTCATTTTTCACATTTACAACAGTTTTATATTAAAATTTACCAAATGGTTTTGACATTGCTTTTTGTACTAACGACACTTTAAAAATATTGTTTACCAAACATAGAGCTGCATTACTTTATAGCTAATTATTTTCAAAGCACATGCAACTTTTTTTTTCTTAAAAGTGACAGCAATCCCAAACTAGCCTTGGGAGTAATGGGCTCTAATTGACTTGGTCATTGTTCAATAAACGGAAAAAAAAAAAAAAAAAAAAAAAAAAAAAAAAAAAAAAAAAAAACTTGGTCATTTTGTAAGTATTTTTTGCCAATAAGCATGTAGTTCCATGGGATAATCTAAAGTTCACTTAAATCAAAATATCCACAAAGTAGCTTTTATCTTTGATTACTCCTATTGTGATGGTATTGGGGCTAGCCTACTGTAGGGGTGGGCATAATTTCATGTCAAACCGATCATTAGAGTGTTCGGTTGGCCTAATAATGAGCAATAGTGGTGGGCATTCGAATAGGTGAATCGAGCCAAACCGAGTTGAGAAAAACTGGAAAAAAAAAATCATGTTGACTAAAATAGTCAAACTAGGCTAAAAACCAAACCAAATCACTTTGGATTAGTTTCCATCTCGGTTATTGTCTTGGAAAAACCGGTGTAAACCGAACCAGAATGGTTATGTTAAGTTTACTTATTCATTTAGAACATTAGTAACCCCAGGTAATAACTATATATTTTAGCCCAATTAATACCAAAGAGTCTTAATTCCAATTTATACTCAACTAAATAACTACTCTAACCCAATTTTTTTCCCTTTTCGGTGAACCATATTTGTCCTTGTTGCATTTCCGTCTTTCTCTCTTTATCCATTGTATATATTTTTTTCTTTATCCAATTTTTCTATACATCCTATTTCTCTTATGCTTCACATATTTATATTTTTTATATTTCCAATAATAATGTAGTTACTAGTTGTACACATTTATCTTTAAATTGTAACCATATTATTATTGAACTTTGAAGTTTTATGTTATGTTGAATTTTAGGATAATTTAATGTGCTACAAAATAAAAAATATGTATCAAGTCATAAATTTTTTGTTGTTGTAATTGAGCTAAAGACATTGTAGAAATACAAAATAAAAAAATATTGGGCTTGGGCCAAAACTAGCCGAACACAGCCGTTTGGTTAAGTTTCTAGTGTGGTTTTTGTCAAAATTGAATCGAACTAAACCCCACAAATTTGAGTAAACCGATCCAATCTAAATCGTGTCAACCCTTACTATGGAGAGAATTGACTTAGACTTCCTTAACCACATTTCATATTTGCCTCATTTACCCTTGGTGGCTTTGGTTGGGAGTGTACTCTTGTAAGACTTTACTTTTATTTTCCTTATATTGAATTTGATTTTAAATATAAAAAAATTGCAACTCTTTAAAATTTGGATAGTAAAGTAAAATCCACCCATATTCTAGGCAAGTGTTTTGTATATTTCCCTAATATAAATTTTGGGAAATTATAGTAGTTTATTAGTTACTCAAATTTTCCATTTCTTTTGTATATTCTGAGTTGGATCCTGCAAGCCTGCATGGCTAGGCCCAAGCCCAACAAAATAAAATAAATATCCAATTGTTTATTGGATATTTAAATTTTTTTTTTTTTTTTTTTTTTATTTAGAAAAAAAAAAGGAGCTAATAGGAGGAGAGGGGGAGAGGAAGCGTTTGAAAATAGGCAGAAGTGGGTCTTCTAAATATTAGGGCACAGAGATCAAAGAGAGAGAGAGAGTAGAGAGCAGAAAATTGTGTTGCTGTGACTTGTGTGAGAGAGAGAGGCTGAGAACAATGTCGTCTTCCAATGTGTTTAGGGTTTTCAGAGGATGCAGGGCTCTCATGGCACCGGCCAGATCCTCCAGCTCCACTGCTGGAGCTGCTGTTTCTGCCTCAAAGGCCGCCACTGCTGCCGAACCAAAGCCAAAGGCCAAGACCAAGGCCAAGGCCAAGGCAGCAGCTGACTCGACCAAACCCAAAATCACTAACAGGAGCCTCGGGATTATGAAGCCAATGCCGATCTCACCAGCTCTTGGTAGATTCCTTGGCGCCTCTGAGTCCTCTCGCGCTGAGGCCGTCAAGCAGATCTGGGCCCACATCAAGCTCCACAACCTGCAGGTCCTCATCCATCCTTTCCTTTTTGTGGCTTTTGCTAGTGGGTTCCAATAAAATGCTTTGTTTTTCGTTATTTATGGGTTTTGCTTCAAATTTCTTTATAAACTACAAGAATATATTTGGGAAATGAAAGAGAATAAAAAGGTAACCAAGCCCTAAAACCTAACCCTAACTATTATTTACTAATCCACCCACCACCCCAAAAGACCAAAAAAAAAAAAAAAAAAAAAAAAAAAAAAAAAAAAAAAAAAAAAAAGCTGCTGTTGTCTCAACAAAGGGATATCTGGACACCTCTGACTTAGCTGATGGGAGCTTGGCTCAATGCAGATTTACTTATGATAAAGTTATTTTATCTATTTTCTTATCATTTTTATTATTTTGGAAGTTGATTAAAGCCAAACAGGTTGTTTCTGCTTTGGATGAAGCTTTCCATGTTTAAACAAGCAGCGTTTTCTTATGTTAACTGAGTTACTGCTCTGTATTTCTATAGCTACTGGTTGCCTTTAAACTAGTTTAGTGTGGCTGGGTTATAGACTGTTCCAGGGGTCATGTCAAGTACTCATCCCAATATATGCATTGCCCTCCACATCACGTAGACTCATATTATGTTGGCTCATGTCTGTTCGCATCTGATATACATATCTTATATGTATAACCATTAAGATCACCTTTTCAAATTTTCATGGTTTTATGTATATGTTGACGGAATATGGGTTCTTGATCTTTAACTTTGATGTACAGTTTGGATAATTCACGGTTCTCAGTAGTCACTTTGGATTCCATTTGATGTTTTATGTATGTTTCTTTTTCATCAGCATGTTATCACATCCTTTTTGAGAATGCCTTTTGTTTGCAACTAGGTAGTTGTCCATTAAGTTAGAGGCGTGCTATGTTTTAACAAGCTTGACGGATAGTGAGTAGCTATTACAGCTAAGAAATGTTATGTTAGGTCTTTTTTTCTTGACATAAGCATTTCTGCTGGGGGATAAAGTAAATTTTGCTATACAAAATTCTGATCTCCAAAGGAATGAGCATAGATGATATGAAAAAGCAAGTAACAGTGTAAACACTGGCAATTAGCAAAAAGGTTGGAAGACTTTTAAATGTTTGAGTTGCATGGAACAACACATGAATTTTCTTTTGACCTGACAAACTAGATGCAGATGGCAAGGTGCGGCCCAGTGGCCTTAGTACTTGGAACAATGTCTCATCAAAGGGATAGAAATGTTTAGGTTTGAAGCTGTCCATGAAATTCAAATCAGTCTCACCCCTGCATATCTGTGGGCTGAGTTTGCCTTTAAAGCCCGTTGGTCTAGGATTTTGTAACCGTAAGGGTTTTGTTTTGTCTACTCCAAAGGTGTGATTGCTACTTATTCTGTTGTTGTTTAGGAAAGTACAGCAGGGATGTGCATCCTGATGTCTTTATCTAGTGGTTGTTTCTAATATGAATCTTGCACATGCTGTGTGTTATTCACCACGAAACAGTTAAATACTTGTAATTGACATATGAAGTCGAGTCGAGTGGTATTAATAGTTGACATATGAAGTCGAGTTGAGTGGTATTAATCAAATATGTATGCTTTTCTCTGCCTGTAGAATCCTGCTAATAAGAAGGAGATCCACTGTGATGACAAGCTCAAGGCAATTTTTGAAGGGAAGGAAAAAGTCGGCTTTTTGGAAATTGGGAAGCTTCTTTCGCGCCACTTTGTGAAGACTGAATGAATGCTCATTCAATCTCTAATTGATGCATTTTGCTTTGAATCGATGTCCCTAACCCCTGTTTAAAAAAGAAAAAGCAAATCCATTTGGAGATAGTGTAAGTTTCACACTTATGTTTGAGACCATATTATGCAGGCTTGGGGTTTGATGATTGAATTTTAGCTGGAATGCCTTCTGGTTTTGGATGTGTAAAAAGTACGTAGGATCATGAAATGACTTTTATGTAGATCATTTTCTCTTATTTCAGTTTCACTGTTGCTTTTAGCTGTGGTGAATGTCATATCATTGATCTTAATTTCTCCCTCTTAAAATTTTATCAAAAGAGGTTGGCAGATCGTAGTGTAAAGGATTGGGAGGACAGCCCCCAGGTGTGTGAGTTGTCCTCTTTCCTAACTTTTGCAAAAGAAAAGGGCAATATATTTCATCACTGTCTCAGTAGAATAATTAGTAATATCTCATTGTTAATTATGGCGTCGTGGGTTCGATTTAATGACCGTGTTACTGTAGGTGCTATTCTTATCCTTGATAAAATGTGTGCATGATTTAATAACACAAGGTGCATCTTATTGCCGTGGATTGCATTGACTTCACCATGCAGTAAACGCGCTTGTGCTCGGTCTGATCGTTTTGATTTGCCCTACACCTAATAGGGACGCATCTTAATCCATCTAAATCCTAAGGAGTGTTTAACAACATTTGGATTCCATTCTAATCTCCGGCAATATTGCTTGTATAAAAAAGTAAAAGAAAAACCTATTGAGGTTGCTTTACACAAAAACCCACGCCAAAATCCCCCAAAACTCTACTCTTTGCCGTTACACGAGCAGTCGTGGCGGATTAAGGCAAAAGTAAGCAGGGACTAAGCTGACTATCCTCCACCATTAGCAAGAAGAATTCCATTACTTGCATGCACAAAGGTACACAGACAGTAGCTGGGACTGGGGATGATAGAAAGATAATTTGACTTTCAGAGGCAGAACAAGACTTGTGCAATTGGATTACAGTGCAGATGATTAAAATTCCCAAAGATGAGAAAGAACAGGTTTCAAGTCAAATTGCATGATCAATACATCTTCCACCAGTATTATGAGTTCTTCTGCTTGTCCAAGTCAAATAAAATTATAATTAATTACAAACAAATAACTAGAAGAATGCAAAATATTCGAAAAAAGATTACAGTTTATAACTTGGCAAGACATCAAAAAAATTCTTACGAATGGACAGTTGACAAATTACTATGGCATCGAATAAATTATTCTTTTCTTTGCAGTACCTTAGAAGTTGGAATCATTAAGTAAGGAGGTGATGTATCCATTGCTCTAGAATAGCAGGAGACCCATACCATGGTCTCAAGATATCATCTGAACCAACTGGTGAGTGGTAAACACCATCTAAGCTAATATTGAGTGCACCCTCAAGATGGGCTGATACTTCTGGTACAACCCCATCTCCCCAAACATCTGCCTGCCCACAAACCTGAAATACATGCTAGTCTCATTGTCAGAATTCGGTCTGCAACCATGGTGTCCGGCTTAAAAGATATGACAACACTTAACACCAGGAAACATAACTATAATAAAATCTCATAGAAATTGAATTGAACTCTCAAATGACAATGATAAGTTTATTCTGACTGGAAGTAACTGTTTATTCTGCTAAGACAGTTGGGGTTTTACCTGTTTGTACCCTTGCCCAACAAAGCGCGCACGCAAAGTGGTTGTGGTTGATGTTGAAGTGCTCATATCATTTATGACAGCAACCTCTGATGAAGGTTCTACACTCGCTATTGGAAGTGCAGAATCAATACTTTCACTTGAGTTCCCAAACAAACGAGCACCTTGGAGATACCTGCAGTTTCCGTATGCACAACTCATTTAGATTATAGGATTTTACACTTATATTTGTTAGAGTATGGTGTTATATAATATCCGTGGGGTCTATTAATGTCAAGCTCTTCTGATGCTTCTTTGTTAATTTCATATATGGATGTGGTGTGGTGTCCTGTTCAACCTATCTACTGTTTACTACATCCATTTTATAGTGTTGCAAGTAACCTTCTTGATGCACCTTAGCAATATAACTGAACTCAGAATTGAAAATACAAGAAGAATTTCACACCTATTAATTTATTCAAATAAATAAAAATGTCTGCATAAAGTAAACACTTCAAATAATAACAGAAGCAATATAGAGTAAGAACAAAAACCAGAATCAAATTTTGAGTTTTACCTCCCTGCTATACATACATATTTCACTTCAGGAGTGTAAACAGCTTTTGAGCAATTCTTATCAACGTAATCCAGGAGACCTCTTGTTTGATCAATAACCCCTGACACACCTTTTGGTGGTGGCCTGAACAACATATAGGTGTCAGTTATTCTCCTAATGAAGTTTGAAGAAGTAAGCTTTTCAAATGGAATATGGAATAACAAAAGTTACTAGACATGTCATGTCATCACCAAACAGCCCTCAGATATGATAAATGTTGATTCACATATGTAAAAGAGATCCAATAGTCATCAGCAAGAAATTAACATGAAAAAGTTTGATGACCTACAGGTGGGGGGTTCCAAGAGTCAACAACAAGGATATATCGGACAGCCCAAATTCTTCAATGTAGAGACGTGCAAGCCATCCTCCTGCTGAGTGTCCAATCAGGGATAATTTCCCACCTAAAAACCATAAGAAATGAAGCAAATAAGTCAATTGCTGTGTTTGATAGAGAACTCGCATGTTCAATGAGTCAATGACAGAGGATGGCAAGGAAGGAGACCCTATGAACAAAAGGGAACAAATATAGTGTTGAATTTTGACATGGCCACAAGGAAGATTCACAAGTGAAGGAAGGACGGACATTTCTTATGGCTTTTTTGGGCACATTATCTAACCCGTATTATACTTTAACTCACCTTCCTCTAGGGGAGGGGAGATCATCATTAAGATGCGTAGCAATTACAAATTGTACAATAACCAATTACCGGGCTTCCAAAAATTTAACAATAAGGTTATATTGGATCAAACCACTCAAGCTAAAGTATTTTCATTAAATCAGTAGGTTAATTTCCCTTTCAAGCATAGCTGCAACTGCTAAAGTGATATCATGGCACTAGAAAAGCTGCTAAAGCATGAGAATTTTAAAATCAAGCAATGCCATTTTCAAAGATGTAATAACACACTAGGAAGTTAACAGATGGGGATAGGCCATGGGTATCAACCACCATCACCATTACTACCAAAACCACCAGCACTATCACCACCACCTCAAGGGTAGCACATTGCCCATCCCTATTAACAGAAATGAAACTAATTATCTTTTAGCATCATCTAAGTTGGCCAAAGAGAATTGACTTACACATGTTTGACTCCTCTAATACTAACTCTAGTATTAGATTTTACCTATCTTTCTCAACTTTAAAAGATTACTAATGTCCAGAAGTCAGAGAGCAAGGGGTCTCCATGTGTTCGGCTCAATCGTCTGCAACAGAGAGGTTGGCCAACATGTAACAACTCATTTTCTCACTGTTTCTCAACTTCATCCTAACCATACAACACTCGAGATAGATTTTGTTTCAACTTAGCCCAATTCACAATATCTAAAGTGATCCGAATTACAGAAAGAAAACAAAAAATACATAGATATTGAATTGAAGCAATTGATGTACATTTCAAATTTCTAAACAGATGGTGTTAATCAACCTTGTGCCAGCTCCTTTGCCTCTTGTACGGCCTCATCCACCCTCTTCAAATACCTGCCAAAGCATGGTCATTCATTGTTAGATAAATTTAACTCAACCCATTATAATGCCATTAAAACCCCAAAGGGTACTAAAAAAGAAACAAACTTGAATTACTCGGCATACCAATCAAGTACAGGGCGAGGACTGAGAGTTCCCCGCCAGTAATTTGGGTCAACCAAACCGGCGGCATTCCTCAGCCAATCAAGTCTTGACACCTTAGCAACTACTGTGGCCACTCCATACTCGCTCAAAGTAAGCTCCAACTTCTGGTAGTCAGCTGAATTGTTCCCCAAACCCTGAAATAAATATATATAAAACCCACGAAACAGAAACTGAGATATTTGCAAAATGCCAGAGTCCCAAAAGTTATGCACACATATTGCAGTTTGACAGAACAAGTGAAACCCAGATGAGGAAAACTTAAGAGAGAAATTATAAGCTTAACTGGAAGAACAACAGCAGGTCGATATGATGATGATGATGTTGATGGGTCCTGAGAGAATGCACAGGAGGAGAAGGCCAGTGGTTTCAAAGGCGATAAAAGCATAGCCATTCCCATACCCACACCATGGGAAAGGGGCATGTTTGGCTTGGCATTTTGTAGTCTGTACCAAAAGCCACCAAAAAGGAGGGTCACACCAGTTGGTTTTGGTACGTTTGAGAGTTGAGGTTAAGGTGAAGGACACGTTGCCTTTTGCTTTTGCAATCCTCCAGCTCCAATGAGCTTCATTTTCTAATCCCAACAAGAACAAAGACCATCACATCATCATCAAGCAAGCCCAAATAAAACCAAGAGCAAACTGATTTAAGGACACAAACTAATTATTAATACAAACTATATTTTATTTTAATTTAATTTAAATTATAACGAGAGGATTCGAACTCAAGTGCAAAGAGAAAGCACATACGCTCTAGTCAATTTGACTAAGCACATGTCTGCTTTGGTTATTAAAAGCTTACCTCTGCACCGTAGTCTCGTATTCGAATTCTCTCTTCATAAATATCGCTTGTATCAAATGGAAAAGAAATAATGATTTATTTCGTTACGTGCTAAGAAATAATAACACTAACTTATTTCATCAAAACTTTCAACAAAATTGTATGTTACACGCACTTCCAAGAAGCCAAATCTACCCTCACTTTACCTATGCCACTCGTGTGTTAATCTTGTTGAGAGAGTTAACAAAATTAAGCCTCAATTGCAACAATTAGTAACTCACGAAAAATGAAACTAGAAATACTAAAGTGAACTGCGCCTAAATTATAATTACAAAAATCATAATTTAGCAAAACAGAAAAAGAAAAAAGATGAAATGTCCTTTTTATATGTGTCATTATTCTAGCCGTGGAATTTTAATCCGACCGTCTTGACTTGTCCTCTCCATTTGTATTAGTTTCAGAGAGAAACTGAAGTGAGAGAGTGAGGGGTTTACCCAAAACCCAATATTGGTGTAGCAGCAAAGATGGGTTCTTGGGTTTGCTAACCCAGTGGTGCTGATTTATTGAAGAGTGGAAAAATCCACACGTATCTTGTACAGTCATTTATGATAGAAACATAGTAATGGTATCCTCCATAAGCAACACAAGGAGCTGGACCTCATACATTTGTGTGCAATTTTTGAAAAGGAAGAAGAGATACAGATTGAGAAAGGGAAAATGGTAAACGATGCATTGTACCATTCAAACAAAAACTACATATACTTGGTGATGCATCAGGGTGAACAGAAAGTTGTGATTGTTTGAGCATATGCTGAAGAATGTCATTGGAAACATGACCAAACCGTTGATGCCACAAGGTGGATTTAATGAACTTGCTGCCGGAGAAAAGCTTGCTTGGAAATTACAGAGGAAGGTTTTCTTGGAATAGCAATGGATGGAGATACAGGTTGAGGAATTGGATACAATCCCTTATAACTCTTTCATCTTTCCCTGGACAAGTAGTCTTTGTGACCTTGTCTTTGCATAACTTATAGACTGATAATAAATAATGGCTCCTCTTGAAATAATTGACCTACAGGCTTGAGCCATATATCTAATGTTATGTTTATGATTATTGTGTGAGAGCTGGTGTTCGTGCAGTCCGGATGTACTTGAAGTGGCACTGGACATGAGAAATCAATAATTTGATTCTCAACCCCATGTTTTGAAACACTTCCATGAAATCGACTTGAGTGTGCTGTGTGACAGTGAGGGATGGGTGTTAAGCAATCCAATGGGGATAAGGACTGAGAGAGAAATTCATGCAGAATTTGAAGGTGCAAAAATTTACAGAAGGATCTACCAGAAGCAAATGTAATTAACTAGAAGTAGAAGGTTCATGGATGAAGCAAATGAAGAATCAAGTGAGAGCTTTGATTGCGTCTATTAGCCTGTAGAAAGTAGGGTTTCTTACCTGTTGATGGGTAATGTCGGCAACATCGTGTGAAGGATGTTCATGCTTCAAATTTTAGTATGGAAAATCAAAATTTGTAACGTGACCCATTGTATTAACTGGCTCGTACTTTTCTGTTGAAACAAAGATGCCCCATGCCCCCTTCTGAACGCATACACACACGCATAATGAAGTTTAAGCTTTTCAAATGGAATATGGAATAACAGAAGTTACTAGACATGTCGTCATATCATCATCAAGCAAGCCCAAATAAAAGCATAAGCAAACTGAATTAAAGACACAAACTAATTATTGATAAAAATGAAGTTTTACTTTAATTAATCTAAATTACAAAAAATGAGATTTGAATTCTGATGCAGAGGAGGAGCACATCCGCTCTAGCCAATTTGGCTAAGTTCATGTTTGCTTTGGTGGTTAAAAGTAGTTACCTCTACACGCTAGGTCCTTTGTTCGAATTCTCTCTTCCTAAATATCGCTACAAAAAAAAAAAAAAAAAAAAAAAAAAAAAAAAACAATTAGTCTCACTTTACCTTATGCACTCATGTGCTAATCTTGTTGGGAAAGTCAACAAAACTAAGGTCAATTGCAACAATTAGGGAACAAGAAGTCTAAAAACTCACGACAAATGAAACTAGAAATACTAAAGTGAAACTGCGCCTAAATTATAGAGACAAAATCATAAAATTGGCAAACAAGAAAAATCAAAAAGATGAAATGTCCTTTTTATCAGTGTTATTATTCTAGCCGTGGAATTATAATCCGACGGTCTTGACTTGTCCTCTCCATTTGCATTAGTTTCACAGAGAGAAACTGAAGTGAGAGAGGGGAGGGGTTTACCCAAAACCCAAATAATTGGTATAGCAGCAAAGATGGGTTCTTGGGTTTGCTTACCCAGTGGGGTTGGTAGTGTCACTGTCTCTGGTGCATTGCCAAGAAGGGCTCTTTCTGCTCTTCTACTACAAAATCCAATTTCACTCCTACCTTCTTATCAATTTCACCACAACAGAAGAAGAGTTTGTGCCTCTGCTTCTTCTGGTGCAAAGGAATTACAACAGCAACAGTATCTGAGGAGCCCAGACCTTGTGGGCTTGGAATATGCTGACCTTAATCTCACCCACAAAATTTCTGAGGTCTTTGTTTTTGTTATTTAATCATCTTTTTCGTTTTGGGTGGAAAGAATTGTTATGTTGGTGTTCTGGGTTTTCATATATATATATATATATATATATATTTTTTTTTTTTTTTTTTTTTTTTTTAATTTTATTCTGTTAGAAAAAGAAACTTATTATATCTTTGATGTAAAGCTCATTTTGGGTTGTATTTTCGCAATTGCAGGAACTGGGTCATGTCAGAATCAGGCAACATGTCAACCCTCTAAGTTCCTCTCTCTCTGTATGTGACTTGAAGGGTGTTCTTTCTTTTTCTCTCTTACATAATACAATATAATTTTTTGTTCCGGTTACCTTCTGATTCGTTGGTAATCTTTTTGTTAGGTGCCTGTGGAAGTACCTGATTGGAATCAAGTCTTCAGGGACCCAACATTGCCACTCATGGTGGATATTGGATGTGGTACCATTTTATTTCCTTTTCTTATGAACTCCCTCTTACATGCAATCTATTTTTGTAGTCCTAGTGCTTCATAATTATAAGCGATTCAGCATTGCATATATGTCATGGTTGTTTAATACCATGACAAGGATGATATTTTTGCATATAGAACCAGCAATTACTTGCTAGCTTCTTGGGACTTATCTAGTTCAGTTCTTTAGAACCCAGTAATTGCCTTTGTGTGCGGTCCCCTGGTCTCGTGCACTGAAACTAAGCAAAAATACTTGGCTGGTTTTGCATCTTTTGTGATATTTGTCGTAATCCTTGCTCATATTATAGGTATATACTTCCAAATTTTGCTTCAACAATTATAGGTATCTGATGTAATCGTCAATTATCATTTGTCAATCTAACAATGTAAACATTCTCAGGTAGTGGCAGATTTCTCATATGGCTTGCAAAAAGAAATTTAGTTATGAGAAATTATTTGGGACTGGAAATACGGAAGAAAGTATGGGACAACTCCTTGGGCTATTTTTGATACACTTGATAGTTCTTCTGATTGAGTCAGTGTATTATTACTTGGTACTCATTCCTTCTTGTTTCAAGAGAATAATATGGTTTTGTTTCTCATGTACTTATGTTTTGCCCCTGATGCAGCTGGTCAAGCGTGCTGAATTCTGGGTTAAGGACCTGGCTCTTAGTAATATGTAAGACCCTTAATCATTAGATGGTGAAACCTTTTGTGTATTATTGGCAAGCAACTGATATATTATATTGAATTAAATGGCAGATATTTCATGTTTGCTAATGCCACAACTTCCTTTCAACAACTAGTGTCTACATACCCTGGACCATTGATGCTTGTTTCAATCCTGGTGAGTTAATCTCTCATGAAATTTTCAAGGACATTCTCATTATGTTTCCAATCATAAGGCTGAAACACCTTTATCTAAGTGGATTCTTTGCTCATGTTCATGTGCAGTGCCCAGATCCTTATTTCAAGAAAAGGCATCATAAGAGACGGGTTGTACAGAAGCCTTTAGTAGATTCCATTGCGAGCAATTTAATGCCCAGCGGCCAGGTTTGATTAAATAACTAAGTATAATTACTCATTACAAAATAATGAAGTGAAGATGACCTCTTTTTTGGGGATTGAAAGCGACTATGATTGATTATTAAAGGTTGTCATTTTTGTTTAGCTTTGGTCCCTGCTATGAGTGACTCACTAGACATGTTGTAGATTTAATAGTATCAAGAGCTTGAAGCCTAATCTTTAAATTCCAGAAAATGGCCTTACTAATATCAAACCCTGATGCAGCTGGTCAAGTAGATGAGCAGCTTTTGCACTTTTCTTTAGTGAAAATATGCATCCTTTCATTATGTTTGTTCCACATGAAATCTAACCCATCAGTTTCTTGCTACGCGACATATACCTTAGGTGGGGTTTATTTTTCATGCAGGGATCAATCACGACGAAAAGGATGAACCTTTTCTTCCTATTGATTGTTGCCTATTCTTAAAATAGATCAGTTTGGATACAAAGATATGGCTCTGGTTGCAAGGGTTAGGCTCGGGTTGGGGTGGATCTTTAGGATGAAGTCTTGCCAACCCACATGAATGGGAAATAAAAAGAAAGACCACACCGTTTAGAAAGACAGAGTGGAGCACGATTATTGCTTTGATCAAAAACAGGAATTCCAACCAAATTTGTTTGTGTGTTGGGTCTCACAGTGGTTATGCGCTGTGTCGATTTAGGTTATATAATCGATTACAAGGAGCTCCATCAGTGACCTTCCTTTGTGGGTATTTTGTGATGTTTTGATCATGATAAATGATATCAGAGTCAATTCAATACTGCCATGTAGGTTTGGGAGTAATTCAGTATGATAAGTATAGGCCCTAACAAAGAAGTCAGGAATTTCATCTTGCCTCATTAGAGATTTCGGTGGGAGATTGTGGTGTTAAATTCATCTTAAAAATTGAGTGCGTGCCTTCTATATGAATTCTTTCAATGATTTTGGCCCCTGTTGAAATAATGGCTTGATTTTGGATGAACAAGTATGATTGTTGCATGAGTAATTGACCTGCAGGCTTGATCCAATTATCTAATGTTATGTTTATGAGCAGGTGTTTATACAGTCAGATGTACTTGAAGTGGCGCTTGACATGAGAAATCAATTTGATTCTCAACCTCAGGTTCTGAAACACATCCATGAAATCGACTCGAGTGTGCTGTGTGACAGTGAGGGATGGGTGTTAAGCAATCCAATGGGGATAAGGACAGAGAGAGAAATTCATGCAGAATTTGAAGGTGCAAAAATTTACAGAAGGATCTACCAGAAGCAAATGTAATTAACTAGAAGTAGAAGGTTCATGGATGAAGCAAATGAAGAATCAAGTGAGAGCTTTGATTGCGTCCATGTATCCTGTAGAAAGTAGGGTTTCTTACCCGTTAATGGGTAACGTCGGCAACATCGTGTGAAGGATGTTCATGCTTCAAATTTTAGCATGGAAAATCAAAATTTTGTAATGTAACCCTTTTCATTAAAATGTAGCTTTTAGGTGAAACACAATGCATCTCAATATTTTATTACCGGAATTGTTATCCTCCACGGGATGTATCTCTTAAAACAATTTGATACGTTTTGTAGGGTGTTGATTTTCCCGATCTCCTTTTGTGCACTTATAATTCCTTTTGGTTTTTTAATACTTTTTATTATAACAACAGAGACTGTAAGCGAACAAAAGATAAACGGGAAAATCAACTCCCATTTTTTACTATTAAAATCAATTAGCGTGCACAGGTTAAATTAAGGTAGTGTGTTTTTTCTCTTGCACAAGTTCGATAACGGGGTTAAATGCATTTGAGTTTAACGTCCGATGTGTCAAATTGTTTGCTACGTGTCAGAAAACTACTAGGCCGTAGCTCCACATCAGCTGTACTACAGTCACAGTACTACTGAATGATTTCTCCAGTCCACAGGAGACTTGGAGGCCATCTGCCAATGCCTGTCTTCAACTCTTCAACCATGCTCATGCTGCGTCTGAAGATCTCAGCCAAAGTCTGCCCTCTCCTGCACTCAGTCACCACTGTCTCCTTCTCCACTTCCGCCTCCGCCTCCCCTTCCATCTCCACCGTCGATCTCCTCGACTCCTACACCGTGACCCCACCAATCCAACCCTGGCCCAGACGCCTCCACCCAAAGCGCCTCATCTCCCTCATCACTCGCGAACCCAACCTCGACCTCGCCCTCCAAATCTTCCACCACGCCTCCAAATTCCACCCTGGCTTTTCCCATAACTACCACACCTACCACGCCATCCTCAACCGCCTCTCTCGTTCCCGCGCTTTTCACCCCAAAATCGACCCGCTCCTCTCAGACCTCAGCAACTCCGGCATCAAATGCTCTGAAGACCTCTTCATCACCCTCATTCGCAATTTCGGCGTCTTGGGTCGTCCCAAGCTCTCCTTCAAGACCTTCCTCGACATTCCAAAGTTTGGAGCTCAACGCTCTGCCAAGTCCCTGAACGCCTTGTTGAACGCTTTGGTTCAGAACCATGAGTATGGTTTGGTCCACTCCGTGTTTAAAAATTGTGGGCAGAGATTTGGGGTTAGGCCCAACGTGTTCACTTGTAATATACTGATCAAGGCGCTTTGCCAAAAGGGTGATGTTGAGACTGCACTCAAGGTGCTCGACGAAATGCCTGCAATGGGGTTTGTCCCGGATGTGGTGACTTATACCACGGTTTTAGGAGGGTATGTTTTGCGGGGTGACATGGTTGGCGCCAAGAGGGTTTTCGGGGAGGTTTTGGATAGAGGGTGGCATCCGGATGCGACTACTTACACCATTTTGATGGATGGGTTTGTTAAGCAAGGGAAGTTGGTTGATGCTGTGAAGGTCATGGATGAGATGGAGGAAAATAAGGTTGGCCCAAATGAGGTGACTTATGGGGTTATGATTGAAGCTTATTGTAAGGCAAAGAAGTCGGGTGAAGCGGTTAATTTGCTTAATGATATGCTTGAGAAAAGGTATATACCGAGTTCGGCGCTTTGCTGTAAGGTGATTGATATTTTGTGTCATGAAGGGAAGGCGGAGGACGGTTGTGAATTGTGGAAGAGGCTTTTGAAGAACAACTGCACACCCGATAATGCAATCTCGAGCACGGTCATATACTGGCTTTGTAAGGAGGGGAAAGTATGGGAAGCCAAGAAATTGTTTAATCAGTTTAAGACGGATTTGATTCCCAGTGTCATGACGTACAACATGCTTATTGCGGGACTGTGTGAAGTGGGGGAGCTGTGCGAGGCAGGGAGGTTGTGGGATGACATGGTTGAGAAAGGATGTGCTCCGAATGCTTTTACATATAATATGTTGATCAAAGGATTTTGTAAAATTGGAAAAGCAGAGGAGGGGATTAGGATTTTAGAGGAGATGCTGGATAAAGGTTGTTTGCCCAACAAGTCTACTTATGGCATGTTGATTGAGGGGCTCTGTGACTTGGGGAAGGAAGCTGAAGTCACAAAAGTGATTTCATTGGCAATGTCAAATGGAGACATTGAGAGTGCTTCGTGGGATCTTTTGCTTACTAAGTTTGTAGGTGATTTGGATACTGGGGGAGCTGTTATGGACAAAATACTTGTGGAGAATGTTAATTAGAGGCCTTTTCAACATATAACCCAGACCTCGTGAGAGTGGAATGCATTTATATAATCTCATGCACAAGGTTTCTGAGGTAAACAATATTCATGTTGTTAATTTGTCTATGTATGTAGTTTTCCTTGTGGAAAGAGAGAACATTCACCTTTTTTTCTTTATGAATGATGTAGAGTTTGATTTTTAAAGTAAGTTAGAAAGGATTGCTATTACCTTTGTATAAAGCTTGTTCTGATTTATGGGTGCAATTTGATTAGGTTTCTGTGAGCAGGCACCATTTGTGATTTGGGTGCACGAAGGTTCTTGTGCAATTCGATGAAATATGCATTGAATGCCGCGGGCAAATTTGCACATGCAAATAGTTCCTTGTGGGTGTTTACAGGTGGAAGTTGAAGTAGCTGAAATCTGATGATGGTAACAGAGTTGTCAAAAGCAAAGTTGAGGTGAGTAATAGGTTCTTCAACCTCAATACTGCACACTTTGGCCGTTTGATCTTGCTTGTTTCACCTCAGTTTGATTAGGCCAAGCTTGTTCAATCTTGATTATGTCTTGTGTTGTGAGTTCGAGCGTCATATTCCTTAGTTTGTAATTCATGTTAACAACCAGTTGTATGGTAAAGAAGAAAGGGAGCGTTTAAATTTTTGCTAGAATCATTGCATGGACTACCAAGCCTATCCAAAATTCTGGCTTCTAATTTTTTTAGCCTTGCACCAATGCTAAATTATGATGAGCCAACTTATTGAGGATCAAAAGGGACTGGGATTGTTGGTGCTATAAAACACACTTTTGCTTATATTCTCATGTTACTTGTCAATAATTGGCTATTAAAATTTGAAATACTGCTAGACGAATAAATAGTTGAAAAAAGTTTTAGTTCGTGTAGTTTTATTGTAAGTATAATATTCACCTTTAGATATTTTAATATTTAGAATAAAAGAAGAATTCCACAAGCATATAATATCACTTTTATAGATGAGACATTGTTTTCAACCCCCCAAAAAAAAGTCTCAAAATGAAAGATGACTTACTTTCGAAAAGTTATTCCAACCTGTGGTAATTATTTTCCTGATATGAGGTCTCCAATTCAAATATCTTTCTTCTAAATGTTTCAACCTATGGATGAGTAATAGTAATAGGATTAAGATACCCTCTATACGATCCTTAATTATTCCTTCCATCATTCTGAAAAGTAAAGGCGGTGTACTTTTAAATATGGGAGATTCTCTCATGTTTTTGGTGCAAAGGAGGTTAAAAAGAAGGGAAAAGAAAATGATATATTCTCTCATCCTGTGTTTGAGAGTATATGCATTTTGCCATGAAAGCTCCAAGTACTCAAAAATTAGTGGACCTTTTCTAGAGCATCACATTCAGAAATTCAGAGATAAATTCTCACCGTCTGGACGGCATATAATGAAGCACACGCGTTGAGTGCATCAACTTTATGTGTTCTATTTGTCTTTGGGATCAAATGATGAGAATCTTTGCTTCTTTTCTTCATCCATATATATACAGTTCATTTCTTTCAAGTTTCATACACACATTTGTTTGTGTGTTTAAGCCCAAAGCCTCAACAGATAAACAAAAAGACTTCCAAATTAAGATAGTCATCATACCACAAACTACCATCTCATCTGACTGTAAAATCATTTTGGTGAGCTATCTCTATCTTTTTCTTTGTAGTCATTATATTCTTTTTCTCTGTTAATAATGCTGTTATTTGATCTAGAATGGCAATATTTCATTGTTGTGATAATTTTCTTTTGCCTATTCTAATTAAAAAAATGTAAATTAAAGGTCCCTTAGGTCGCCATTTGTTTTTTTTTGTTGAATGGAGGAATTGCTTCTCAACTGTTTTTCTTTTCATTTTTTCCCTAAACTATGTTTTATATGAAAAGGTTACTTATTTGAATCTTGAAGGTCAGTTGGTCATGTTAAACTTGTAGATGCAAACAAATCTTTGTACTTGGTTCCAAGATGATCTCTTTTCATTTGATGTTTAACATCACAATTGTTGCCATTATCTATACTTGTTATGCACAACAAAATTCTCTTGCTTACTAGTTTGACGTATTAATATCATGTTGCCATTTCATACTGAATTATGATCATTGATTAGCTAAAATCATGTATAGATGTGTGGTTGACATTCATAGTCTCTCAAGTACATAACCTTCCAAATATCTGATAATAACAAAACATTACTGGTGAGGTAGAAATTATTATATTTTTATCTGGTTTACTTGGATTTTTATTTCCTCAGTGTTTTTCTGAATAATAACTTTGTGCAGCTAGGCATCAATTTCACATACTTGAACTTGAAGTAACTAAGATGGGAGGTGGAAAGGACAAACAACATGAGTCTACTGACAAAGGGTTATTTTCATTTGATGGTGGATTTGGTGCTGGACACTATCCTGGATCATACCCTCCGCAAGGATATGGATATCCCCCACAAGCACATCATGGATATCCTTCCTCCGGTGGGTATCCTCCACCTGGATATCCTTCCAATGGGGGATATCCACCAGTCGCCTATCCAAGTGGATATCCCCCAGCCGGTTATCCAGGTCACTCAGGTCCATATCATTCAGGTAATCGAACCTCATCGTCTGTAACGTTTCAGTTTTTCAAATATAAACAAGAAGTTGTAGTTTTCTCCTTTCTCATTTACATTTATCACCAATATATTCTTACTTTACTCTCACTTTTCCTTCTTTGGCTCACTGAGCTCTTGTTCAAGTGGTACTTCTCTTACTAACTTTTGAAGAGATCTCAAGTTCGTATCCCAAAGTCCCGTTGATCACAAAATGGCCATTTGGTAGAGTAAATATATATATTTTTTGACAAGTAGCTGAGTAATATATCCCACGTACTGCAGGGTATGGATCTAGCATGGGACTGGGAGGGATGTTAGCGGGGGGTGTTGCTGCTTACGGGGCTAACCATCTTGCGCATGGGGGCCATAGCCATGGATATGGTTACGGCGGGGGTTACCAGGGCTATGGTGGTTCTCATGGGAAGTTCAAACATGGCAAATTTAAGGGAAAGGGGAAGTATGGCAAGCCCTTTGGGGGCAAGTTCAAGAAATGGAAGTGATCATGGAGTGGATCCAGGCAAAATATCATGGTCGGTTCAAGATCTAAGTCTACAGATAATCTTATACTGTAATTGGCTTTCTAATAATTACGACAGCCATGCTGTTTCGGGTTGTCTTATTGTTTCTTTCAATAATGCTATATACTATGTATGTCGTCTAATTTAGTTGTTTTTGTTCCTTTGAGAAGGCTAGTGGAATGCTCCTTTAGGCAATTGTTTTGGCAGCTACTTATATCATGAATGCCTCAAAGGCCTAGGGTGCACAGCCCTGTATTTATTAAAGACGTATTTTGTGATCCCACGAGGAAATCAAATTTGAGGTTTCTTTCAACATTTTGAAAGATGAATGTTACTAGACCAAGAGTTAGTTAATAAAGACGTTCAAGTTTTTTCTGGTCTGAAGACGTCTCGGTATACGTGAAGTACGTATGTAGATCAAGATACGTTCCTCTTGTTTCATAAAAATCAAGATAGAAAATCATGAGACAATAAAGGGATTAATCAATTGAGAGAATCAAAAGAGGAGACGTAGCCATCATATGATGGAAGCACAACTTTAGCTGCAAGCAAAAAATTTGAATGTGCGTGTTTGATTTTAATTTCTGAATTCGTTATTTCCTCTCCTTTTCCAATTTATTTTTTTAAATTCGCCTATCTTGACCATAGTTGGATTAAGATTTAAGACTGGGTAGTTCGGAAGATTGAACACGAAATCAAACCATATTAGAAGTTTATGTTTGGGCCAACCATAAAAGTTAAGAGTTGTTGGGCCTTTTTCTAAATAAAATTCTTATCGTATGGATGACATATAATAAAGCAAAAGCACACGCTTTGATGTCACGCGGTCCATTAGTTCTTGTCGTGGATTAAACTTTAATGTTGCCCATTGTCGTACGCCATGTGGATAAGAGGATGAGAATCCATACTATTAATATGAATATAAAAATAATAATTCTTTTTTGTGGTCTATCTGTGTTGGAAGAATACTTTACCTCGTTGGTCAATCAAAATATTGTTAAATATGATATCATATATTTTTATTTTAAATAATTGTAGCAATAGGATATTAAGAAAACCAATAAGCTAATTGTACACAATCACACTTTCAATTGGTTCCTTATCTACACCAAAATATTATATTGTTTTAATGTAACGATGTAGTGTGTATGTCAAGTCCTGTAGTTTGAGGAAACTAACACATAAGAGAAAAATTGGGCCTTTAAATATTTTTCATTGTGTAAACACAATACAAATTATCAATTAGTTCTTCATCTACTGGTATTTTTTTTTCCTAATATTTGAAGAGATCATAAGTTCGAATTTTTCTTACATATTTAAAAAAAAACTTAAATTCAAATTTCTTATATATAAAATTTTATATCCGCTCAGACATCTGATTCTTGTTATATCAAACACCAGCTCGATGTTGTCGAAATTATCGATGCTCTCCTTCACACTGCTCGTCACTAGGGTTGCAAGAGATCAGTGGGCGATTGGTGGCGAGGAGCATGGTGGTGGCCGTTTAGTCCTTTAGGTGGAATGTTTTTTAGAAAAGAAAAAGATGTTTAAATAATAAAAGTTCAAACTATAAATAAGAGTAAAATAGTCTTTATTGACCATAAGATTTTTTTTAAAAGAGTAGAAAGAGCAATTAAATTGGTTCAAATTGCCTCACAAAGACAGAAGGCGTGCAAAACGTGTGTATCCTCAACTCATTTACATACAAATCAACCTAGTCTTTTCCCTTTCCTTCCCATTATCATCAACTTCCTCCTCCCTTCCTATTTTCCTAGAAGTACTTCAAAGCTTCTTCTTTAAGGTCCCTCTACGCGTTTGACAAAAAGAGAGAAAAAAAATTAAAAAAAATCCACACGCCTTTGTTTGTGTGTTTAAGGCCGAAGCCGCATGCAATCTTCAAACAAAAATTGTGGCACCACAAACTACCAATTTGTTGAATTACACAGAAAACAAAAAATAGCATCAAGTTGGTGAGCAATACCCATCTTTCTCCATTTCTTTTAGCTTCTTTTTCTATAGTAATAATTCTAGTCTATGCTTTTGAATCATGGTAATCTTTAATTGCTGCAAGAATTTTCTTCTGGGTTTGTGGATCTGTGAATTTGGGTTACTTCTTTTTTGCTTTCTTTGTTGTTGAATGAAGTGGGTGGGGAGTTGCAGCTTCCTAACCCCTTTTCTTTTGGGTTTTCTCAAAACTATGCTGTTGATGAAGATGGGTTTCTTTTTTTAATGTTAACGATCGGTTGGGCATGTAATATGTGAGAAATAAACTTGTCTGTGTGTAAAAACCTGCTGCTTGATAATTTTACTCTATTTGGGTATCTGTAGCTTTTTGCCAAGATGATGATGATCTCTTTGGATTTGAAGTTTTGCCAAACAGTTCATGCTATTAACTATATAATATACGAAGTAGAAACCATTATGATAACAGGATTTCTCTTTAAAAAGTTAAAGATCATGGTTGCCCAAATTTAAGAATCTTTAGGTCATATCTTGGGCTAATTTTGTGAATCTTCTCTGCAACATAGTCTCTCTGTTTTTCTCGGTTGGACTCTGTTAAAGTAGTGAACTTTGCATATATTGGGCACCATTCAGACTATGATATGATGTGGGGTTGCTTAGTGGCTGTTAGTGTGCTTATTTCTATTTGATTACTTTGGGTTCTTGGTTTCCCAACAGATTTTTTGAATTATGATTTTTATGTGTGCATTAGTTACAAGTTGAAGTAAGATGGACGGTGGAAGAGACAACAAAGACGAGTCTAATGACAAAGGGCTATTTTCACAACTTGCTGGATATGCTGCTGGACACTACCCACAGCATGGATCATACCCTCCACAAGGATATGGATATCCTCCACAAGCACATGGACCACCTGGGTACCCTCCACCTGGTGGCTATCCTCCTCCGGGTGGGTACCCTCCTGCAGGCGGGTATCCTCCATCTGGATATCCTCCTCCTGGGGGATATCCACCATCTGCCTATCCTGCCCCTGGTGGATATCCACCAGCTGGATATCCACCAGCCGGATATCCACCTGCCGGATATCCAGGTTCATCATCTAATCATTCAGGTAACCAAATCACCATTATTTGTTTACTTATATTATATGACATGAGATTCTGTGTAGGGTTTAGTTTCAATCGTGACTTTGTAAGGTTATACTTATACCTGACCGGTCCCTCCGTGGATTCAGTTGTGACAGATAGCTTAAAAGGGCCAGAGTGTGATGTATTATCCTATCCTTTGTTTTGTTTTTCCTCTCATAACAAATTGACTGTAAGAACCTAGGCTACCTAGGGATGTTGCAGATGACCATTGGATATGTGAATAGCTAAACCTATGCTGACGCCATTGATTATTGGAATAGCTAGAAAGCTGTTGGTAATTGCATAGACCATTGCACTTTTTTCTGTCGTAGATCATGAGCATCAAAGTTCAAATAGATTTTCAGAATAGTATTCCTGGGCACCAATTTTTCCATTGCATGTAAGATGAGAAGGACCATGAATATAGCATGTTAATTGAATGTGATATTACATCTCTCTGTTACATGTTAAGGACCATCGGATATGAAGAACCGAAATGTTGTAGAGTAATATATGCTATGCCACTATTTTTGTTTCAGTTTTTGCTAACAAAGGTTATATAGTAATATATGCTATGCCACTATGTTTGTATAGTAATATATGCTATGCCACTATGTTTGTTTCATTTTTGCTAACTTAAAAAAAACAAAAAATTGCAGGGCATGGACCTAATATGGGAGGGATGCTAGCTGGGGGTGCTGCAGCTGCAGCTGTTGCTTATGGGGCTCACCATCTTGTGCACGGGGGTCACCACGGCCATGGTTATGGGGGTCACCACGGCTTTGGTCATGGGAAGTTCAAACATGGCAAATTCAAGCATGGGAAATTTGGCAAGCGCTTTGGCTTTGGGGGCAAGTTCAAGAAATGGAAGTGATATAATGGACCTAGGAAAAATATAATGCCCGGTTGAAGATCTTAGTCTCTCTGTTGATAATGGTATTCTACGATTGGCTTTCTGAAAATCACTTCAGACAGGATTTTTTGGATTCTTTTATTAAAAACTGCTATTATATATATGCCATTCTAGTTATGTTCGTTCGTGTGATGTAAATGAAGTTTCTGTTCCAAAACCACTTCAATAATTTTTTGTCTTTTCTTTTTATCCTTAACTAATTTTGAGTTCTGTTTTGGTAATGGTTTATTCTAATCCTAAGCCTCTGGTCTGTACCCTTACTAACAACTAGGTTAGCCCGAGGTATTTTGTCGCCTTATGTTTGATAATAATAATAATAATTATTATTATTGTATAAGACATAAAACAGATTACAAATTGCGAGCACAAAGAGACCCTAATGACTCAATTAGCTTTCACCCAAGTCTCGTCTTTCACGTCAAATAAGGTCCGTTGACGCTCTTATGATCCTTTTATCAAACAAAATATAATATATGCAAGGGGCATGTAGCTCAAGTGATTAAAAAATTTATCTTTGAATTTGAGGTCTTAAGTTCGATTCTACCTCCTCCAATATTACTTGTATAAAAAAAAACAAACAAAAACAAAATAGAACATATTTAACGTGCATTTGCATTGTGTAGCATGACACCTCTTACCAAACTTACATTGTAAGATGAATGCTACATATACTTGCATTGTGAAATTGTAAATTTAGATATCATATTCAAGTACAAACGAGCACAAGTTAGTTCCATCCAACCCACCTCTATAATCACTAACCGAACCATAATCAGTGACACTTCGGATCAAATCGGCTCTCATAGAAAAACATGGTGGCAACGAAATCAAATTGGGCCCAATTTGATATGCTTAGAATGATTTAACAAGAATAATTTTCAGATGAGAATCTAAATATTGAACGGTTCATGACGTAAATTACTCTCTAAATGCACGTGAGTGATTTAGTTCTAAATGAAAATAATTAATCCGGTAGTTCTTAACAAATTAGCATCTTCCCACTTCTTTTCCTCTCTCATCCTCATTTTCAACAACTTCCTATTTTAAAGTATTTACATTTTTATCTTTTTCTCACAAATTATTTTACATCTTATCCACCATTCTTTTCTTAAGTTCTATTTTCCTCCTTCTAATATCGCTTGTATAAAAAAAAATTGCACACGTATTGGACAAAAAAAGAAAAAGGAAAAAGCGTTTTGCACGCGCATTTGTTTGTGTGTCTGTTTAAGGTCGAAGCCTCGAAGGAACCGCGCATGCAATCTTAACAAGAGAAAAAAGAGACACTTCCAAAAAATTGTCACACCACAAACCACCGTTTCAAAGAGTCTGCAACATCCATCAATTTGGTGAGCAATCTCAATATTTCTTCCCATAATTGCCGCCTATTCACTATGAATAATTCTATTATTTGCTGTTGAAATCGTGATGATCTTTTGTTGCTCTAAGAATTTTCTTCTGGGTATGTAGATTTATGAATTTGTCTTTCTTTCTTTGTTCTTATCGTTGTTGTTGAATGCAGTCGATGGAACCGCTTTTCTTTTCATTTTTCTGAAAACTATGCCTGAATTGAACATGGGTTTCTTGTTTGAATCTTAATGGTGGGTTGGTCATGGGATATTTGAGATCATGGATTTCGAATTCTAGAAAAGGAGGTTTCTTCTTGCATTGTGATTTCATGAATTTCATCTTCCTTATGGATGCAATTGCTGCTAACAGCTTTTCTCTTCATCCTTTCCAAAACCATGCTTTTAATAACATGGGCCTTTGTAGCTCGAGTGGTTAAAAACGGTTACTTCTATATCGAAAGTCATGTGTTCATATCCCCCTCCCCTATATCGCTTGTGTAAAAAACAAAATTACATGGGCGTCTTTTGGGATTTCATTTTTCATTGTGATAAGTATCCATTTTGACAGACATTGAGGTACATTGTTCATTATGTGCTCAATTTAAACGTCGCTATGTCACATAATGATCATGAAATTATCCTTTGGTCAAAGCCATTCCAAAAGAAAAAAAGTGTAGCAAAAGTTAGGAATTAGTGTTTCATATGGTATCATGTGGCAATTGGGTGTAGTATTATCTGTGTCTTTCTTTCTTTAGATCATCAAATTTATTAGAGTTCAATGTTCAAAAGCGTGGCCTTTTAGGGCTCAAGGTGGTGTAGCCTCCATTAGAATTGTGTTCATTTCATTGAACCTGCTGAAAAAGTTTGAACTGATGGGGTGTTTTGATAGTGAGGGGCGCTTTACTTAAATGGTAAAAGAAAATCACTTTCACAATTCCATAATTTTATTAGTGTTTAAACAATAGGTTGTAAGTTGTACCCTTCACTGCCAGAGCTATATGGTTTTTAAATATTTTTTCTATAGAGTTGCTGCATATCTGGTGAACTTTTGACACCAGAGGGTGTTGAATTAGCCTTGGAAAAAGAAGACATCCCTTTTCGGTATTTCTCATTTGTTAAATCTAATAGAGATTCATCACACATTTAATGGATTCTTTGTTTTTGTAAAGACCTATAAAGGAAATTATTAGAAAAATGTTTAAAGGATTTCATTTGACAAGTTCAATTACTGATCATCATCGTCATGCTTGCCTTCATCTCATACATACGGGTCCTATTATCTGAAGTACCATCTTACACCCTTTTTTTTATTGTGTGTCGTATTTCAAATCAGAAATTTTTTTCCTTCAGAATTTTTCATTTTTCATGATGTCATATAAGTCTTAGTCCATATCTTAATATTTTACCTTCATTTATGGGTGTTTCCAGGTGTGTGTTCCAATATTTTTCTAATACGGTGATTGTTATTTCTGCCTTTTCTAGTCACTCCTATCATCCATCTTAACATTCTCATGGGTCCACTACATGGTGCATGCTCTTAAATTTGGTTTATTTGGCGAGTTGAATTGCTGATATTCTTCCCAATTTTCTATATACACTTGTGCACAATAGTTAGAGCTAGGTTGTGATTGGAAATTCTCTTTATCATGGTTGTGGTAGCTTGGTTCCAAGATGTTCTCTATTCATTTGAAGTTTAGCAGAATAATAGTTGCTATTAACTATAACCCATAAAGTGGAAACCATTTTGATAAAAGGACTTCTGTTTAAGAAAATGGTCACATTGCATTTAATAATATCTGTTCATTTGGACTCTGTCAAAGTAGTGAATTGTTCCAAGGAACAGTATGATGTGATTTGGGTGTGGCTGTTGGCTGTGTTTGCTTCCTTCGTATTACTTTCTTTTCCCCACTGATTTATTGAACGATAATTTTATGTAGGCTTTAATTTCAAGTTGAAGTAAGATGGGAGGGGGAACAAACAACAATGATGAGTCTAGTGACAGAGGGCTATTTTCAAATCTTGCTGGCTTTGCTGCTGGACACTTTCCCCGGCCTGGATCACACAATGGATATCCCCCACAAGGTTACCCTCCTCAAGGTGGGTACCCTCCCCAAGGCGGGTACCCTCCCCAAGGTGGATACCCTCCCCACGGCGGGTACCCTCCTCAAGGCGGGTACCCTCCCCAAGGGGGATACCCTCCCCATGGTGGACACTCTCCTTCAGGTGGGTACCCTCCATCTGGGTATCCTACTCCCCCTGCAGGATATCCACCAACCGCCCATCCGGCGGCTGGTGGATATCCGCCAGCCAGTTATCCAGGTCAATCAGCTCCACATCATTCAGGTATTCAAATCACTTGTTTTATTTTCAATCTAAAATCAACAAAATTGCCTGTTGGAACCTTGCCTAACATTAGGGCTGTCCAAGAACCAAACTGAACCACGCGAAGTTTTGTGGTTTTGATAGAGCTACATTTTTTACTATTATTGTCCAGTTAAATTTGGTTAAAAAAATAAATAAATAAAAAAAGGTTTCAACTGATCCAAAACAGGTGCTTATGACCATTCAATATGAGCATAGTTAGAAAGGCTGTTGGTAGTGTTAAATTACACTGTTCCACTTTGTTTTTGGAGGATCACAAGCATCAATTAGAGTTTCAGAACATCATTCTGAGGCATCAACTTATAGAAAGTCATGTTGTGCAAGTAATGTTACCTCTCTGTAGTTATAATACAAGGACCATTGAATATATCATCTTTGTTGCAATTTGTGCTGACTTAAAAAAAATAAATTATATATATAAAATATATATTACAGGGCGTGGATCTGGCATGGGAATGGGAACGATGCTAGCTGGGGGTGCTGCCGCCGCAGCTGCTGGTTACGGGGTTCACCATCTTGTTCATGGGCGTGGTGGTGGTGGTGGTGGCGGCGGCTATGGTTATGGGGGTTACCATGGTGGCTTTGGTCATGGGAAGTTCAAGCATGGCAAGCATGGCAAGTTTAAGCATGGAAAGCATGGCAAGTTCAAGAAATGGAAGTAATTAATAGCTTATCCAGGCAAATATAATCGTCAGTTCAAGATCTAATTCCCTCTATTGATAATACTGCAGTACAATTGGACTACCATTATTTATTCTTGGCCTTTTATTCTTTTTATTCCTTTTTTTTTCCTTCTGAAAAGCTGCTATTGTGCATGTCATTTTAGTCCTGTGTTCCTTTATTGTAAATAATATGTTTTTTTTTCCCTGATGTCGTAAATATCTTCCGATTTAATAATCAATAAGCAAAGGTTTTTCGTTTAATCTATAGCATTGTTTGATATAGTTTTACAAGCCTTTTCTTACCATGTGGGTGTGGCACAGCCCAAGTAAGGATGGCAACAGATTGTTCCTTAGATCCTCTTCCTTTTGATCTTTCTTTCAAGAGGGATGGCAGCACGATTGTGCTTGAGCAACGTAGCCTCCCCTTAAATATCCCAAAATTTCCAGATTTATCTGAGTCGCTAGGCTTTTCGTGCCGGCCCCCATCCCCTCCCTTGACCAACTAGCTTAACACACGTCTGCAGAATTAAATTATAATCGATGGCAACTAAAACTTGAATGTTCAGCATTCTAGAAATAAGATTGCGAAACCTAGAAATAAGGTTGGGCTATGAACAGTAAAAATGCATTTAAATGTATCCATCACCTTATTGCGTCTCAACCGTAGTAACATAAATGTTAATTTTTATAAAAACTTTAAAAAATAGTCAATATCCACTTAAATGGACTTAAATGCCATCAAAACTAAAATCCACATAAAACTGCTATTGATTTTAGATTTTTTTTTTTTTTTTTTTTTTTTTTTTTTTTTTTTTTTAGATTTGATGTAAAATTAGGTAAACATTAGGAAAATCGCATGAGTAGGTTCGATCTTCTAACTTTCCATTCCATTCCTCCAGTCCTCAGCCCCAGATGTAGCCCCTCCTCCATCTCCATATAGAGCACTGATCACATGCAATACACACTTTTAAGTTCAAGGCAAAGTAGCCAATAGAACAAAATACGTCAAAGTAACTTTTTTTGAATCCCACGTCAATCTTTCTAAGACCAATGACTAATAAGGGCTGATTTGGTTTTGAAATGCCTCTCTCACAACAAATTTTTCAAGTCAGTTTAAGTCCAATTGAATAATAAGACTTTGCTTTGATGTGTCGTACTCCTTCCTACAAGTGTTAAGGAGTAGTCAAAATATTTACATATTGCTTTCTCGTCACTTAACTCTACTAATTTGGCCAAACACGAGGAGGTTCTTGCGGTGTCGAGGTGTCATTCATGAGGTATTATGAGTTCAGATTTGCGTTGCTGATTCCCCAAGTCCATCTTAGTTGTGGATTTTAGGTTTACGCGGGTTTTAGTTTTAAAGGTATTTAAGTTTTTTTAGATGTGTTTTCGGCTATTTTGAAAGTTTTTATAAAAATTGAGATTTATGAAAGTATGGGGTAAATTTTGACTTTTTTTTAAAATTTTTATTTTATAAAAACTCGTTTTTATTTTAGACAAATGCTACACTTATATCTTACCTAAGAATTATTCTCTGCACCCAAGTTTGAATACTCCTCTGCATAATTTAGATTAAATTAAAATAAAATATCGTTTGAAAAAAAAAATTTATCCTCTTATTAATTAAAAAAAATTATTCTCTTATCGCATTTGTGTGTGCATTATTATCTTACGAGAATGCTAGCAACCTTCTCTTTTGGACCTTCTCCATTTTCCTTATAACATGTGTCACTTTCCTTGCACTTAAAACAATACCATTAATGTGTCTTACAAACTAATTTCTACTTTCCAAGTTTATTGATTTTTTTTTTTTTTTTTTTTTTTAGCTTTTTTACATATTTGTTTCTACCTTGTTAAAAAATTAAAATAAAAAACTAATTGAGGTTTTTGTTGAATTTTTTTAACAAAGTGGTAAGAAAGTTATCAAAGAAAAAAAAGTCAATACATTTAGTAAGGGTAAATTTGGAAAACAAAAATTAGCTTGTGTGATATATTAATGATATTGTTTTAAGTGTAAGAAAAGTGGCACATGTCAAGAAGAAAAGAGAGAAAGTCCAAAAAGAAGGTTAGAGAAAAGATTGCTAGCATTCCCCTTATTCTCTTATCACGATGGTCAAAAAGGTCAAGAAAGTTGATAACAATGTGTGAACATTTGAACATACAAGTACGATATGTTTTTTGATAAATATACAACTCTTTAACTAAAGCACCAAAGTTGATTTATGTAGTTGGGTGTATGTTTTTTGAGGACCCCCCTCCATCTGCTTATTTATGCTCTTTTAGATGATCATCTTGGTCTGTCTAGGCCCCCGTGTTGTTTGTGCAAGCCTTATCGGCTAGTTTTTCTTTTCTATTGGGTAGAGCACCCATTTCATACCAAGAAAAAATAGTATAAAGCTTACCACATATATATTATGAGAGGTTTGTGGTGTTGTCACACAATCTCTGGAGGTTTCAGAAATTACATTAACATTTTATGAGGTTTCAATTATTTTCACCAAACACATTTTTTTCATTTTCCGTAGAAAAAAATTGATGATTAATTTTTTTTTTTAAATTCTTCAAATGACAATATTAACCTTAATAATTAAACCTCATAGTATATGTGCAATCTAATCTATGAAGTCAACATTGTCATTTAGAGAAATTATTTTGATGACATCAATAATTTTTAAGTGGAAAATTAACCAACGATTTTGTGATCGCAATAGAAACCTCAATTTATAGTAGCTTATAGTGATAAAAACTCTTTTTTTCGTTTTGATCGTTTTGTTTGTTTTGGGCCTTGGGGCCTCATATGTTCCAAAAAGAAAAATATAAAGTGTTAATATAAGCAATGTCCATGAATTATGTAATGAAGGCAAAAATTAATATTGGTAATGGATAATGTAATGAAGGCAAAATTAAATGAAGGATTACAGTGTTTACATATTTGAGACTTTTTCTTTCCTAGGTAGAAGGGTTGGATTGTAACTTGGATTTGCTCTTTTGGATACCAACTTAATAGTAAGGGTGGGCATCAATCCGACCGAATCAAGAAGAAGTCAAACAGTTTAAAAATCGAATCATATCATATATGGTTTGGTTTGATTTGATTTTGAGCTTTTGTAAATTGGCCTAAACCATGTGTATATTTTATATATGCAATACTCTAATTAGGTAAAAACAATATATGAATATTTGAATTGAGCTATATTAGTAATTGAGATTTGAAGTTTTATGGCATGTTGAGCTCTAGATGGTTTCGTACTCTAAAAAATGATTTAAGTATGGAGCAAGTTGTGAATTTGTTGGTTGTAATTGGGCTAACAATATTGAAAAAATGCAAAAGGAAAGAGAATTGGGTTTATGCCCAAACCAGCCGAACCAAACCCAAACCATTTTAAATTGGTTTGGTTTGGTTTGATTGTCTTCATAACTTTTGTCAAAATCAAACCAAACTGTTATATTGTAATTAATTCGACCGTAATTTTGAAGTAAAACTGATCCAATTCGGACTGTACCCACCCCTACTTAAAAGGATCAACATATTTTCTCTCAATTTGGGCCATCCATGTGAAAAGCATAATGGTGGTCCACTGGTTCTGTGACATTATAGCCCAAAAGTTCATATTATGAGAATTTTATAGGAAAATCACTCCAAAAAAAATTGATTTCAATAATCACCTTCCTAACCCTTATAATCAAAATAGTAATGGAGGAACACTTTGACACACACATATATATGTATAAGAAGAAACAATAATGTTTTGAAAATGGTGAATTTTTTTTAAATAAAAATATAAGCGATAACCTAACTTACAAGATGAGGGGGTTTCTCACACACACTATTAAGGTGTCATGGGGGTTCAAATCTGAGACCACTAGTTTGCCAGTCAATACCTTTTTTCACTAGACTAGACTCCCGTTGGCGAAAATGATGAAGTTCTAATCTACAAAAAATGTGTTGGTTTGAAGAGGATGCCCTATGATATATATTTTTTTCTTAATTTCTTTTGGCCATTATGAATTTTCTTAAATTAAGCTTAGTATTTGATTAAATAGTAGCTAAGAAGGATACATTTTGGTTGGATCCATTTCAGACCCACGTGAACCATGAAGCATATCAATCATCTAATTAAGCTATACATTATTAGTTAAAGAGTTTTCCAGCCAAAGTCTTGGTTGTTGGATCACTTGTGCAAATCTTCTCAAATCAAGAAAAATATCACAAAAATAATTCATCTAAAAAAATACAAATGAAAAGCAACTCATGCAGTCAAAAGTCAAGAACCAGCCATAGTAGAATAACTCATTGCTCACCTACTCTGCAACAGGCTCCCCATGTCCCTAGCTATGTTGTTGTTGCTGGTTTTAATATATTTTTATTTCATCTTCCTTATTTCCCCCTTTCTTTATCCATAAGAATAAAAAGTAAAATTGTACAACTTTTTGGTTTGCATGTTCCTGGGACTTGAGTGGTTTACATGAGGGGCCACCTGCTCCTACTCTCACATGCACTATAGTTGTCCTATGTGCATGTCACTTTTAAACCATTGAATGTACTTTGTTTTGTTGACCTTGTAGGATTTAGTTATGTTAATTCAACTACTTGGTGACAATGGCCCTATGCAGATTATGCATTTCTTTCCACACTATAAGTAGATTTAGGATTAAAGCAATGCTAGAGAGATTATAATTTTCACAACATTTGAATACCAAATGATGACATAGCAAGTGATGCAATCAACATTTAGTGAGATTGATTTGTTAATCGACATAGGATAGCATGTACACATCACTTGTCACAATATCTGGTTTGTTTTCAAATGTGATATAAAAATATAATAATGCTAATTAGACCACATTTAGAGTACTTCCACCCATTTGTCGTGGCAAATGGAAAGGGTAAGGGAATGGCTATTACTATTCACGTGACTAGTGCCAGCCATTGCAAAAGATTGTGGTGTTTTCACCCATTGCCATGACAACCACTATTCACATGAGATCTGAGGAGAGGAATTTGTATAGAGTTTTGGTGTGGAAAGTGAAGAATATGACTAAGTATTTATTAAAAAAATTCTGACATTTTTAGTAATTTTTTTAGATTTTTTTGTTGTTGTTGACGTCATCAATGACGTCAGCAAACTCAAGCTAGAGGTCAGGTTGGTTTGACCTGTGGGCTAGGCTGGTTGTGCGGGTCCCATAGCTTGCCCTTGCAAGCGTGGCTCGTTGGAAGCGCTTCCCTGGCCTTGGGCCCTGTCCTGCCTTGGTTGGAGGCAACGGATGGAAGGGATCTTATAGACTACTTTGCTAACCACCCCTCTAATAGAGATAGGTCCCTGAATAGGACATGAAAGATGAGTTGGGTGTACAAAGTTTGCCACAAGCCGTATTGCTTTATGTATTGGCATTTTCCCTGAATAGGACATGAAAGATTAGTTGGGTGTACAAATTTTGCCACAAGCAGTATTGCTATTTGTATTGGCATTTTCCCTGAATAGGACATGAAAGATGAGTTGGATTCTTTTAAGAGTAATGCTAATCTTATCACATTTGTATAAGACATCCTCATACCACCTTATGTGGCAGATGAAGTGGACAGTCACATCAATTAAAAAGTATAAATAAATCATAGCAAATGTAAAATTAATTTTAATTGATGTGTTGTCTACCTCAACTGCCCACATAAGGTGGTATAAGAATGTAATATACAAATGTAATAAGAATAACATTATTCTTCTTTTAAATAATGGGAAATTTTATTGCCACCACTGTAATCTATCGAGCGCACCAGCGGTATCCAAAATGTTCTTTAATACCCATACTTTATTTTAAGACTCAAAAGAGAGGATCTATTGTTCAATTTGTCAAAAATGACATTTTTTATTTATCAATTTGTGAGATTTTGAACAATATCTAATGAATTTGTCAGGGTTTTAACAATTGAACTGAGTATGTAAACTTGAAGAAGATGATGGGTGAACTATGAGTTACCAAAGTGGAATTTGGGGATGTAATCAACAAATAATTTTATATTTAAAGACTACCTTATCCTTAATAATCACTCTGTGTTACGACAAATTTTATGTTTATATTAATATTTTAAGGAATGCCATCAACAACTTGGGGTTATGCCATTAGGGTATAGTTGAGTTGGTTGGGCTTTTTTACTTCCACTCATGTGAGCAAAGGTTTAAAACTCATATGCAGCTAATGAATATTTGTGTAAATCCCGAGTTTTTATCAATAATAGTCAAAATTTAATTCCCAAATTCATAAATGTCAATATTTATAAAAACTTTCAAATATAGCCAAAAACTCATGTAAATAGACGAAAATGCCCTCAAAATTTAAATAACCTAAAAACATAGTTCATCTCTATGAGGACCATCTATTCACACCATATCAGTTTTTATTCGATGTATCTGCTTCACAAGCTTATATTGCCATCTTGCTTAGAAACTAATATGTTGAGATTCATGATGGGAAGAATGACAAAGAGATTTATAAGAAACTTGAAGAGGAGTTTGGGGAGATAGTACTTTGTTCCCTAAAGTTTGATCTGCATACTGTACTTGTAGTATCACCGCTTCTGGTTGCTGCTTGTGCTGGTGTTAGAGGTGTTCCATTGACCCCAAATGAGAAGCAAACAATGTTAGACCTCCTCACACCACCGCCTTCACGAGGTAATAGTCTCTCATGATGGATAGAACAATGATGTGCCTTCTTTCATAGGCTTTCTTTCCATTTTATACTTTGAACTTAGGGTTGAAACTAAGAAACTATGGAACAATGGTGTGCCTTCTTCCAAATGAGACATTCTTTGTATCAATTCAAGGAAGACCAAAATGATTTGTTTTATTTATATTTGTGTTTGATGACCAGCGATACAAGCTATAGATGCAGTTTTTTTTTCTTTCCCTTTTTTTTATGTAGATTTGTTTGATTTTTAATTTTAAGGGCATTTGAGTATATTTAAGTGGGGTTTTGGCTATACTTGAGATTTTTTATAAAAACTGATATTTATGAATTTAGGAGTTAAATTTTGGCTATTTATGATAAAAACTCAAATCTCCCTCCCCAATTGCTTATACTAAAACAAAAACAGAACCTTGGGATTGCTATAAAACTCCCCTTAAATTAGTTGAAAAGAATGGAGCATCATTTCATAGTGCCAATGCTTGATGTTGACACATAAAGATTTGAAGTAATTTGCTGCTAACTCTATGTTTATTGGGTTGATTATAGTGATACGTGGATAATCGAAACAAAATAAAAATTTATGAAGTTCTAGAATTCTACTTGAAAAAAGAAAATAAGAACTTTGAGAAGTTGACAATAGCCAATCAGATGCTTTTCACATGTATTTTTCATTATTGTCACGTAACATCTTTCTTAAATTTCTTGTTTTTCTTTTCAATTTTGAAAATAGGATCAAGATTTTATTTATAAATAAAAAAGGCATATAAATATTGGCACGAATACAGTAGTCTCGTTAAAACCTTCCTAGGAAAATCACATGGGACAAACCCCCAGGGTAGGAAAGAGTCTACACATACCATTGACTAACAAGAGAGTCTAACTTAGGTCACATTGGACCTCTACAAAGTACCCAACCGGGAAAAGGTTACTAGAACCAACACAGAAGACCCCATAGGAAAAGCACACCAACACATCCCAACTATCAAAAGAAACCTGCTATGAGAAGTCAGTCCTTTGTACATCACAAGAATTGTATAACACTCCACAAGGCTTAAATACGAACACTACCAAGAAAGACAACATGGACGACAACTGAGAGGAGCCTCAATAAAGCACACCAATTCGGCCCGAACTAGACCAAGCATAGTGCTTTAGTCGGCAAAGAGGTGAGAGAATCTGCAAAGAGGCAACACAAAAGAAAAAAACGCTACAAACAAACCGAAAAAACACAACGAAGAAAACCTAAATGAGTACACTACCGCATCCCGAAATTGTCAAAGGAAAGCTCTTATGAAAAAACCAATCCTTTGGGTAGCCCAAGAATTGAAGAATATATAGAGAGGTAAATGACGCTTCCTATTTCTTAATCCAAGCCCCTAACAAAGCAGGAATGACCAAGATCGGCCTCTTAGTATGACAAAATTCCAGTTAAAGTCATCATAATAGGAACGTTTATCAGATGCCAAGCCTACAAATGTTCCAACGAACACCTCATGGAGATACGAGGGAGCCCTCAAGGCTCTCCTGCGCCTTATCAACAATACTCTCACTAGAAGAAAACAAGAGCACAAGGAATCTCTCAAGGTCATTAAAGAATTCAACATCATTCAGCTTCGCAATCCCCATCGCATAATAATCAAACAAGGCCATAGAGATGGGTAGAAAGATGATACTAGATAACCCGAGCCGCCAAAAACCTTGCCCAACATTGAGAGAAGGAGGATCGAAACCACAACCCCTAAATTCCAAACACCTTTGGACCCACCGCCTGCACTACCAGCAACTCGCATTAAAAGCCTTCCCCATACAAGAAGGTAACAACCACTCAGAAAACCACCCCCACATCCATGCAGAGAATCGAGGAACCTTAGCCTTCATCCTCAATTCGTCGAAGCGAACCAACACCACCATGAGGCAAGCATGATCAGGACGAGACACAAAGAGGGAAGAAGAAGATGAAACCATTGAGACCAGACGAAACCCTTGGTGCTGTTGCTCTAGAGAGTCACAACGAAACTAGACGAGACCAACGAGACTAGATGATATCCCCTCTGTCGGCACACGAAGGAGAAACACCAAGAATCAGCGTAGGGAGAGGAAGAAAAACACACGAGACCCTGGAGTCAAAGCGACAAATGATAGTAGCTGCTCGACGTGAGAAGAAAAACCTAACCCTAATCGCGCGACTCTCCTCGTGTGTGAGAGAATGATCCCCACAACTAGCTAGGCTCACCATGTTATAACTTATATCTCATAACTATCTTCCCCACCCCTATTATTTTTATGATTTTCTTCTGCCCCATAACTACTCTCTATGTCCTTACAGTATGTTACTCTCAATCTTTTTATGTTGAAAGTTAAATGGGTAAACATTTGTTGATTTAATTGAAGTTTTTCAAAGAGATAATCTTTAAATGGTAAAATGGATGGTTACCATCATTAAACCATATTAAAGGATGAAAATGAGAAGATAAAAAAAGGGATACAAAAGAGAAAGTAGCTAGCACTCGTCTTAAACTTTTTATATGTGTATGAGGTTATTTAGTCCTATCATATATCGAGTGATCCTCAAATAATTTAATTTGAGCGATACCCTTTTGGGTTCTCTGCAATTTTTTTTTAAAATGATCCAAACTGTCTATTTTTCAAGTGTTCATTCATAGATCATCATTGCGAAAAATCAGGCAAATTGAAAATCATTAAGACACCTAGTTGAGACCAACAAATCACGGTACTTCAAAAAAAGAATATAATAACAACCATCTAATTGAGTTGCCAAATGGTTTTGCATTCAAGTGATTTTTTTGCAAAGATGATCTTTGAGGAAATATCTAAAAACTAGATGTTTTGGATCATTAAAATATAATGTGTGGTGGACTCCTTACAAGAGTGTCCCTGAACTGAAGCTCTTTGTATATATACTTTCATTTATGTCACAATTTTATATCTTTTATAATTATCTTCAGCCCCATTGTTTTTAGTTTTATTTTTTATTTTACTCTCCCTAGTACTACATGCTCTCTATGTAGTTAAATCACTAATTTCCAACTAGAGCATGTATTGGTAGCAACTTTTGTTCTAATTCTACTCTTTCAACTCCTTATTTTTGTCCTTTAAAAACAGTTGCATTTCTTTTGGTGTAAAAAAGAAAATCATTGTCAAAAAACATATGTGTCTTTTCCCCCATATTGGATAATGCGAACTTGATTTGGTACCATCTTTTTGTATTGAGTCTTTTTGTGAGCTCTCTCTTCTTTCTTTTTATTGACAAAAAAGAAAAAGAAAAGAAAGGCTTGTTTTTAGTTTTTCCTTTGCCTATTGGTTTGGCTCTATTCTTTTCAAAGACAAGAGAAAGTGGGCTTTTCCCATCCCACGCTTGCTTCACGGTGTTTACAGTCCCCGCCAAAAGCAAAAGAACATAAATTTTGTGTTTGTCCTCATACCCTACACACGTAATAACCAAGATTCCTCTTGCTTTTGGTGACACAATTCCTTCCTATCGTCCGTTTTCAAATGTTTGATTTTATTCCAATTATTAAGAGCATGATATTTTGGAAGTTTTATGATCACATAAAGGGGTTTTACCATGTTTAGGAAGAAGGAGAGATTCTCCAGTTTGATACCATCACAATTTAAAGACATGCTTTAAATTTTTATCTATTTTCATAACGGAATAAGTAGGATTCTCTCATTTGATTTACAGATTGAAGAAGTAGCTCATCTCATCATGACAAATAGGCATAATAGTCATCCACGTCAGTCCCGAAATTAGACGGAAATTTGGATGTATCCGTGACATTTTGCCTTTTAATCTTTGCATCTATACTATATAACCGTAACCTTCTTTGTTTGGGGTTTGTTGTACTGATTTAAATCTATATTTTGCCGTCCCAAGAACGCAAATTTTAAAAGAAAGAAAAAACTATTCTTTGCGAGTCTCTTGAGTCGTTTTGGGGTTCGAAAGATTGAAGTAATCTTTACGAAATCCCAGTCCATGATTAACTTGACACTTCTGACATGTTCTTCAGATTTAATTTAAGGATATATACAAGAAGTGGAAATAGATATAACTATTTTTTTAATATAATTATTTTCTTAGAGATTCGTTTTGTTCCCTGCCCTATTCTATTTCTTTATTCTGTTTTGTCTTTTCCTCTATATTATTCACTACACTGATCCTTATATATTCCTTTATTCTTTCTTAAAACATTAAACAAAAATACAACTTTCATAAATTATATGGAACCAGGCAGGTGCTACAATTTTCTAATATCATTGCTCTTCAAAATTATTAACATACTATTTTAAATCACTTAGAGAATGCAGCATAATTACGTAAGGAGAGAGTGAATAATATTTCCCTCAATAAAAAAAAATGTTATATTCACACTAAGTTATGAAAAACATATGACTCGTTACGATAAGTTGTTCTTTGTGATGATTATGTAGGGAATAACTATTTTCTTAATAATGTTTAGTATAATAGATTCATTTCTATTGTTGGAAAAATGAGTTAACAATTTAGCTAATTCATTGGATATTAATTAAGACTAGACTCTCAATTATGTTGAAGAATATAAAGTCTCATATCGAAAATTTGACTAAATGAAATACAATATATAATGAATAGTTCCACTATTAATGACATCGAGACCTTTTACATAAAAAAAGAATTGGACATAAACACCTCTCAAACAAAAGAACAAATGGCTTATATTAGATAAATATATATATATATTTGTGTTAAAGTTAAGAAAGGGAGGTGGGTGTGGGTGTGGGTGTCAAACTCGGACACAGGAGTACCATGAGGACATGAATCTAGAACCCTAAGCTAATCCAACTAACGCTAACCTAAAACTAGTTGTGAACAAAATGCAATATTCCGCCCGCCAATGTCGAGGTAGAAGGAAGCAAAAGCCTAAAAAAAGGACGATACCTATTCTTCATTAATAAGTTATTTATTAGAGTGTGAGCTTAAGCTATCTATATTATTATTTTTTACAATAATAATAATTAAAAAAAAGAAAAAAAGAAAAAAAAGACAAACAAAGAGATGAAGTCAAGAGTTGAGCTAACGAGGCAAATGATTTCCATTGAATCTCATTGAAAATTAGAATAGGGACAGATTGGAAGTAGCTAACTGGTAAGCAAATATGTGTTGGTTACAGCTGTATTCACGACCACCTCTCTATATCTCTATCTCTCTCATCTCATCATCTCATACTTTTCTTTCCTAAATGATTAATAAATAAACCATGATATAATAATAGCACAATAATCATCTGCCTATAATTTCACAAAATTCGTGTTAGAGGATGATAGTCCATGATGATTATTTTGTATTTTTTCAGAGAATAACTGCATGATGATTTTTTTTGCCGCCGTTGACTACTGGATCGCATATACGAAAAATATGCAACTCACTAACACGTTTAATGGATGACTAACATTAGAATCTTTAACATAAAATTCTTACGTGAGAAGCTCCCGTTCATACTTATTGATTAATAAAGTTCTCTCGTGACAAGTATGTAGTTAAATTTCCTCTCTTTCTTAATATCGCTTATAAAAAATATTTCTCAAATAAAATTAAGATTCCTTAATTTAAAGTAGTTATTATTATCGAGATTCGAGATACACAATGTGACAACATAAATATGATAAAACATTACCATACATACAATTTTATTTCAATGTGAACAAACAAAAGAAACTGAAAATGAAAGTAAATTGTATATGGTGATGCAGAGTGAGAAGGAGATGACGATAGTTTTTTGGTTTCGTTATTCTGGGAGGAGGGTGTTGTGGTGTGCTGTGTGTCCTCGTGATCCGTGCACAGTCTACGTGATATCCAAAGCAGCAGAAGACTCAGTTAAATTAAGACTTCAGCAAAACAACAAGAACAGGAAGAGCAGAAGCAACAACAATAAATACCCACTTCCCATCTCTTTCTGTTAACTAATGAAGCCCTCTCTCTCTCTTCCTCTTTCTCTCTCTTTTCTTGCTCAGTTCGCATCAATCATTTACTCATAGTATTTATTGCAACCCACATTCGCTTCGTTCCTTTTCCCTAAAAGAAGAGCAAGAGATTTCTCGTATTGGGTAAGCCAGTTTTTGGTGTTTCTCTCTGTTGTCGTTGTTGTTCTTTGTTGGGACTTCTTTTCTTCACATGCTTTGCTGCTGAATTTCTGCTCTTGTTTCAGCTCCGCAAGTTAGGTACTCTATTTCTTTGTCCGTTTTTCTCTTCTGTTTCTGCGCTATGCTTCCAGTCTTTGTTTATGTGACTCTAAAGACTCTGTTTTTGTCTTTCAAAATCTGAATGTTTCTTATCTTCTGGGGCTTCCATTGTGCTGACTTATGTGCTTGGTTGGAATATTTTTGTGGGTTGAGCTTAGTTTGTTGAAATTTGAACTGGGTTGTCTTGTTTTGGCTCAATGGTCTGCTGGGTGCATGTATTTTGCTGTTGAGTGTTTTGGTAACAACATGAGAGTTTGAGATGGTTCTGAAATTTATTGGTGTGTTTAGTTGTAAATCTCAAGTGCAATTGATTCCTTAGAATCCTAAATTTTTTTGGTCTATGGGAAACTATCAGAGCAACACTCACTACAAGCTTCCATAAATTGACCATAAGTAAAACAATCAGCTTTTTGGCTGTAAGGATTTGTTATTTTCTTAGTGTTTGTACGTCCCTATGCTCTTTTCCTGTTTCTCAGTAATCAGTATATAATGGAGTGTGGTTGACTTACATACATGTAAAGGAATGCTAAGTTGGCTTTACAAAGATGTAATCTGACTCAGAGCTGTTACATTAGTGGGAAATTGTGTCGAAGACTTCTCACGGGTGATAAAGAGGGCAAATTAATGGCGTCCCAAGAACAACCCTTACAAACAATTGATATGAGATGTTTTACCCTCAATGGATATTTATCTGATGCTAACTTGGCTCGTATATTCATTCATTTAAATGGAAACCTAGCTTCACCTATTGGCCGAGGTTGGATAAATGCCAAATGGACCTTATATTTCATTAATTTTCTCAGATCACATGGCTCTTTGTATAAATGGAAAACTTATTGTGTGTATCGGATACACAACATGGCATACCTGCTTGGTGTATCAAATCCACCCATATTCTAACAGTGTACAATCATTAACACAAGTATAATGGTTTCGGTTCAACATTTTGGGCTTAGACATTAATGATTGTACACTCGTTATAATATGGGTGGATTTATACATTGGTCGGCATGCTACGTGAGGCATCAGATACACACAATAATTTATTGTGTAAATGAAGTGAAGCAGTGAAAGTGCACACTTGGATTTCTTTCTTTTAGCAGTTTTTGTTTTGGTCAAGTTTCTTTTAGCAGTTTAGGTGTATTATTTTCTTCAATCTGCTTATTCCAAAAAAGAAAGCAGAAAGACAAAAGAAAGTACGATCCTACCTTCTATTAGTGTCTTCCTTATTTCATATGGGAATTCTAGCAGAAAACTACTCATGTGTATTAACAACTATTTTGAGCGAATTTCTCGGATTATTTGGGTGTGAAGTAAAATACTTCTATTTTCCATGGAAAATAAATTCAAATGAAAGATAGGGAATTCCTGTAAGGCACTTGTGTGTTTTGTTCCTTCTGTATGGAACCATGGAATAATTGATTAGAAAGTTGTTCACTTGATTAAGGAACATGAATGAGAGTATTAGACAGCTAAATCAAGTTAGTTGATTTTTGGCTGCGCTGTTTGATGATTACAGTGATAAGGTATATTGTGTGATTTGTCAGATGACTATCAGCTTGTGATTAGGATGGGACAGCTTTGGCTTGAAGCTGGTAATCTAACACTATTGCTACTGGAAAAATCCAGGAATTTGATTTGGCCTTAGTACTGATATTAACCTGATGCAAATAGAGCTCTGCAGGTGTGTAAGCTAAAGGGTTTGTATATCTTTTAAGTTGGGTTCTTCCTTGCATGGAATCAAAGCTTATTCTTGCTGGAAATTACTATGGATTCTCAGTCAGTAGTTGATCTAAGAATAAAAGAGAGACAATTTTGCTAGCTCTCTTATTTCCATTTTATTCCTCTAAGGTTGGATCATATGATTTGAGACAAGTATGAAACAGTCATTTGATAAAATGGGCATTGTTGGGGTTTGCTTTAATATTTCAGAATGCGAAAATCAGATGAATTCAGAGGTTGACCTATACCTATGAAATATACTGAGATGCTAACAGTGCTGATGATATGTGTTGTTGTAGTACGCTAAGGTGGTCTTAATCAATGAATTGATGTCAGAAATTAGACATAATTCCTTTGTGCTTCCCTCATCTTTCTGCTTCAACTCCTTTATGATCTAACTGTCCCTTCATTTTAGGATGAAAGGATGATAACTCATTTTTGAGGCAGTGGGGGAAATGGTTGAAAGTCTCACATAGATTTAACACCAGGTACTAGTGCGGTAATTACTCTTGCAAATTGAAGAAAATGTTTGAAATCTTTGGAATGAACTACCATCATTCTTAACCTCTTTTAGTCCTTTTATTAATTCAACTCATTTCTTTTTCATCTGCTTCTAGAGCTTGTAATGAAATGTTGACCGCATCTCTGCTCAGTATGAAACTTTGATGTATTTCTCACTGTAGCTCCCTTAATAGGCAGGCTTATTCACTTTTGTTAGGATTAGGACTATGGCAGTGGTTTTGGATCTTCCTTTCCTGTTCTTAAAGTGTTGTTTATTGTCCTCTTGGTTCACTTTCAATGTTTTTGTCTAAATACTTGTGGTTCTCCACTGAATTTTCATATCTGCCTCTGGTTCTCTCCATATCGGTTCTCAGTTTATCACGGTAGAGAAATTGGTTAGAAAGGGTAAAAGTCACAGGCCTATGCATCTATTATATGATCTTGTTTGTTATATTCATAATGGCACTTCTTTTCACTTGTTTGTACTTCAAATATTAAATAGTTATTGGCATGTGGATTAATAGGCTGCTGCTCAGACACAAATCATCAAGGAATTCAAAGTTTCAACAAAAATCATGTATTGCAAAGGCCTCTGAGTACACAAGGAACTGTCTATGTGAGTATATTTAAATAGACTAATGGTGTAACCTGTTTATTGTCTGGCCAAAAACCTGTCTTTCTTTTAATGTTTACCATTTTGGCATTTTCGAACACCGAACACTATAACAACTTTCATATTCCTTCCCTGCAGTTAACTGAATTTTCATTATATACTTGTCTGATTTTAAATTGGTTTTTCTAAATTGGTTTTTGTATGTGTTTTAACTGACTACATGATGTTAAGATTTTTTCTACTTTCCTTTCAGTTTTAGTTACATGATGCCATCAGATTTCATCACTTAATATTTTGCGATCTAAAAATTGTCACTATTCTGCTGGTGCCACAGGCCGTCCAAGAATATGGCTTTGGATATAATGGGGAAATTTTTGTGACCAGAATGGATCCTCAGGCTTTTATTAGGCTGTCAATAAGCTCACTGGGATTGAGGATTCCTGGAACAGCGTTGAAGTCTGAAAAATCTGGGATTCATGCATTCTCTTCTCCATATTCGTGTGAAATTCGCCTCCGAGGATTCCCTATGCAGACAGCGTCAGTCCCCTTAGTATCCTCTTCTGAAGCTACACTTGATTCTCATACCATTGCCTCAAGTTTTTACCTTGAAGAATCAGATATTAAAGCGTTGCTGGAACCTGGGTGTTTCTACAGTCCTCATGCCTTTCTGGAGATTGCTATTTTCACAGGGAAGAAGGGGTCCCACTGTGGTGTAGGGGTCAAAAGGCAGCAAATTGGGACATATAAGCTGGAGGTTGGTCCTGAATGGGGGGAAGGAAAGCCAGTGGTTCTCTTTAGTGGGTGGATAGGTATTGGAAAAAACAAGCAGGAGGGTGGAAAATTGAGTGCCGAGCTTCATTTGAGAGTAAGATTAGATCCTGATCCAAGATATGTATTCCAGTTTGACGATGTCACAAAACTGAGTCCTCAGGTTGTGCAGCTTCAAGGCTCCATTAAGCAGCCTATTTTCAGTTGCAAGTTCATCCGAGACAGGTGATGTGATTTATGTTATCTCTCTAACTTACATTAAATGTTTAAAGCTTTTGAAAAGGCTGCTGTCTAGTCTCATCTTCTTTTGGACATTCAAATTGGTGCATGAAAACTATGTATGGCATCCCTGCATAAAAAAAAAAAAAAAAAAAAAAAAAAAACAAAAAAAAAAAAAAAAGAAGCAAAGCAAAAGGACAAGTATAACAATGATTGCGAAGAACAATTTATTTTTCGTCAAACATTTTATGCTTGTTCTAGATTCTTGTTGGATGAATAAGGCTTCCCAAGTTGTATAGTTTTGACTGGATTAGTTTCAAGAGGCAATCATCATTTTAAATTTCCATTGTTAGGTACAACAACTTCGGGTGTGAATCAGTGTTTGGTTGATTAGATTGTCACATTATTGTCATGGTTGTTTTCTTTTTTGAACATTCACTGTGCTTGGCTTAAAGTCATTTTCCGTGTCCCCTGTTGGTCTTGTTTCCCTGTTAGATGTTTAATAGCCATATTCGTTTCTATTTGAATTTTAACATTTGCCTTGTCAGGAATCAACCAGGCGTATATGTAACTACATAATAAATTTAGTAATAATCAAAACATTTCAATTTATTAACGAATATTCAAGATATGTTAGATACAGTATATAGCGTACGTAATTTTATCACCGAACGTTGGACTCAGTTTTCTAGTATTATGCAAAAACCGTGTATTCATTCTCTCCTGCTATGGACAAGTTGGTTTTCTCTTTTACATTTCACCTTGTGTCGATGAAGATTTTGATAGTTTAATGAATTGACAGGGTTCCCCATGCGGATCCATTGAGCACTTACTGGTCAGGTTCTGCTAACAATCCTGATCTCGAATCAGAGAGAAGAGAGAGAAAGGGATGGAAGGTGACCATACATGATCTCTCTGGCTCGGCTGTTGCAGCAGCCTTTATAACAACTCCATTTGTTCCATCAACAGGTTGTGATTGGGTTGCAAGGTCCAACCCAGGAGCTTGGATGATTGTTAGTCCTGATCCTTGCAGGCCTGACAGTTGGCAGCCATGGGGAAAGCTTGAGGCATGGCGTGAGCGTGGCATTAGAGACTCCGTTTGCTGCCGATTTCGCCTTCTTTCTGAATGCCAAGAGGCAGTGGAGCTCCTCCAGTCTGAAATCCGCATCAATGCTGAAAAGGGTGGGGAGTTTTTCATAGACACAGACAAACAGATGCGAGCAGCAGCGGAGGCAGCGGCCGCCAGTCCAATACCAAGCCCACAAAGTAGTGGAGACTTTGCAGGTTTAGGTCCAGTTGTAGGTGGTTTTGTTATGAGCTGTAGAGTGCAAGGGGAAGGAAAGAGCAGCAAGCCATTGGTACAACTAGCCATGAGGCATGTTACGTGCGTGGAGGACGCCGCCATCTTCATGGCTCTTGCAGCTGCTGTTGATCTCAGCATTGAGGCATGTAGGCCCTTCCGCCGGAAGTTCAGGAAACCATCCTTCCATTCTTTATGAAAATTAAGAAAATTCGAGTTAAAAAGAATGGAGGTGATTAGCATCCATGCACCCAAAACAGCTATGTTTTTCTTGATTGCTGTAACATCTGGGGTTGTGTACAGGAAACTGTTGTTTACAACTCTCTCAAAACTTTCTAATGGTAGCATTAAGCCAAAGTGACGTCATTATACATCGTTTGGAAAGTAGTTTCTCATGGTGTCAGGAACTTTCTAATTTTATAAATACTAGCAAGTTGATTAGAACTTGACTGCCTTTTTATTTTTTATACAAACGATTCTCTATAATATAATTTAAACTATGTGAACGGGGATTCAAACTCGGATGCAGAGTGGGAAGTACATCTGCTCTAGCTAATATGACTAATCACGTGAACTTGTCTGCCTTTTAGTTCTTGAAACACTGAAAAGATATCCCCAAACCTCAAAATTAGTTTTTATGACCAAGCCAACAAACAAAACTAAACATATGAAAAGAAAAAAAGGCCTCGGAATCTAAATTGGCCCATGACATTGTAGTTGGATGTGCAGCAATATTTTGAAGTTGAAAACCAGACGAAGGCAAGGCAATTCTGGAGTTGCTGTCACTTGCCACTACAAATTGGGGCTATAGCACTTGCCACTACAAATTGGGGCTTTTGGTTTGTGGAGGATTTGAAAAAACTCATACGTTTGCAGGTGCTATTGCTGAACCATGTCCTATATTGTGACAGTTTTGAATAAGCAAATAAGAAAAAAAGAAACAAAAAGAAATTGCTCTCAGAAATACAGGGAAATTGAAGCTTGATGATAGGGACAATAAATTGCTTTCAATCATGCAAGGTAATGGAAAGTGATGGATTCCGAAATTATTTTTAAGGGGTGCGGATTTTAAATAATAAGATGATTATAACACAGGAATGTAGAGAACAATTTAACCCAAAAAAAAAGGGGTACGGTTTCTTTTGATGCTACGTCGTTTTCAAGTGTGACACAAGGACTTAATTGATAACAGATGGATCCAACAGGAAATGAAAAGGAGAGAATAGACCAAATACTAAGGGCCCATTCATTAACGTTTTCAGAGAATGTTTTCAGAAAATATTTTCTGAGAATGAAAATGAGAAAACAATTTGCATTTTCAAGATTTGAGAATGAATCTAGTAGATTAATTGGAAAATAGATTCAGAAAATAAAAACAGTGAAAACTTGCATGGTAGGACAATTTGAGAATAATAATATGTGAGTTTTTTTTCAAGTATATTTTTTGCTAATTTCTGTCCTAAAAAAAAATAATTTAATTATGATATTTTTTAAAGGGCTAAAATTATTATAAACAATGAAAAATGTATAATTTGAGAATAATAATGTATAATTAAAATAAATTAAAATTCTAAAGTTAGAAAAAATTCTATTATCTTTAGTGTAAAATAATATATTAAAAAAATATATGAAATTTAATAATTTAATGAAACGCAACGAAAAAAAAAATGGAAAAAAAAAAGACAAATTAAAAAAAAAGAAGAAAAATCAGACCAACCAAAAAAAAGAAAAAAGAAAAAAAAAGGCAATCAACCAATACACCAGATAGAAAATGAAAACAATAATTCGGTGTTCTTAGTTTTTGTACATGAGTTTGAATTTGTTTTCAAAAAATGAATTCCAGTGAAAATGAAAACGACATACCGAACACGTTTTTGGTAGAAAATGAAAACGGGCCTTGAAAACATTACCAAACGGCCCTAATAATTCTTTTCACTTTTTCAATTCAACATGGAGTACAAACTGAAGTTCAAGATTGTCAATGGAAACTGAAAGAGAAGCAGCACGCAATTTCAATTTATATACTGAAAAAAGTAGTAATACAGGCAACAGAATAAGGCTCCTTGGAAAACAATGTCAAGGCAACAACACCACATGCCCATCGTTTGAAACACGAAAAAAAGCAAATGGGGATTGAAAACCACCTGATGTTAGTAAATGTTACAAATGCTACAGCACTAGGCTTCTGTTGTCTGAAATAACTTATCAACTTCTCCAATAATGGTTCGAGCTTCTTCAATTTCAGGGCCTTCCTTCTGGTTCAACTCGTCTTCTAATTCAGCCTGAAAATAAAGATCATGCTTAACAAATTGGGGCTAAAGGAGTTGATATCCAGAGTAAAGATAATGAAGACTTATACATACCAAGATTCCTTTAAGGTCAGCTAGTGAGGCCTCCAAGCGCTTCTGACAATCGGGAAGCATCATCCTTGATTCAGCCAGCACATTTTCCTGTAAGGAAAACAAAGAACACATGAATTTAATTTGGAATGGATAGATAGCTTTCCATTAAACCTTTTGACAACAAGTAAACAGCAGAGCTTCTCCAACCAATCAAAGGAAGGATTGAGTCAATGACCATTAGTTCAAACATTATGTGATCTAATAGGCTAATTTTTGGAACAACTAATGAATCCTCAAAAAGATAAAGAACAACTAGTAAACTAATTTATGCAGTTTAACTTTGCACTAGTCACAGTGCTCAATATGATATTTGGTAACCATATCTATACTTAGTGTATATTGCGGGCTTCTATGCATTCCAAACCTTTATTCTTCTGTGATAAAACTGTTAAATTACCATGATTTCTAACACATGGAAGTAAACAAACGAATCTGCACATTTATTTGTACACGCACACTGCAGATTGCATATCTGCACGTCTATCAATCACCTCACCAATGTTTCAAAGATTGAGTCAGAGGACAAAATGATCGATTACAAATTTCAAATAAGTCATCTGCTGATAGGAACTTGGCCATAAAACTTTACTAATGGTAAATATACTGATAGAATAGCTATTAATGAAAAATTAAGAACAAATGTGGGACTTATTTTTCTAATATTGCGGTGGAAGCTTGTTAAGTGATTTTCCACATTTGTTCATGGGGTTAAAGTATATCTTACCCCTTTCTAAACATTATGAGGTTCCAATAACAACAGAATGATAAGCAGAAAGGTAGAATTGCTGCAGAAATTATTTAAAAGGAAAAAAGTGAACCTAATTTGAGAAATCTTAAGAAAGCTGTAAGCTTCACTAAGTGCAGTAACAGATTCCCACTGCAGGAAATGAAATATACCTAAATAACATAAATTGCAAAGAACATGTGCGACTGACATGTCACGAACAGAAAATATGACAAATTCCACAAAACCATGCAATTCCCAAATTCTACAAATCTTAACTGAGCTAATAACGGAACTAATTTCTTGTTTTCAACTAATCAAACGTCTGAAACAACAATAGTTTCATAAGAAGAACAAGTGCAGTAGTATATAAATTTAAAAACGATGACAACTTAATGATGCAATCTGGTCTGTGATGCATGTCTGGACCATACCTGTTGCTTCAGGTCATAAGGGTCAGCTCCTTTCTCCTTCATGTCTGCTGTTTTTGCAGCTTCTCTCTCAACCTCCTTCTCATAAGAATGAAGCTCCTTAACAATGCGTTTGCAAGTACCAGTCTTGATTTTCAGATTTCTTAGGGATGCCATACTAACCTATCAAAAGAAGCACTTTCTTGAGTAAAATGCTAACTATAATAAATCATTTTCGAAAAATATCCCATTTGGATACAGAAAATCTCCAAAAACTAGGATACGAGTCGGCAAGGATACCGCAATAAAATAGAAAATTTGATTGTTCATCTATCATCTTCTCATTCGCACTAGAACTATTGCCCACGCCCACATCCCCACACTACTCATTTCTGTTCGAAAATATCATTTTGATAAAGGAATCCATAATCTCTAGACAGGATTTGGATTTGGTTATAATGAATGAAGGTGAAATAATACATCTACAAAGTAAGTGAAGGAGCAACAAGAAGTTAACTTCAGTTCAGATTTAAAATCAAGAACAAAACCTGGTGGGTGGAGCAGATGCAGAACTTTCAGTGGAGAAGAAGAGGCTGGACCGTTATCCTTTCGCAATTTCTTTCTTCTTTGTTCTTCTTCTTCCTTCTGGATCTGGACCTCTGGTTTTTTGAGTTGTTGCTGCCGTTTATTTTAAATTGGGAAAACCTCGAGAAGCAGGGGCTGGGAGTGAAAAATCAAGTTTTGAAAGTTACATTTGGACCCCATAGTTGCTATATAATTTTAAACAACGACATAACGTTTCAATTAATTAGAAAATAACCCCACATTCTTTCACCTTATTTTTTGAATTATACTAGATTGAAGTCTAGTAAATATTTTGGATATTTTCAGAGTAAAATCTAATTTTTCTTTTAAGTATAAAATAAAACAATCTCCACTGGATCATTAAGATTAGACGAGTATAAACATCTAAATTACAACCTCCAGTTTACAAATCAGTTAAAGCATTAGGCACATAAGCATAAGTGGTATTTGGCGTGAATTATTGTGACAGAAAATTGTGAGATTATATAAAAACCACTTAGCATTGTGGAATTTGAAGTCACAATGGTAAAATGCATGGTACGTATATTCATGTTTTTATGTACTACTGTATGGATTAAAAGGTTAGATATGCGAAGTTAAGCTAAATTCCTGTTATCATCATTTAGTTTAGCTTTAAAAATTATCTTTAATGAGACTTATGTCCCTACTTATAACTTGGTAGGACATGCATGACTCTAAGCAATGAGATCAAGTGCTTACTATGAGCAAACACAAGGGTCGAGAAGGAGAACCAAAATATTGTTCCAATTTGTTGCGATGGTGAGCCTTGGAATTCTTGGTTAACAGGCTTCTCAATTATCCACACAACAAAACCCGTCAGAATAAAGAAACCAGCACTTGTTATCCACAAATCTGCTGAAAGAGGTTTCAAGAAGATCCACATTGTTTCCTCTTCTTTCGGCACCAACGTTCCCATGCCTAAGTCAGTGAATGGTACAGTGAAATCAACATATAAAGATTTGTTCCATGTGATTGTCGTATCTCCAACAACTGCGTCGAATTTCTAGTTTACCACAAATTTTTCCAGGGGAACCAACAAGTATATTAGAAAACTTTTGTATGTAATGATAAATGACCAAAAAAAGGATAATTAAGCACTAACATATATAAATCAATCCAAGCATACCTGGAGATGGACTTGGTAAACAAGTTCGTTATAAGTCCCAGCCATATTTCCATTGGCATCCTCAAATGGAATAAACTTGTAATGCACTTTATACGGCAAGGCTTCGATTACAGCTTTGAATACGTCTATACAAAAGCTAGTGACATAAGTTTTGTAGGTTTGAAGATCATGGTGCACACCTACGAGTTCCTTGAATCCCAATTTCACTGGAACACCAATTCTCAATTTATTTCATTACTCAATCGCCTTTTGGAACTTTTCATGATTGCTTTTGATCCTCGGGGCCACACGATTCTTTTCAGATCATAGGTAGAAAGTAAATTTCTTCTATCGTTAAGAAGGTGCAACTCTTTTGTGTTTCTTTCTCTGCTAGGCCAAATTTTAATCCTTCTCTCCTCTTTTCCTATCACATTTACCATCCCAAATAATGCACCTGAAATTAGCTTCCCATTTAAGAATTAAATTTCACCACTTAAACCCTTAGATCTCTTTTGCAATATTTCTCTGAGAAGCATAATTCCATGTTGGGAGGATCTTGTAGAATTTTTCATCTTTGCCCTTTCAACTGCTTCAGCTAGAGCCCAAGTTGCATCATATGCCCAAATTCCATTTGGACTTACCTCCCTCACTTCGATACTAGGTTCCTCCTTGTAAAATTTCCTCCTCAGTCTTGAAGTAAGATTGTGGAGGCTAGTTGATGCTGGAATGCAAGATTTGAAACCTAGCAGTCCTTGGATCGACTCAATCACAGTTGAATCCATGGAGTGCACGAAGTTCATGTTGAATGATGTCATAATCCAAGCATAACTTTCACTCATCATTCCTAGCTTTTTTGCATTCAAGAAAAGGCGCGGAGCAAGTAAATTCGACATCATATGCACGACAAATACTTTAGTCTTCAATGCCTTTAGCTTTTGTAGCTCTTCAATAATTATTTCATTTGTTGAGGAGGGAGCAATGAAACTTTCATATGCAATATGAATATTTTTCTTTTGAAGGGCGTTGACCAAAGATGGAATGGTGGCTCTCCCATGTTCTGTGTCCTCATATAGAAGAACAGCATCCCTCCATTTGAGGACTTCAACAAGGGCACTGATTCCCATAACTTGACAAGTTTCATCTTTCATGATATAGATGAAGAAGGTATATCTGTCAGTGAAAGAAGGAGAAGCACTACGTTCAGAAAAGGGACAATATAGGGACTTTCGCTGCTTCACCTAATTCTGCAAAAAGGTTTGCTTCCTTACTTGTTTGTCCACCAACTATTGCTTCCACTTCGATGTTGTACAAAAGATTAAGAGCAGCATTGTGCGACAAAAGTAGAATTGAAATTCTGAGCATAAAAGCTTATAGGGTTTATTATATGTATATGATCTCTTTAGGTCCAAATGGGAACAATTTTTTTTTGCAGATGTTAAATTTATGAAGTGCAAATTCTCCTCACATTCTCATGTACAAGAATTGAACTTTATTCATGGATCTTTCCATTTACTTGTCTAACCTACGAAAATGATTAAGTAATGGAGATCAGAGTGTTGTGTTCATGAGATTTGATTATTACTTAAAGATAAGTTGCTTATGCTTCTTCCTGGCTAGTTTTCAATCCCATATTTGGATCTCATGCCTGACAAGTTTATTTCAGTCTTCTTGGGAGGTATGTGTCTAATACTATCCAGTCCTTTTTACCTAAATGGTTAGCTTTTCCCAAAAATTATTAAACTTGAATTTCTAGTGATGGTTCTAACTTCTAAGGTTTGGGGTGCGGACAAAGTTGGATTCTTAGGCTTATTTCAATGGAACATTTTTTCTTCAAAATTATCCTCACAAGTTTGGCTACTAGGCTTCCATAAATTGACATAAAAAATGAAATCTGAGGAAAAGTTTACCTGCGCTCCTCCATTCGGTTAAATTTGTATTATAGCAATTGGTACCTGTGTTGATGTTGGCACACCTAAAGAATACCAAAGGAACGGAGGAAACAAGTCAGTCTGCATACCCAATAACTAGATCCTGCCGCTCGAGCGGGGGACACATGACGCGTAGACTCCAGCTTGCTTTAGGAGTGTTTTTCCTAGGGTTTAAGGGTATCTTAAATTTGCTATTCCTTGTAAGATTGTACTAAAGTCTTATAAGTACAAATAGGCATCTTCATGCTAGGTTTTTCACAAGAGAGAAAACAAGGGCATTCAAATTGAATTTGAGTCGGGTGTGAGAGAAGAGAGAGCTAGGGCTTAGTAAGAGCTAAGGGGGTTCTTCTTTGTAATCAAAGGTGTTCTTATTACTAGTGAATTTCTCAGGGCGATCACCAAGAGGACGTGGGCACAATGCTGAACCTATATAAATTCTTGTGTTCTCTATGTGCTTTTATCACTTGGTGTGTGTGTGCTTCTATTCTTGCATGGTTTGTGTGTCTGCTCGTAATTTATCAACGACAACATTTTGTAGTTGACTTCGCACAACAAGTGGTAGATCATAGCCTAGTTGGCGGTGGGTTTATGCCCAAATTCTTTTACAACTATAAGAGCAGTCAACTCTCAGCCAAAGCAACCACAAACGGCTAGCATAAAGGTCGAGTTGAAGCAATTCAAGAGCTAGGCGAACTTTACGCTATGACAAAGAAGAATGAAGCATGTCCTAGCACAACATCATCTCAACGTAGTCTTGGCAAGCAAGGAAAAGAACCGGAAACCATGAAAGACAAGGAATGGGACTCGATTGACAAGTTAGCTAGGGAGCCATTTAGAATTGCCTCAGGGATGAAGTGTTGTGTAATACGGTGGAAGCAGACATAGGAAAAGCTCAAATAGATGTTTGCAGTGAAATCTTTGTTAGATGAACTCTTCTTGACAGATGAGCTCCTAAATCTTCAAATGGAGGAGGTTGCGAATATGATGGAGCATATTAGCACCTTTAATAGGTGTATTACAGAATTGCAAAAGATGGATGAGATTTATAAGATGGAGGACAAGGCTATGATGTTGTTGACATCCTTGCCTTCATCATATAAGCACTTTCGAACAACGTTGATGTTCTGTAAAAGTACTCTAAACTTTGAGGAGGTGGTGCAAGACATCCTGACATATCACCGGATGACTATACGTTCTGGAGAAGGCTCTCAAGATGAAGGTCTAGTTGAAAAGGCCGAAGGGAGGGGTCGATCAAGTAAGCATGAAAACAAGAAAAAACATTAAAGGAAGGTCAAAATCCAGGGAAAAATATGGTTGTTTCAAGTGTGGGTCAAAGGATCTCATTTGAAGAAAAATTGTCCTACATGGAAAGAGAGGAGAAAAAAAAGGGAAGAAGCCAACAACACAGCTTGGGTTGTGATGATAAGCTTTTATTAGTTGATAGCTAATTCCAATTTACTTGGTATTTCTTCAGGTAGTTCCTCTTCCAACTAGATTTTGGATTCTGGGTGCTCGTATCATATGTGTTTAAAAAATTCATGGTTTGATACATATGAGAAGGAAAATGTTGGCGAAGTTGTGATTGGGACGACTAAGTTTGTAGAGTTGAAGCTACAAGTACTATCAAGGTAAAGATACATGATGACATTGTTAGGACGTTGGGAATGGTTAGGTACATGCCTAAGTTGCGAAATAATCTTATTTCCCTTGATACTTTTGACAAGAATGATTATTCCTACAAGGCCATTAGAGGAGAACTCATAGGTTTAAAGGGTTCACTTGTGATTATGAAGGGAGAGATTCAACCTAACTGTCTATATAGACTATGTGGTACAATGGTGACAGGTGGAGCAGCTATATTTACCGAGAATGACTTAGAGGATGACACTAAACTTTGACATTTGAGGCATTGAAGGGTGTGCGTAGCTGCAAACTTGAGTTATTCAAGTATTGTTCCAAGGGGACGCAGTCTAGGGTGGTATTCAAGCAGCAAGACAAGGAGGAAAAAAATCACATGTGTGCTTAATTATATTCACACGGACATATGAGGACCAACACTAGTTAGATCGAAGGGTGTAGCCCGCTATTTCTTGACATTCATGGATGATTTTTCTAGGAAGGTTTGGGTCTACATCATGAAGAAGAAATCTAAGGTCTTCACCAAATTCAAGGAATGTAAGATGGAAGTAGAGAACCTTATGGAAGGAAGATTAATATCCGAAGGAGTGACAATGGTGGTGAATATAAGGAGAGCAAGTTCCTTAAGTTTTACAAGAGTGAGGGTATCAATAGGCATTCACCGTGAAGAATATGTTGCAACATAATAGAGCCTCGGAGAGAATGAACATAACTCTCATGGAGCGTGAAAGGTGCATGAGGACTCAAGCAGGCGTACCCAGTCCTTTGGGGAGAAGGCAGTTAACCACGCTTCATATTTGGTTAACTGGTCTCCATCGGGATATCTTGACTTCAAGTGTGCAGAAGAGGTATGGTTTAATAAATCAATTGATTATATCTTGAGTTCTTTGTGTGTTTGCTTTTATGCTTCTATTCTTATGGGTTTGTGTGTGTGCTGATTGCGTAGTTCATCAACGACAAGGTCTTGAAGTGTTCACAACAACCTTGTGGTTCTTTGTCCAGCGCACCAGGGATGTTCATCAATATTTATAGTCAAGTTGTGAGTACATAGAACCCGAGGTGTACGGTTGGTTAGTGAAGTCTTAATTTAGAAAAAAAAAAAGACCAAACAAAAACCAGTAAGTTTGTGAGGGTGGTTTCATTTGGTTGATGGATGGGATCAAAATAAGAAATTAAAAGATCAATATACAGAGAGCTTCCATTAAGGGATTTATGAAATTAGCTTATTTGAGGGACACATTTGAAGGGCTCACTCCGCATTGTATTTCACAAATCCAAACTGTCTATATTTTAGATAATTATTCAAAGATCATCTCTACAAAAAATTACTTGAATCCAATATCGTTTGACCACTAAATTGTGTTATTGAAATTTTAATACTTTCTTGAAACACCATGTTTATTGATTTGGTAGGATACAATTGGATGTCAAAACAGTTTCTGATTTGTTTAATTTTTTGCAAGGATGATCTATGAATGTAGACTTAAAATTAGATGGTTTAGATCGTTGGAAAAAAATTCATAAGGTACCTTAAAGGGTGTCCCTCAAATAAAATTATTTAAGGGATCCCTAAATAGAAAGGGACTGTATATATATGTACAAATTGATTTAAAGGGTGTATTCAATTGAGATTTTAGAAGATTTTAAAGAAGTTTAAAAGTTTAGGTGTATTCAATCATGAATTTATAAAAGTCTATAAAATTTTGGGTGTATTCAATCCTGACATTTTAATGTTTATCCAAATTTGGATGTATATTCAATCATGACTTTAAAAGATTCCATAAAAATTTGGGTGTATAAAAAAACATTGATTTTAAAGGAAATGCAAAAAGTAGTGGATTTCGATTGATTTTAGACTAATTTTAGGCCATGATCTTTGCTTTCCCCTAGATATTTTGATAGATATATTATTTTTATTCTCAAGATATGATTTCACCACCTCTATTACCACCATCTTGTCATGGCTATCACCATCGCTGCCACTGCCACCACTACCACCACCACCTCCACCACCACTACCACCATCATTGCCACCACCACCTCCACTACCTCTACCCACCACTACCACTACCACTACCGCTACCACTACCACTACCACTACCACCGTCACTGCCACCACCACCTCCATCATCACTACCAGTGTCACTACCATGACCACCATTGCCACTACCATTACCACTACTACTACCACTACCACTACTACTACCACATATTCTTAGGAAATTCAATCAAAGTGCATGTGGAGTTTAAGAAAGTCAAATAAAATCCATAGAGTTCGAACTAGTTTGAAACCCATTAAAATCTTAATTGAATATGCCTTTGATGAATTATGAATTTATGGGTCTTATGAATAATTATTTCTTATAATTATATATTATGATTAAAGAAGATATATTTCAAACCTAAATCTCCCAAAGCAAGTTTTGTTTTTTTTTGTTTTTGGTTTTGGCCAATCTCAAAGCAAGTTTTATACAACGTGTCATAAAGAATGGCTCACCACAAAGAACATGTAGAGGTTTTGCTTTGGAGTCTCTACTATGCAAAACTACTCTTGTGCTGTAGTTACAATGAAGATGGTAGAAATCAGAGAGGACCATGGAAATGCAACTGGGAACAATCTTTCCTTCCCTTGATCCCATATCAAGAATCACCCCGACACGAACCTCTTCCACGATACTTGGACTATCGTAACGCATTTTTTCAATTGCAGAACAGAAGTGACCTACAAGGCAAAAGAAGGTTACAACACCAAGAATGGTTGCTTCTTCCCTTGAAAACCTCCATATGCATGACCAACATTAATGCTGCTCTAGCATGCACCGCCATGTGATCATCTTGCTTATATATATATATGGGGAGCCAATACACGTACTTGACCAATTTTAAAATGGGAGATTCACTAATATACCCAATATAGGAGCCCAAATTATAAAAAAACCCTATATGAAATGGAATTTATAAATACATCCAAAACCCATTTATAACATAACAAAAAGGCTTTTAACTTCTTTTAAATTACAAAATTGCCATTGATTTCTTAAAACAAACCCAACCCAAAATTTCATAAAAAAACCCAAAACACTCAATAGGGTATCAAAGTAATTTAATAATTAAAATTAAATTTAATAGTACCATTTGTCATTTTTTGGGTTTTTTTTGGGTATGTTTATAAAAATGAAATGATGTAGGGTTTATTTATAGTTTTAGTGCTAAGAATGAGTATATTACTAAATATCTCTTTTAAAATCTGCAAAGAAACCAATAACAGGCACTTGACCAACTTAAAATTTTTAAAAGAAGATAGACCTATTTTTTTTTTTTTTTTTTTTTTTTTTTTTTTTTTTTTTTTTTGGCCAATGAAGAGATTTATTAGAGACAAATAGCAAGGTTTATATCACTAGTTAAAATATCAAAAATCCACTCAGGCCACACTTGGTCCCAAACGTGGTTACCACCTACTCTAGACACAAAGGCCGCAACCTCATGCGCTGCCTTATTACACTGACGGGGAGTAGCTAAAAAAATAACCTGTTGGAGCTTGCCAACAAGCATCTTAATCCATAGCCTCCACTGCAACATCTACTTGACGCTCACCTCTGAGCATTTGGATCAATTGCAATGAGTCAAATCCAATATCCACACATAACAATCGACCCTTGATGCAAGCAAGCAAGGCTTCTCTTATAGCCTCCGCCTCCATCATCAAGGCCATACTACCCCATAATCCGCCTACACCCCTGCCTGCACCAACCATCCATCAGTGTCTCTAATAACCCAACCAGCCCCACCCCTTTGCGTCTGCTGCAACCAAGCTCCGTCACAATTAGCCTTGACCCAGCCATGTGTCGGCTTAGTCCACGAATTAGGCACACTTTGAGCATGATCTGGCCGACGGGGCAGCTCGTTAATCAATGGTTTGGCTGACATCTGGGCAGCCCTATACTCCTGCACCTGAGCTTGGAGACTTCCCACCATAGTTGTAGGGTCAGTAATAGTTCCTTCAAACACCGCACTGTTTCTTATTTCTTGAGAGTTCACATGCTTCTCATACTTCTTTAATATGCTGTCCCAGCACTCAATAAACTCCTCCCCAATCAATTGTGAGGCATCAAGCTGTAGGGAACTTCCAAACCAAAAAACTCTAGCATGCTCACATCGGAAGAAAATATACACCTGAGATTCCCCTTCATAACCACAAAGGGCGCAGGTATTATCAACATCAACCGAACGACGCCGCAAATTTCCTTTTACTGCTAATGCATTTTGACAGCTCCTCCAAACAAATGCTCGAAGTTTATAGGTGGTACTTGCAATCTCCATATGCTATTCCAGAAATTCTTCTGATCATTTCCATGGCTGCACTCTCCTTCAGCTTTTCCCCCCAACTCGCCATTTTTCGGTAAGTTTAGAGCAAGTTCATAGCCGGTACGAACTGAGTATCCACCATGAGCAGTAAAATGCCACACTAGTTTGTCATCACAGCCCCACCTGCTAAGAGGTAAGGATAATATGGTCTGGGCTTCCACACTATTGAAACAACACAAAATAAGATCTCGATTCCACATCTTTGTTTGATCTTCAATAAGCCCCTGCACCAAAATAGGCATATCTGGATGTCTAGAGTAAATCTTGAAAGTAGAAGGTTTGGGCACCCATTTATCCAGACAAATACGAACTTGCTGTCCACTGCCTATACGCCATCTCATGCTTGCCTCCAATATTTTCCGTCCTTGCAAAATACCCTTCCACCTCCACGACGTCCCACGACCACCAACAGCTCTCATAAAATATGAGGACCTAAAATACTTGTCTCGGAAGGTAGTAGCCAACAATAAGTCCTGGCGTTTGATAATCCACCAGCCAATTTTTGCAAGCATGGCTGGATTGTAGCATCTAAGATCTCGAAAACCCATACCCCCTTGCCTCTTTCATCATACTGAGACGTTGCCATCCAACCCAGTGGATACCCTTATGCTCCTTGTGCCCCTTCCACCAATAATTAATGATCACCCTTTCACTCTCCCTGCATAAATTAATGGGTAACTTAAAACAGGACATAGCATAATTAGGCATAGCCATAGCCACTGCTTTGATCAAAACTTCCTTCCCAGCTTGAGATAAGTATTGTTCAGACCACCCCATAAGTTTGGCATTAATTTTGTTGCGCACCTCCTCAAAGACCAGGTGTTTTGATGCACCAAAATCAGCAGTGAGTCCTAAATATCGTCCGAACCCATCATTTTGTTGTACCTGTAAGATTTCTCCCACCTGTTTCTGGACACGTACAGGACATTTCTTCCCAAACAAGAGGGAACTTTTATCAAAATTAATACATTGACATGAACCCTTCTCATAGCATACTAGAATATTTTTCAAGCATCTAGCCTCACGTTCATCAGCTTTGCAAAATATAACTGAATCATTGGCGAAAACATATGTGAAATACTAACTCCTTGAGGATGAAATCGGAAGCCCTGCAAGGCACCCATCTCTTCATGCTTCTTAATCATAGCTGACAAGCCCTCAGCACAAACAGAAATAAAAAAGGAGATAGAGGATTGCCCTGACGAAGACCCCAAGAAGGTGTAATATGTCCTGTAGCCTCACCATTAATAATCACACTATATGTAATAGTAGAAATGCATTCCATTACCCAACCTCGAAAGATAAAATCAAATCCCAACCTTCTCATCATAAGCTCCACAAATGGCCATTCAACTTGGTCATAAGCTTTTGCAATATCTAATTTCAGAGCCAAATTGGATCTCCCCATTCCACACTCCTTCTTAAGCGAGTGAAGTATCTCATGTATAATCAAAATATTGTCTATAATTAATTGGTCTTCAATAAAGGCAAATTGATTGAGACTGATGATCTTAGGGAGCAAAGCTTTGAGCCTGGCTGTTAAAATCTTGGATATAGTTTTATACACCAAATTGCATAAAGCAATTGGTTTCCATTGTGTCATCTTCCTTGGTGTAGCAATCTTCGGGATCAACACGAGATGTGTCTGGTTAAGAGTTCTATGAAGCCTCCCCGGGTGAAAAAAACTCTTGACCATTCCAATAATATCCTCACCAACCACGTCCCAATACTGTTGAAAAATTTCCACATGAACCCATCTGGACCCGGTGACTTTGTAGGGTTCAAGGATTTCATTGCTAGCCAAATCTCCTTAGAGGAAATTTGTCGTGTCAAATACGAATTCGGCTGCATGGTCACCCGTGGCTGAACACAATCAGTAATAGACTCGATATTCGTAGGGGAGCACATGGTAAAAATTTCCTGAAAATAAGAGATAATTAGTGGTTTAATTTCGCTATCATCCATGCACCACCGTCCTGCAGAATCTTCTAAATCCACCATCCTATTTGCTCGTCGTCGAGCAAGCGTCTTAGAGTGAAAAAAACTTTGTGTTATTTTCTCCTTCATTAAGCCATTGGACTCAAGATTTAAGTTTCCAATATACCTCTTCCTCCTGCAATGCCCCTTCAAGGCTACTCTCCAACTGCATGACCTCATCACGATTGAAGTCAAGAGCCAAATAAGTAACTTTGAGTTGTTGCTGTAAGAGTGCAATAGTAGCCTTAGAACTTCTCTATTCTCTTATTCTCCAATCCAATATCCCTTTCCTTACCCAGCATAATTTCCTTGAAATCTATAGACCCTTTGACCCCGGAATCCGTCTACTCCATCTATCTTCTACCACTTTTCGACACTCTATTGAATCCCCCCAGTGCGGATCAAAACTAAATCTTTTACGCCATTTCCAGCTTGGGCCTTGGTTTTGTAATAAGAGTAACACGTGGTTAAAGCCAGGCACCACCACATGATGCACTATAGATGATGGATGCAGTGTAACCCATTGATCATTCCCAAATACCCTATCCAAGCGTTCCATAATTCCGTCCTCTTGCCGTCTGTTCCTCCAAGTAAATGGATGACCCACGTATCCCAAATCCAACAGGTGACTATTAACTGCAAACATTGAAAAATCATGCAGGCTTCGTTCAGTTTGCGGCATTCCCCCACATTTCTCTGTTACATCCAAAATATCATTGAAATCTCCCATAAGTAGGCAAGCCTCCTGACATCATGCCATCCTATCCTGTAATATCTGCCATTGAGATCTAAGCACTCGCTCATTAGCACTTGCATACACCGCAAAGAAACGCCACTTGGCACCATTCTCCTCATCCTTGATCACAACCTCAATAAAAAAATCAGCATACTTGAGTAATACAACCTGTGACATCTCCTTCTAGAATAAACATAATCCCCCACTCAAGCCCAGGGGTTCAACCGCATGCATAAATTGCAGACCTAATTGTCGCTTTAAATAACCATAGCGGTGACTCCGATTTTTTGTTACTAAGAGAAACACTACGTTGGGAGTTTGGAGCCTCACTTGCTCCTTAAGACTCGAAACTATCAAAACACTCCCAATACCCTGACAGTTCCAAATAATGATCCTCATGACGCTCGTGGAGACCTGAGGTCGGTCTTTGCTTCTTGAATTAGAGTATCGTTAAAAGTTATCATCTTTCTAGACCCCATACTACATGTCCCACAACAATCTGACGCCAATCGATTACCAGCACACCCCCGTTTATCCATTCTACCGTTCTTCTCTTCTTCTCTTCCCCTCTTGCTCCGAAAGCCTACACCACCTGTCTTAGAATTATCAGGTTGCCCAAATATAAGTGGGCCCAGATTAAAAGGATCAGACCCGTATGTCAGCGCCTTAGATTGAAAACCCAAATTCCCTTCTACAGTAGCCTGGTTGCCTAAGGGCTCCTGGATTGTTCTTTGCATTGTGGTCCCTTCCTCTATCACGGTGATTGCATTCAAATCAATAACGATCCCACTTTCGACAGAAGTTTGAACTGCACCACCATGAGGTAGATGAGGCTCATCAGAGTTCGTGGGTGATGCCTCAATGATACCATGTGGCCCCAAAATTCCAGCCTCCCATGCCACCTCTCGTATCTGCCTACTCTGTTCTTCTGCCTCCCTTACTACACGAATTCTCCTAGCTAGAGTAGAATCCCCGGATTTGGACTTGAAGGAGGATGGCACCGTATTCTCAGCATATCCCCCCTGCTCAGCCCCTCGTCTTACCTGCCAATCACTACAGTCAGCTTTGCTACCCCCCGAACCTTCCCTCATACTCCTTGGAGAATAAGACCTGCGCCGACGTATATGACCATCAGCAATGTCCCCAGAGACCCACATGCTGGAATCAGAAGACTCTTTCCATCCATATTGTTGAAGTTTTCTCCCGCACAAGTCCTCGCTTGCCTCTAGTCCTGCAAAAGCCATAATTTAATCCTGCAAATTTTGAGAACTAGTTGCCGAAGCCAGTGTCTCAACACAAATATGAATGGGATGTCCCAGACACCCGCAAATAAAGCAATATTATGGCAAAAATTCATAGCGAAAGTTCACCCAAGTTGCACCCTCTTCAGGAAACTTAACGAATGTACCAAGCATAAGCGATTGCCGCACATCCAAAAGAATGCGAATGCGCAAGAACCGCCGTATACATTCTTCCCCCTCCATGTGGTCAACGTCCAGCACCTGCCCCAATACAGAGACAATTTTTCTGGTCACCACCGTGGTCATATTTAGCAATGGGACGCCATGGATGCATCAACCTCCCGCACGTCCTTCCCATGCTAGATTTCAGATAGGAGTACTAGATGTTCCTTATAAGACCAGGGCTCCATGTCCAAAGCACGAAACATGTCCCGTCTGCTTGCAAATCTGATCAGAAAATTCCGTTCATCAATCTCTTTTATCAAAACTCCATCTCCCCCATGCCATAATTTATCAAAAACCCCCACAATCCCGTTAGAGTATACAGCCTTAGAAGTCAGAACCCTTGCTACCAAAGAGAATTGCGAACCCCGCATAAGATCGATTCCATCCCCTGCCTCAATCCGAATCCCCCCTCCCCCCGATTCATGTTCTGACAAACGTAGATGGTAGACCAAGTACTTGACCAAGCATGTTGCTGATATAAGTAGAATTAAATGAAAAGCAAATTGAGGCGGATGTATTCAATTAAGACTTAATGATTTCAAATGAGTTATAAAGTTTGTTGGAGTTTAACTGAATTTAATTGAGTTTTACTGAATTTCACAAACTCTACATAGATTTTGATTGAATTCGTGTATAGATTTTAATTGAGTTTGTTAAACTTTTATTGTAGATTAATGTCAACTAGGAGAATTAATATTACAACTTGGTTGGGAGGTATATACCTAGTGGTTGAGAAAGTCCAACATCAGGGTGTTGGAAAACTCAAAGAAGCTTACTACAATTGGAAAAGTTAAGGACCATTCAAAGATATAGCAAATAGGTTGTAAATCAGAAGGTGTGGTTTTGGCAGTTGAAAGGGGTTTAACTAATATTTGTTTTGAGAGTGATTCTCTCCAGATCGTTATGGCACTTGGATGCTCATCTTTGGATAGATCCTTTATTATCCCTATCTTGGAGGACTCTAAGTTTTTGTTGTTACAGATCACTGCAGAAGGCTTTGCCTATGTCTGCCGGACTGCAAATGAGGCTACTCACCGCATTGCTCGCTTTGCTTTACACCTTGGAACACCCATCTCTTGGTTCGAGGAACCTCCAGACTTTCTAGTTGATGTTTTATTTGAGGATGGTAACAAGTAGTTTTTACGGGTATGATCTTAGGGGGACAGGGGGGGGTACTCTACCTGTGGTTAGGTTCCTACTCCTGCTTGCAATTGAGTGGGTAAGGCTACTCAGTTAGACCGACGACCAAGCCCATATGTGTAGAGAAACTCGCCTAATCCCCGAAGAAATTTCCCAATTTTTTGTACTGGTTATCTTTTTCCTATCAATAAAATCCTATCGCTATCTCAAAAAAAAAAAAAAAAAAAAAAAAAAAAAAAAAAAAAAAAAAAAAAAAAAAATTATTTTTAGTAAATGTAAAAAAAAAAAAGAACAAAAAAATTTGCCTTAAATAAACTTATACAAAAAAAAATAATAATTAAACAAATCCCCTTAAACAAACGAAAGCAGAAGAAAGAAAAACGTCGTCAAGTCAAGGCCACGAAATAGTCCTAGTCTTGATTCACATAGAAATTCTTTGGCCGCCATATGGCCGTTAACTTAAGACGAAAACAGCAGGGTTTGAGGAAGTTAAGATGAAAACATATTAAGCTCACTAGTATTTTCCTAATTAAATCTTTACATTATATTCAACTTAATTCCTAGGAAGGTTTTAACGAGGTCACTGTATCTTTGTACGCCTTTGGTTCCACGAATGAATTTTCTTTCTCAAATTTTTTTATTTTATGATATTATTAGTTTGTACGTTTAAAATTATTAGAAAAGTTGATCAAGGTCCAAAAATCCAACCAATAGTTGGGTTTAGTCCTTGAATTATTGTTTGTTGATGCAAGTTCTTTGACTAGTTTGCCATGTAGATTACATTCTATTTTTAACTTGTTGATTCAAACTTTCGTATTTAATTGATTTGCATTTAAATTTTTTGTTCCTATTATATCCCTATTGTCTAAAACAGGTAAGATGATAGGTCATTAATGATTAGATTTGATCATAATTAAATGAATAATTACATTTTGAATGTAACTATCGGCCCTTCATTTTTTTTAACTTGACTTTTGCAAATTCCTATTTAACATGGATTCTATTGCTGCACATACAAGATTTTATTTAACATGAATGTGACCCAAGATCATAGCATTCCATGTTACAAGATTCCTTTTCCCTTCCGTTTTCTTCGAAAAGTTGTAGGTAATTATTTTTATTTTTGTTCACCCTATGGTAGAGGTATAGTATATATTTTCATAGATATATTATCCTATGGTGTAGGTATATTGCCTATTGCTTATTGGGTATTGCATAGGTATATATATATATATGTGTGTGTTTTTTCATATTTTAGACAATGAATAATAGTATTTTATGTACATTTTTTTTTATAGGTAACATACAATTTTATTTGTCTATTTTTGTATCTGACTTATAGGTAGCCTTCTAATTTATGTTTCTAACTTATAGGTAGTATTCTAATTTATGTTCATGACTTATAGGTAACATGATTTATCACTTAAGTTTTTTTTTCGTTGCTAATAAGAACACTATTTACTTATATGTTACGTACATAATTTAATGTGGGTGCTTGTCTAATCGATTAGTATAATATGTGGGTCTTTACTTTCATTGATTAATTTGTATTTTACCCATATATTAGGTAATAAATATTATCAATGAAAGAGTTCAAAATTTAAAATCTGAAATTCAATTACAAGTAAATAATTTATTAAATTTAGATTTTCAATGTTTTCCTTATTTATCTCAAATGGTAAAATCGACACAATAAAAAGTGTAATAAAAGTCAAAGGACCTACATCTTATATAAAAAACGTGTGGACTAAACTCAATGACAACTAATCATTTTGGACCTTTATCTAAGAACCCCTAAAATTAATGCAAGTCAGTGTTGTTGAATAATAAAGAAAACTTAATGCATGTCATCTTGGTTATTTTAATTTTATTCACTATCGTATTGTTATCATAATACTATACATTAAGAATCCAAGTTTTAATATTCAAAACTATGGAAATCCAAGCTTTCATGTATATTTCCTATATGTTTCTTCCAGAATAACATCGCCTATGGAAATTGGTGTTTGACTTCAAGCAACTCAAAGTTCCATATATAGTCGTTCAATACTGGTAGGAAGGAATTATGACCACAATTCTTCTGTACTAAAAATTTGCCCCACTTGTAAAAAACTTTCTTATAATGGGGATATCACTGTTTTCTAATGGGGTTATACGAGCCCAATATACATAAAGGGCATGACTATATTGGGCAAAAATTACTTCATTACAAACGATACTGGTTTAACAGCTTCAACAAAACCACGAGGACGTTTCACAGATCCGTCGGCAAATTCCAATGTTACAGAGATTATGTTTCAACTCACACTAGCTCCATAATCAAGCAATAATGCTTTCTAAATTGTAGAATTCCCAATAACACAAGAAATGGTAAGGTTTCTAAAATCCTTGAGCTTAGTTAGGGGTAATTTGTCGTTAAAAGTGACCCAGTTTCTACCCTCAAAAGCAACCTTAATTAGCAATACAAATCACCATTCAAGATTGATTAAAGCGACTCAGTTCCTAACCTAAATATTAAAATAAACCTTATTGGCTTTACAAGACTACTATTTCTGCGCAAAGCTACAACCTCATGCACACATCGAAATATAGTAGTGTGTGTATACACACCCATATATGTATGTAAACGTATCCGCCTTCTCTAGAGATGTTAATTGAAAATTAAAAATTGCAGTTAACCGGTGGTCAATACATGTCAAATTGAAGACTGCCGAGAAGAATATTTCTCCGTTGTATTGATAGAGCCAAAAGGCTAAGTATTTATATAAAGAGTTACAAACCCTACAAGGAATACTAGGTTACTTGGAGGCTACTCCTAAGTCAATTACAATCAATACATAAAAGGAAACTAAATAACTTTTCCAACACTCCCCCTCAAGTTAGAGCATGGATATCGAGAATGCCCAACTTGCACACAAGATTGTGGAAAGCATTACTTCCAAGGGTTTTGGTGAACAAATCTGCTACCTAAGCTGCAGATGGAATGAATGAGGTAGTTATCTGTCAGGCTTGAATCTTCTCCCGAACCACATGACAATCAATCTCGATATGTTTCGTTCGTTTATGATAAACGGGATTGGCGGTAATATAAAGGGCTGCTTGGTAGTAACAAATGAACTTTGCAGGACCTAGATTGGTAACTCATAGATCTTTAAGAACATATCGCAATCAAGTCAGCTCACAAGTAGCAGCTGCCATGGAACAATATTCTGCTTCAGCAGATGAATGAGAAACTGTTTTCTGTTTCTTTGTCTTCTATGATATGAGTGAATCTCCAAGAAAACCATAGGAGCCTGAAGTGGATCTTCTCGTCATGAGGCAAGTTTTGCCAATTAGAATTAGGGGTGTTTTCGGTGCGGTGGCACCGAAACAAAGAAACCGTTTACTGGCCGACTACCTGCGGTTTAGCCAAAATCCAAACCAACGCCGCACCGCACAAAGACGGTTACCGGAGGTGCCGGTTACAGTGGGTGGTTGCAGTATCGGTCGGTTACCAAACCTGGAAGAACAAACCTACAAAAAACAAGAGGGAGATAGAGAGAGAAATAACCTTCATTCATCACAACCACAGAGAAGGAGGGAGAGAGAAATTTAAAAAATAAAAACAGATTTAGTTTATCACCTAAGAACCAGAGAGGAGTTAGAGAAAAGCGAGGGGAGAGAGAGATGAGTTAGAGAGGGGAAGAAGGCTTTTGGTTTTTGGTTTCCTTGGGCAGTGAAAGGAAACCTCGGGAACGCCTTGGGCATTAATTAACACCCATTTAAAATATTAAAAACTCTATTGACAGTCAAAAGTCGTTAATATTTAGAATTTAAAATTCATTACATCACTCCATTTGTCCATTTGTCCATTTCCCCATTAGAATATTAAAATATACTCATTTGTCCATTTCCCCATTAGAATATTAAAATATAGTATAAAATATCAAGAAAGGGAGAAGAAAACGCAACGGCAGATAGAAATATATCTCTACTTTTTCTTTCCTTCTATCTCTGTTTCTCATTTTCTTTTGGCTATGCGTTTCTCTCTTTTCTTTCTTTTTTTTTCTTCTTCTTCCTCATTCATTCCTTCTTCTTCCATCACCAAAGCTACACCCTTTCTCTGTTCCATTTTTTTGCTTGGCTTGGTGGGGTTTTTGTACTCTTTGTTTCTTGGATTCAAAGGGAAGACGAGGAGAGGAGGAAATTCAGAGATGGCTAGGGTTTGAATTCGAAGGGAATGAAATGAAATGAGGGAGAGTTGATCTCAACCTCTAGCTTCTTCGGCAGGTGTACAAATATATATATATATATATATATCGGTCGGTTGCGGTTGCCGACAGCTTTGGTATCCTGCAACCGCAGCCGCATCCGTAGTATTTCGGCTCGGTTGTCCAATCACAACCGGTCATTGACCGAAAAAGTCAACGGTTTGCCGACCGGAAGTATCGGTCGGAAACCGCTGGTTTCCGGTATTTGCGGTCCAACCGCACAGCCCTAATTAGAATCACAATAACCTATCAAATGTAACTTACTCTTTGAAGAGAAGCGTAATCCTTGACTTGGATCACCTTTCAAATAACGAAAAACACGTAAGGTGGCATCCAAATGTGGTTTCCTTGGTAGATGCATAAATTGGCTCAGAATATTGACTGCATAAGTAATCTCTGGTCTAGTGATGGTAAGGTAGATTGACCTCTCCGCCAATCGTCTAAATTGTGAAGGATTATTGAGAACTTCACCATTACTAGTTGTGAGCTTCAAGTTTTGCTCCATAGGAAAGTCTACTGGTTGAGCACCTAGAATAGTTGCATATCAAGAATATCTAGTGTGTACTTTAGTTGAGAGATCGCAATTCCCGCCTTTGATCTTGCAATCTCTAGCTCAAGAAAGTACTTCAAATGGCCCAAATCTTTTATATGAAACTAATTATGAAGAAAATACTTTAAATTCTATATAGCACTCTCATCATTGCCTGTGATCACTATGTCATCAACATAGATTAAAATAGTAGTAAATGATGTACCATAAGTATGAGTGAAGAGAGAATAGTCTGAAAGAGATTGTGTGAATCCTGCTTTCTGAAGGCAATAGAAAACTTGTGAAACCAATTACGAGGGGCTTGTTTGAGACCATATAGGGACTTGTGTAGTCGACAAACCAAATTACTCTTCCCCTGTCGACAAAGGCTCGGAGGACGAGTCATGTAAAATTCTTCATGGAGATCACTATGGAGAAAAACATTGTTAACATCCATATGATAAAGAGGCCACTGATGAATAGAAGCAAGAGCCAGTAAACAATGGACGGTGATCAACTTCACAACCGGAGCAAAGGTTTATGTATAATCAAGGCCTTCTCGTTGAGTAAAGCCTTTGGTAACAAGATGAGCTTTGTAACGCTCAATGGAACCATCAGAATTGTACTTGATCCGATACACCCATGACTGCCAATCGCACGATTTCCTGATGGGAGAGGAACCAAAGACCAAGTGTTTTGTTGGGCAAGAGCATGTAATTCGGCATCCATAGCGGCACATTAATGATAGTCTAGTGTAGCCTGAGCATAAGAAGTGGGCTCAAAAGCACTTGAAATAATGTTAACAAAAGCCTTGTGTGAAGGAGATAACGAAGCATAAGAAATGTACTTGGACAAGGGAAAACATGTACCTGATTTCTTGAAAGATGATGGCCTATTTGTGGCTTGATTGCAATGGAAATCATGTAAGAGAACGGAAGGTTGAGAGACACGTTGGCTACAACGAAGTGGAGGAGAGGAAATGACATTTTTTGGGTAAAAAGGAGTCCGGAATAGGTTTGGCGTCATGAAGCAATCGATCGTCAGAAAGGGGCAGTCTTTATCGCATCGAAGATGGGAGAGCTTGAGTGCTCTTTGTCAGAAATTGATTGATCGTCTTGAGATGAGCGATCGATTGCATCGATGTTTTGAGAATCCCAGTGCTCTCTGGAAAAAAAATGATCGATTCCTTGAGGAAGGGCAATTGATCGGTTTGGGTTTGGGTGCATTTTGTGTGGGGTATGGTTGTGTTTCAGGTTTAAAGTTTTTGGTAAAAGGATTTGGAAAAGGTGCGGAAGCGATATGTGGTGATAGGGAGGAGGAAGTATGGTAAGGAAAGACATGTTCATGAAACACAACATCATGACTTGAAAAAAGTTTGTGGGTGGAAAGGTCATAAACGCGATAAGCTTTTTGTCCCAATGGATCCCACAAAGACACACCGGCGAGCCTTAGGTGCAAATTTGGAAGAAGATGTGGTGTTGGTAAGCATAACAAAGACTCCCAAAGGGCCGAAGATGAGCATATGTGGGACGTTTTTTATGGAGGATTTCATAGGGTAATTTTTTTGTTGAGGGTAGGTGTAGGAAGGTGATTGATGAGATAGGTAGTGGTAAGAACACTCTCTCCCCAAAAATGGAGAGGAAGTTGAGCTTGAAATTATAAGGCTCGACTGTCATTGAGTAAGTGTCAATGTTTGCGTTTAACTACTCCATTTTGTTGTGGAGTAGAAGGACACGAGTGGTGAAAAGTGATGTTATGTTCATCAAAGAAGGAAGTCATAGATACAAATTCAGTCCCATTGTCAGAACGGACAGTTTTGATAGAAGAATGAAAGTGATTGTGAATATAGGCAAAGAAATTCTTGAGAATGCGTTGTGTGTCAGATTTGTGATACATAAGGTGAAGCCAAGTGTAGCGTGAGTAATCATCAACAATGGTGAGAAAGTATCGTGTACTCAAATGAGATGCAATGCTTTGGGGACCCCATATATTGAACTGGAAGAAAAGGGCAAATGAGTTTGCTTGGCTAAAGGACATACATCATAATGATGGTGTAAATCAAATGCAATTTTAGAAATTGTTTGAGACAAAAGTTTGGATGGTTCTTGGGAGGGATGTCCCAAGCATTGATGCCAGAGAGCTGCAGTTTTGTGGTTGAGATGGCATGTGGTGGTGTTGGATATGGATGGTGGAGTGGTGGCGTTCTCTTTCATGAGCAAGTAGTACAATCCATTAACTTGTTTCCCCAGGCCAATCATCCTCTTCAAAGCCAGGTCTTGTAAGACACAAAAGGTAGGGAATAAGTGAATAGAACAGTTCAGATGAGATGTAAGTTTGCTAACATAAAGTAAGTTAACATGAAAGGAAGGCACACAAAGAACTCCATCAACAAATAAATTTGGACCAAGAGAGGAGAAACCAAGGCCACTAATTTTGGCATGAGACCCATTAGGAAGATCAACAGTGGAGTTGAGTAGGGTGGTGATGGATAGCCTGGAGCAAGGTGCAATGTGGTTAATGGCTCCACTATCAAGTATCCAAGGATGTGTGGATGATGAGCTTGCGAGGGCACAAAAAATAGGTATTTTACCTGTGAAATTAGCACGAGGTTTACCATCACGAAGCAAAGACTTGAGTTGTGCAGGCTCCTCAACGGAGAATTTGAACCTTTTTCTTTAGTGGATTGTGTCTGATTTGCCATAGAGGGTTTCTTGGAGCGATTGGGTGGCTTGACATCTTTGCCATGAAGCTTGTGCCAAAGAGGAAAACTAAGTAGATAAAAACACATGTCAACCAGATGGGTGGTGTCCTCAGAATAGGTACAAAAGAGAAGTTTGCATGAATTGCTTCTTTGGGAAGTATGTTTGGAAGTGTTGGTCTCTTGCGCTTTGGAGTTGCTGGAAGGGAAGGAGCCAGGGGGTTTGTATGACTTGTTGCTCATGTTCATGGCATGGGAAATTCAAACGGAGTGTTTTCTCCAACTTCATGTTGTTGTTCCTCCTGGATAATCATAGAATAAGCCTTCTTGATAGACGGAACAATTTGCATTAGCAAAATTTGGACTCGAATGGCTATGTATGAGTCATTAATACCCATAAAAACTGTATGACTTGCTCTTTGTAGGGGGTTTTTTTGTTCCAGCAGCCTGACGAATGGGCTTGGGCTGCTGTAAGAAGACAACGAGCAAAATCCCCCAAATGCCTGAGTTCGAAAAACAAGCTCCCAAGAGAGTTTTTAGAAAATCTAATGAGATTTTAAAAGAACACTCTCAGGATCACTTCACTAACACCTAAATAAGCATGAGGATTTCATTAATGGCTTAGCCTGAGGAGCATGTGGCATGAGAGCTAAGCTTTCACAAGTTTAGCAATTTGAGAGAGAGAAAACAGCGTGGGTTTCTTACAGAAGAAATATTAGTGCAAGCCCTATCCTAAGAAGAAGAAAGATGAACAGAAGAGAGGTTTGGGTGGCTTGAGTAAATTCCAGATTGCTTGACAAAGCTTGGTCAAGATCTGGATCGTCTTGTTGTGGATGTGTTTTCTGGGTAGCAAAAGTCTCCTTTTATAGGCGTTAGGGGCTTTAATTTCGTCTGGTTTTCTTCTTCCTTTTTCCTTGGCAGCTCATACTTAGCCCTATTTTGATGAATTTCTCCATCCAAGGAGCATGGGTAAGGAACCCTTTATGGTTCCAACGGTTTGACGCAGCTGGGCTTTCCCGTAAAGGGGAAGGCGCCACCTGCTTTCCTTATGTTTTCTCCAAGGCAGAGCTTACAGAGGAAAAGGGGAGAGATGGAGCCTTTTGTCTGATGGACACTTCCCTCACCCCCATGGATTTCCTCTGGTCTTGCCATGGCTCCCTTATGACCATTGTTTGGAATTTAAACGGGCATAGGACTTGACGCCAGATTTTTGTAAGTTGCTGGGCTTGGGCTTGTACATATGGTATTGGGTCCTCTGGCTTTGTTGCTTCTATCGTTTGGCAGGCTTTCGTCAAGCTGCTGGAAAGGCTTTCCCTTTAATTCTATTGATGTGGGCTGGGCTAAATATCTTGGTAGGTTCTTTGGTGTCTTCCTAGAGCATGGGTCAATTTTTCTCCTCTCTCTCATGCTAACCCATATGCTTGGGTTCTAGGAACGGGCTTGAGTTCCAAAGCCCCCAAGTGGCTTTGAAACCTACGTTCCTTGAACCCTCAATGGGCCCCGTGATTGCTTGTTTCCTTCCATACCACAACCTTCTCAGTAAGCCCCGGTTAATTTTGTGGCTTGGGCCCACTTAAGCTCGTGACGTAGCTTGGTATTAGAATGCGCGTGATTTCTATGCTCATGCTTGGGGTTTTATTATGCCATGATAGGCTAGAGTCGGGCCAAGTAGCACCGAATGAGCATGTGAGCGTGATTTAGTAATATCGGTATGTCCTTGGCTCCTTCTGCACGTGCTTGTTTAGCATGATTCGTGGCTTGTAGCTTGTGTTGGCGGCTCTTATAAATTTTCTTTTATCCTGATTGAGCTTATTTTGCATCCAATTACCCATGTTGGGCTAAGGATTGATTTGGGCTTAGCCCCTTGGATTTTTGGGCCTCAACACTCTTCATCTTCGCATGATCGCAACACCTTCAAGGCTTCATAGGTGCAGTGTGATACGGATGGATAAGAACCCAATTCATCTAAAAAGGATTTCAAATTTGTGTATTATTGACAGATGGTCTACTGTCCTTGTTTGTGTTCGGCGATGGTCCTCTGAATCTGAAAAATACAGGTGAGGTTACCAAGAGAGAATTGATCCTGCAGCTTCAGCAGGGGTGTCAGCATAGATGACACTATTAGCAAGGGCTAGTGTGAAAGCATTCAACAATCAAGCGATCACCATATTGTTGTAGCGGCGCCATAATGAGCATTCGGGATTTTTATCAGAGAGAGATTTGATGGTGCCATCAACAAATCCTAATTTGTTTTTGGCATTAAGCCTAATGGTGATGGTGCGGCGCCACGTGCTGTAGTCATCTCCATCAAGAAGTTAGGCAACAATAACAAGTCCCAGATGATCCGAGGACTGCAAGAAGTAAGGATCAATATGATCCATGGGTTGTGTGGGAGAGGGTTTGGTTTCTATGTTGGAGGTTTTGGTCTCTGTTTGGGAGGTTTGGCTAGTGTCACCCATGGAGGCTTAGACAACTAGGGTTTGTAAACAAAGAGACACCTAGAATTGGTGCTTTGATACTATGTCAAATTGAAGACTATGTTGAGAAGAATATTTCTCCGTTGTATTGATAGAGCCAAAAGGCTAAGGGGGGTGTATTCAATTTGGATTTTAAAAGACTATTTTGAGATGAATAAGTCTTGTGAATTTTAAAAGACTATTTAGGAATATAACGACTTATAAGATTTTTTTAAAAGATTTTTATAATCAAGATTTTTTACGTTTGGATTTTAAAAGATTTATATCATAAGAATTTATAAGATTTGAAAGGACCACATGGATTTTTTACTTTTATGATGCTAACCAACCAACTTATTAGATGATGAGCAATGGTAATAGTATAATAGTTCAACCAAATTATTCAATAACAAAGAAATTATAATTTTAATAAAGAAAAGTAAAACCCAATACAATTTTCCCAATCTTTTAATAGCCAATTTGATGTAGCTTCATGTCCTCCTAAATAGCATTTCTCTACATATCTAAAGCTATGCTAGCCCTCCACGCATTAGCATCTTCTCGTTGCTGCTCTTGGGTTTGAACAATAGGTTCAAAATTATCTTCTTCATTAACTGGTAATACTGAAGATGAAGATCCACAATCCACTAGGAAATATTTACCTAATTATATATAAAATTAGTATGAAAAGTTATATCTTTGTCATATATATCTTCGTCATCTATATCTTCGTCTTCACCTATTTCTTCATCATCAATTTCTTCTTCCTCCATGTCATTACCTTCATACATGCTCGGTTGTGACATTATACGTGTATATAAAAATATACTAGACTGCAAAATAATAAAAAGAAGAAAATAAAAGCTGAAAAAAAAAAAAAAAAAAAAAAAAAAAAAAACAAAACAAAAAATCCAATGTTTACTAAAAGCTGTCTTTCTATTTTCTATTTTTTTTTTTTCCAGAGAAAGCTGTCTTTCGCTTTATGTATGTGAAAAAAAACTATAATATATAAGTGAAAAAAACTAAAAGCTGTTTTTCTCTTTACCAAAAAAAATTATAATCTGTATGAAGAATAATCACAAGAAACCGTCCATATGGGCTAAGAAAATCAATCTGGAAGGATAAGAATTGAGCAAGAAAATCCCATACGAAGAATTATCACAAGAAACAAATTATCAAGACCAAGAACATTAGACATGTAAAAGGGACTGATTCAAACAAACGCTGACCATTGAAATCATTAAAGACATATCCATAGTACAACCAAAATAGTTTAATCAAATTACAATAACAATAGTTCAACCAAATTATAAACCAAATACTTCAACCAAAGTACAACCAAAACAGCACCCAAAAAAAAAAGTTCAACATAGCACAGACTATATACAAGCATGGCATATATTTGATACATAGCACAAGAAGACATAGCACGAGAAGGAAGCAATATCTTATTCACGAAGAGCTATTTATCCTCACGAAGAACTGTTCATCTTCTCTCGCAGAGAAAAAAAAAAATCTCACGTGAAAAGTCTGATGGGTTATGGTGAGATTTTTTTTAGGGTTTGGTATTTATACCTCCCACTAAAAAGTCACACAAATTCCTTCTTTAAAAAAAATCCTTCGAAATTAGCAAGTTTTTGAATACCAAAAGACTTTTTGTTACTTGTTTAAAGTCTTGATTGAATACCACCAGATTTGGACACCCTCTTTAAAAAATCATAATAGTCCTTATTGAATACCACAAGACTTGTTTAGATTATTTAAAAGTCTTAATTGAATACCACAAGACTTATTTATCCCAAAATAATCTTTTAAAATCCTAATTGAATACACCCCCCTAAGTATTTATTCAAAGAGTTACAAACCCTACAAGGAATATGTGGGAACCAAATTAAATCAGAACCATAGGTCAAATAAGGTTAAATAATCCCAATTAGGTTAAATCAATACCATGTTGAATTCTCTAGAGATACAGGAATAGTCGCTTGTGTTATTCTTCTCCCAAAAGGAGGATTAAATAGTGAACAGCCAATTACAAGTATGGAAAGAAAATAAAGGCTAAAAGTCAACTCCTATGAAGAAGCCTCTAACTATGCTAATCTGCTATTATGTACAATTAAGTATATACAAGTCAACACTCCCCCTCAAGCTGGAGAATAGATATCTTGAATTCCCAGCTTGGCTAAAGAAGACTCAAACACCTTGCTAGAAACTCCCTTAGTAAGAATATCAGCAAGTTGATCATTGGTTTTCACATAAGGCGTGCAAATCAATCCTTGTGATAATTTCTCCTTGATGAAGTGTCTGTCAATCTCAATATGTTTGGTTCTATCATGTTGTACAGGGTTGTGAGCAATACTAATGGCTGCTTTATTGTCACAAAATAATCTCATAGGACCCGGAATAGTAATCCTCAAATCTCGAAATAAAATTTTCAACCATAATAATTCGCACACACCATGGGCCATAGCCCTGAACTCAGCCTCAGCACTAGATCTAGCAACAACTGATTGCTTTTTACTACGCCAAGTGACTAGATTGCCACCCACAAACGTGCAATATCCCGTGGTTGATCTCCGGTCTGAAACTGAACCAGCCCAATCTGCATCTGTATAAGCTTCTATAGCAAAGTTATCATGCTTTGAAAATAAAAGGCCTTTACCAGGTGCTGATTTCAAGTATTTAAGTATCCTTTCAACTGCCTGCATGTGGACCTCACGTGGCTCGTGCATGAATTGACTGACGACACTTACTGCATAAGCTATATCTGGTCTTGTATGAGCCAAATATATCAACTTCCCTACCAATCTTTGATATCTCCCCCTATCAACAGGTGTATCATCAATTTGCTCTCCCAATCTATGATTTTGTTCAATTGGAGTGTCCGCAGGCTTGCATGCTAACATTCCAGTTTCAGTCAGAAGATCAAGTACATATTTTCTTTGTGAGATAAAGATTCCTTCTTTTGAATGTGCCACTTCAATGCCTAAAAAATATCGTAGTGTCCCCAAGTCTTTGATATCAAATTCCTTGGCCAATTGTATTTTCAGCTTACTGATCTCCTCTATATCGTCCCCTGTCATAATGATATCATCTACATAAACAATAACAATAGTAATCCTACCATCCCGAGAATGTCGTAGGAACAATGTATGATCTGCTTGACTAGGACGATATCCATACTTTTTCATAGCTTGAGAGAATCTACCAAACCATGCCCTAGGAGACTGTTTCAGGCCATACAATGATTTTCTTAATCTGCATACTTTTCCTTGAGAGGTCTCATCTATACCTGGAGGCATGTCCATGTATACTTCCTCCTCTAAGTCTCCATGGAGGAAAGCATTCTTCACATCAAATTGTTGAAGAGTCCACCCCAAGTTAGCTGCTAAAGATAAAAGGACCCGAATTGTGTTCATCTTTGCAACTGGAGCAAATGTGTCTTGGTAATCTATCCCATAGGTTTGAGTATACCCTTTTGCCACCAACCTTGCCTTGTATCTGTCAACAGAGCCATCTGCCTTATGTTTTATTGTGAACACCCATTTGCAACCAACAACCTTCTTCCCCCTTGGCAACTCCACCAACTCCCAAGTAGAGTTTTTTCGTAGAGCTCTCAATTCCTCATCCATCGCCTCTTTCCACCTTGGATTGTCCAGTGCATCCTGCAATGTTTGAGGAACAGATACAGAAGACAACTGATAGGCAAATGATTTAAGACATGGGGAGAGACGATGAGAAGACATGAAATTTGAGATAGGATATTTGTACTTTGATGGGCAAGAACGAAGTGGTCTCCTTAAGGCAATAGGTAATTCATTATCAATTGAAGGAACAGAGTTTATAGGGTTATTTTCAAGTAAAGAACAAGAAGGTTCAACAAATTCTACCTCTGAATTACCTGTCACCGGGGCAGCAGATTGATCATTTCTCTGAAAGGGCACCTTATCTCTTTTTGTATACACCAAATCATATGGTGACATACGATGACCAACAGGTGGGAGAGTCAAGGAATTGCCTTCTCTTCCAGTATCATTTTTTTCACTTTCATTTTGTTCAATTTTTTCCAACTCAAACATTGGCACACCATAAGACTTATCTTCACTACTTATATTCTCCCCCTGAAGAGAAGTCTCAGAACTAAGATGAGAGAAATAAGCATGTTCCTCATGAAAAGTAACATCTCTAGTAACAAAGAATTTTTTGGACGGAGGGTGATAACATTTGTACCCTTTTTGAGTGGCAGAGTAGCCAAGAAAAATACATTTGAGGGAATGAGGGTCAAGCTTACCACTATGATGAAGATGCACAAAACTAATGCAACCAAACACTCGAGGAGGAAGATGATTAACAGTAGAAGGAGAACATGCAGCAGTGAACACCTGAAGGGGAGTTTGAAATTTGAGAACTTGAGAAGGCATCCTATTGATCAAATAAGCAGCTGTAAGAACAGCCTCCCCCCAATAAGACTTTGGTACAGACATGGAAAGAAGAAGGGAACGAGCAACTTCTAAAAGATGGCGATTTTTCCGTTCAGCTACTCCATTCTGCTGAGGGGTATAGCTGCAAGATCTTTGATGAATAATGCCATGATCCGAAAAATAGGTTTTGAGACCAGAATTGATGTACTCACCCCCATTATCTGAGCGGAAGACTTTAATCTTAGAATTGTATTGTGTATGGATCATTCGGTGAAAGGACTGAAAAATAGAGAAAACCTCACTTTTGTCAGTCATCAAATAAACCCAAGTAAGTCGGGAATAATCGTCAATGAATGTGACAAACCATTTGGAATTGGACAAATTTGACACACGAGAAGGACCCCAAACATCACTATGGACAAGAGCAAAAGGTGCAGAACTTTTATTAATACTTAATGGATAAGAAACACGGTGGTGCTTAGCAAGTTCGCATATTTCACACTTAAATTGAGAAAGATCAACCGAAGACAATAAAGAAGGAAACAATTTTTGTAAATAGATAAATGATGGGTGTCCCAATCGTTTGTGCCATAACCAAATGTCCCTGGATGAGTCAGTAGCGGACTGAAGAGCATGAACTGTGGGAGAACTAGTATAGCCAGCTGGGTCATCCAAGAGATAAAGGCCCCCTTTCTCACTACCACGACCAATCGTTGCCCCGGTCCGTTGATCCTGAATTACACAATGAGTGTCATAAAAGGTGACAAAGCAATTTAGAGATTTAGTAAGCTGACTTATTGACAATAAATGGTTAGACAATCCAGGAACATGGAGAACATTTGAGAGGGACAGAGAATTCGAAAGAAAAACAGAGCCTTCACCAACCACAGGAGTGGGTGAACCATCGGCAGTGGTAACACAAGTCTTACTAGGGGATGAATAACGAGAGAAGAAATCAAGTTTAGAGGTCATGTGATCAGTTGCCCCTGTATCTATAATCCAAGAGTCTGAGAAAGACTTACCAGATGCACTAAGACAACAACCAAAGTTACCTGAGGAGGTGGCTAAGGAACCGGAAGCCCCTTTAGATCCTTTATCAGAGAGCAAGCGAGCACACTCTTGAACGATTTGTTCCATTTGAGCAGAAGAGAGTTGAGAGGTAGATTGGTCATTCTGATCACTAGAAGATGTGTGATAGGCTCTGGAGCTGGAACGGCCCCCTTTTCCACCTCCTCCCTTGCTGCCTTCAGCTTTTTCACCCTTCTTGCCAGGCCACCAAGGTGGATAACCATTGAGCTTGAAACATTGCTCTCTCACATGCTTGGTCTGATGACAATAATCACATTTCAAAGCATCCTTATCATCAGATTTTGAACTCTTAGCAACATTACCAGAGGAGACAGCAGCTGAAGAACTAGATTGATGTACCGGTGGCGCCCAAACCGAATGGTTTGCTGTAGAAATCAAGGCAGACCCTTCTAAAGAGGGTGGTATAACCATAGCAGATCGACGGAGAGCTTGCGCACGCACATATGCATAGGCTTCACGCAAAGAGGGAAAAGGATCCTTTCCAAGCACCTGTGTTCTCACTTGATCCAAATCCGGATTAAGACCAGCCAAGAACTCAAAAATACGTTCCTTCTCGATCCGTTTTTTCAACGCAGCAGTATCGTTAGAGCACTTCATGTCGCACGGCTGATAATAATCAAGTTCCTGCCATAAAGCCTGGAGTGAATTAAAATATGTCTCCAACGTCTTACCTTGCTGAGTAGTGGCTTGGATCCGACGTTTCAATTCATAAATTTGGGCATCACAACCTCCCTCAGAATAGGTTTGAGAAACCGCATCCCATATAGCATGAGCGGAGTCGAGACGCATATAGCCAAGACTAATATCCGGGGTCATAGCCTGGAGAAGCCATGATCTAAGCATAGCATCTTCTTCAACCCATGTTATGAACTTTGGGTCAGTATTATCTGGTTGCTTCTTCTCTCCAGTCAAATATCCAATCCGACCTTTACCGGTAATATATAATCTCACAAAATGAGACCAAGCCAGATAATTGGTGCCATCAAGCTTAGTTGGCAACAACTGGACATTCATCAAATCATGATGATGATTGGAATTGGCTGGAAGAGATACAAGAGGCCGAGAATCAGAAGAATCTGTTATATCTCCCATTAGACCAGGAAATCCAGAAAATAGGAGTCGGTAGTGTCTATAGCAGTGGGCAGGTTTTGGGTATTTAGGGATTTAGGTCTGGGTATTAGGGATTTCTGGCTAATTTGGAGTAACCTGTAAGAAGGTTTTAAAATTCCTCTCTAGAGTGCTCTGATACCATGTAGAAATTTTCAGGTCGACGGGCCGAGGGCCCACTCCAACAACACCGATACTGTCCCCACTTAACCACCTGCACAATCCTCAGGTGTGGGGTTTTATCACAAAAGGCCTCGGTATTAGTTAGAGTGAGGAATTTCTATTTAAAGCACTCTTTCTCCTTCCCTCTTTCCGATGTGGGACACAATTGGTTTCAACACTCCCCCGCACGTGAGACCCCATGTTGTGGGTCACACGTGGAGATCCACACATCGGCAACCACGTGGAGCCATGTCGGGACTCACCCATCACGCGGCACCTTTGGGCCTACGTGGAGATTATTTGACCTAATTGGGAATTATTTAACCTAATTGGGAGTTACTCAATTTAATTGAGGATTACCCAATTAAATGGAATGCTACCAAATTAGGTTGAGAATTGATTTGATTCCTACCACAATTCCCAATTAAATGAGGAGTTACCTAATTAAATTAGGAATATTGATTCGATACCTACCACAATTGGGGATTAGATTTACCCTAATAAATCAAATCCCTAATTAATCAAATCAATTCCAAATCGGGGAGGAATAATTCCTTTCCATCTACAGAATTATTCCTTTGAAACCCTAGCCTCCGAGACCACTATAAAAGGATGGCCACACTTAAGGGTTGAGGTACGTCGGAAATTTGTATTGAAACTCTGCAGAAAATTCCTCTCACATACCCTAGCCACCTCCTCTCTTCCTCTCTCTCTCTCTCTCTCTCTCTCTCTCTCTCTCTCTCTCTCTCGTTTACATAAGGCTCCGGCTGCCCGGTTTACACCATAAACATATCTCCATACCCTATTAGCTATTGTTTTCTATATGATTCAATTGAACTAATTTAGGCATCGGAGGGCCTTTGGCCAACACCCCCCCGGGTGTGGTCTTCTTATTTGTTCTATTTTGCAGGGAGAAAGAGGCGGTGAAGAAGAAAAGGGAATCTTTCCAATCGAATATTCTCGTGGGGAAATTTGCTCCCACAGAATACTAGGTTACTTGGAGTCTACTCCTAAATCAATTACAATCAATTACAATCTATACATAAAAGGAAACTGTTGGTAATTTTTTTTTTTTTTTTTTTTTTTTTTTTTTTTTTTTTTTTTTTTTTTTTTTTTTTTTTTTTTTTTTTTTTTTTTTTTTTTTTTTTTTTTTTTTTTTTTTTTTTTTTTTTTTTTTTTTTTTTTTTTTTTTTTTTTTTTTTTTTTTTTTTTTTTTTTTTTTTTTTTTTTTTTTTTTTTTTTTTTTTTTTTTTTTTTTTTTTTTTTTTTTTTTTTTTTTTTTTTTTTTTTTTTTTTTTTTTTTTTTTTTTTTTTTTTTTTTTTTTTTTTTTTTTTTTTTTTTTTTTTTTTTTTTTTTTTTTTTTTTTTTTTTTTTTTTTTTTTTTTTTTTTTTTTTTTTTTTTTTTTTTTTTTTTTTTTTTTTTTTTTTTTTTTTTTTTTTTTTTTTTTTTAAAACGCGCACAGCACTTAAGGTTTTAGAATGTGGATTTTATTGGCCTACTATCTTTAAGGATGCTAGAACTTTTTGTATGACTTGTGATCGTTGTCAAAGAACGGGCAATATAGGTGCAAAAGATCAAATGCCGCAAACCCCTATCTTTTCTGTTGAGATTTTTGATGTTTGGGGTATTGATTTCATGGGCCCTTTTCCTTCTTCACATGGTTTTAATTATATCTTACTTGCTGTGGATTATGTTTCAAAATGGGTGGAAGCAAAAGCCACCCGTACCAATGATTCCAAAGTGGTTGCAGATTTTATTAAAACTAACATATTTGCAAGATTTGGAATGCCACGAGTACTTATAAGTGATGGGGGCTCTCACTTTTGTAATCGGACCATAGAGGCACTACTTAAGAAGTATAATGTCACGCATAAGGTTTCAACACCTTATCATCCCCAAACAAGTGGACAAGCCGAAGTTTCCAACCGGGAAATCAAGCAGATCTTGGAAAAGACAGTTGGACCAACTCGAAAGGATTGGAGCTTGCGTTTGAATGATGCATTGTGGGCATATCGTACTGCCTACAAAACACCAATTGGAATGTCTCCTTTTCGGCTCATTTATGGGAAACCATGCCATCTTCCAGTTGAGTTGGAGCATCGTGCACATTGGGCAGTCAAGACTTTCAACATGAACATTGATGCCGCTGGACTTCATAGGAAATTGCAATTGAATGAGCTTGAGGAAATTCGGACTGAAGCTTATGAGAACGCTCATATTTACAAGGAGAAAACAAAGGCTGCCCATGACAAGATGATTCGTAGTAAAACGTTTTCTGTGGGGCAGAAAGTGTTACTTTTCAACTCTCGCCTTCGTTTGTTTCCGGGTAAGTTGCGTTCTAAATGGATTGGTCCTTTTGTTGTTACTAATGTTTTTCCCTATGGTGCAGTCCAAATTCAAAGTTTTAAGACGGGACATGAATTCAAAGTGAATGGACACCGTTTGAAGCCATACTATGAGTCTTTTGAGGAGCATGTAGTGGAGGATGTACCCCTCCATGCCATTGGCCCTAGTGAAGCTTAAAGGGAGGTACCGTCCGGCTGGAAGACGTTAAAGCAAGCGCTTCTTGGGAGGCAACCCATGTGTTCAAATAGAAAGACAACGGAATCTCCGGGCTCTACAACCAGATTTGCTCTCTTTTACTCTTCTCTTTATTATTTTTACTTTGCTATAATTGTCTTGTTTGCTAGTTGTCTCTTATTGCTTTCTTGTTTAAAGTTTTCTTTTGAAACATTGAGGACAATGTTTAGTTTAAGTGTGGGGGGGTAAACAGAGTGCTTTTCGTGATTTATTTTCAAAATTCACCACCTATCACTACTAATGTTGTTATTCACTGTTTTAAAAAGTGTTTTCGTGCTTTAAATTTAAATTAAATAAAAAAAAAAAAAAAAAAAAAAAAACAAAAGAGTCGAGTTTTTGTTGTTTATTTGTGTCTTAGGGTACCTTCCAACACAATGATGAGGATTTGGTTTTTAATTGCATGACTTTTAAAGAAAGTTACAAACATGGGTGGAAGTCTGATATGCTCTTTGGTTAATACTTAGTTATAGTTGTCAATTACGAATTCACATGTAAAAAAACAAAAAAAAAAAAAAAAAAAAAAGATAATTTTGTAACATGCTGGAAGGAAGGAACTCAAACTAACGCTGCAACCCTGAGAGACTTGAGCCTGTTCTTTGTTTGGAGAGTTATTAATCTTGATATTCTTGTTTTCTAAAGTCGTTGCATGATCTCATTATTTCTTTGCTTGGTTGCTACTTAGAATGCTTTTTCATCTCTTTAGTTCCAAATACTAGAACTCATGCCCGTTCCATTCAAAGCATCAAATTGATTGCGTAACAAATAACAAGATGAAGTTGTTTAGTTACCATCAGAGCCAAAAAGCCTTATCCCTTGCATATGCATTGTAGGTTTAACCATTTTGAAGCCTTATTTAGCTTATTTTCTTTGTTAGCTTGCATTATCCCTACCTATCCTAGTATAAGAATATCCATACCCTTGTTCTTAAAGAATAGTCAAGCATGACTTGTTGGGAATTCCTTTTGATTTACGATTTGAAAAAAAAAAAAAAAAAAAAAAAAGTGTGGGGGAGGATTTGTTCCTTTGGATTAGTGTTGTCCAAAAAAAAACAAAAAACAAAAAACAAAAAAAAAGAGAGAAAAAAAAGAAGGGATATGTGAATCTGAATAAATCTCCCCTTTGTGCTAAAAATTGGGTGCTGCAATCACAAGTTGAATTCCAAGTGTTGATTTCATTGCTCTGTTTACTATTACTTTAAGAACCTTTGTTTATCCTTAACCTTTCTTTGTTAGCCAATACCTTAGCCCCAATACAACCCTTAGACTTCTATCTTGATTGTTATGTGTTTCAATATGTGGAGTTTGAAATTGGTATGAGCTTATGGAATCCCTGGTTCTCGCTTCTAAGTAGTAGCATTCTGTTCATGAGATCATATACATGTTCGTATTAATAATTCCAGAAAGTGCTTTCTTTGTTATAACATATGTGAGTGCTAGTCTACACATTTACATCAATCTTCTCACATATACTTAGTATAGGGAGTGTGGTCAGAAAATCTGTGTGAAAATAGAGAGTATATCGGGTGAGGAATTGAGTGAATTCTCTAAGGCATGTTACCACTTTCAAATGTTGTTTTAATTGATTAAATGTGAGCTAGTGAGTGTTTACTGTGATTAAGTATGAGCTCGAGGGTAAGGATGGCTCAAATCTGTGTGAGTAGTGATTTTTAACATGTCATGTTTCATTGGAAATCCCTGAGGCAATTGTTGGAAGGTTTAGGTTTTGTTTTGTTTTCTTTGTTCTGCTAGGGACTAGCAGAAGCTAAGTGTGGGGGAATTTGATAGGAGCATATTTATGCGACTTTGGTATCTTATTTCTTTGCATTTACTTAGTTAATTCCCATTTATTAGAGTGATTTAGCTTATTTTCGTACTATTGTAGGTCCAGATGGCAAGATTGGCAAGAAAGGGCATTTTGGAGCATTTTAGAGCAGTTTTGGACTTGGAATGGGATAGCATATGCATGGGCCAAGATGGATGGACGTTTTTGAAGTTCGAAGAGGCTAGGAATGTGCTAAAAAGATGGGGAAATTAATTCAAGAATCAGCTTCTGGGAAGTAAAAAACCCTAACTGATTTTATTTTATTTTACCTTATCCTAATCCTATTCGACCTAAATTCCAGCTGTAAAAGGGGGGGATTAATTTCAGATTAGGAAACCTAAAAACCCTAATTTCGTGGGTTTCTATTGGGCCCTATTATTCCTAAAGAAATCTTCCAAACAAAACCCTAATTTCGTGGGTTTCTGCTGGGCCCTTTTACCCTAGATCTATCACATATATAAAGGAGGGGTTGCCGCAGGAGAAGGGAGTTCTTTTGGGTGCCGTAGCAAGAAAGGAGAAAGGGAGAAGAAGAACTTGGAGCCGGAACCTGCTGCATCCATTGGGTTTTTCAGAGTTCTTCCCTTGATTAGTTCAAATGTTTATTCTAGATTGCTTTTCAATTATTATGAACATGTGTAACTGAATTTCTTCTTAGTTAGAGGTGAATTCGAAGCCATGGACATATGTTTTACATGAATTGATTACTTCCAGTTATGGTTTCATAAAGTATGAATGTGATTTACTTTTCTGTTTTATTGAGGACTTATTCTTGCATGTTTATTAAGGATGCATACTTAGTTTGTATGCAGGGATTTGATGCTAGAATATAAGGGAATTTCACCTAATCGTTATGAACTTATATTCACAAGTAGTAAAAGTCACTAGTCATGATTGTGTTAAGTAAATTCTTGGCAGGAGTATCATGCTTTTCATAGTTACAATTGTCTTGTCAAGGCTTATGATTTTCATAGAACTTAATGATCTTTGATATGTATCTCTATCATGCTGTTCATATAGGGAACTTGATAAGGATAATTTGATTGCGTCGCTGAGTCCAATTCAATGAACTTAGGAAAATCTGAGAGTTAATTAGTGCATTCACAATTAATTTGGGGCTTTGTCATTCATACTTTATAGAAAGAGTAACTGGAGATCGATTTGTGTGCATATGTTCCATGTGTGGAGAAGAATCCTCTAGCTATCCCTTAATCCATATTTCATTCACAACTTAGTTGTTTGCTGCTGTCAGTCTTACTTTAGTCTAAATCGTCCAAATTCCCCCCAATCATTGTTCCCTTAACTTAGTTTCCAGTTTAATAAGTTTAATTTGTGTTGATTAGCATCCCTCCTAATCCCGGAATAGAACGATCCCTACTTACTCGTACTACAATTGCATGATTTATAGGGTTTAATTTGTGGTTAGTTATTTCTCACGCCAAATTTGGCTATAATACACCAACTCTCCATTTCAGAACGAACTTCGTACGAACCTGAATCGTCGAATTTCATGGGCCAATCGATATCGGATTGAGTCCAAAACTTGGGGAACATCGTAATGTTGTGGGAGGAGTCATTTGGTGAGTTTTGGGTGAAATCCAATCGCTAAAACTATGCAATACACCAACTACTCCATTTCAGAACGAACTTCGTACGAACCTGAATTGTCCAATTTCATGGGCCAATCGATATCGGATTGAGTCCAAAACTTGGGGAACATCGTAATGTTGTGGGAGGAGTCATTTGGTGAGTTTTGAGTGAAATCCAATTGCTAAAACTATGCAATACACCAACTACTCCATTTCAGAACGAACATCGTACGAACCTGAATTGTCCAATTTCATGGGCCAATCGATATCGGATTGAGTCCAAAACTTGGGGAACATCGTAATGTTGTGGGAGGAGTCATTTGTGAGTTTTGGGTGAAATCCAATCGCTAAAACTATGCAATACACCAACTACTCCATTTCAGAACGAACTTCGTACGAACCTGAATTGTCCAATTTCATGGGCCAATCGATATCGGATTGAGTCCAAAACTTGGGGAACATCGTAATGTTGTGGGAGGAGTCATTTGGTGAGTTTTGGGTGAAATCCATTGCTAAAACTATGCAATACACCAACTACTCCATTTCAGAACGAACTTCGTACGAACCTGAATTGTCCAATTTCATGGGCCAATCGATATCGGATTGAGTCCAAAACTTGGGGAACATCGTAATGTTGTGGGAGGAGTCATTTGGTGAGTTTTGGGTGAAATCCAATCGCTAAAACTATGCAATACACCAACTACTCCATTTCAGAACGAACTTCGTACGAACCTGAATTGTCCAATTTCATGGGCCAATCGATATCGGATTGAGTCCAAAACTTGGGGAACATCGTAATGTTGTGGGAGGAGTCATTTGGTGAGTTTTGGTGAAATCGAATCGCTAAAACTATGCAATACACCAACTACTCCATTTCAGAACGAACTTCGTACGAACCTGAATTGTCCAATTTCATGGGCCAATCGATATCGGATTGAGTCCAAAACTTGGGGAACATCGTAATGTTGTGGGAGGAGTCATTTGGTGAGTTTTGAGTGAAATCCAATTGCTAAAACTATGCAATACACCAACTACTCCATTTCAGAACGAACATCGTACGAACCTGAATTGTCCAATTTCATGGGCCAATCGATATCGGATTGAGTCCAAAACTTGGGAACATCGTAATGTTGTGGGAGGAGTCATTTGGTGAGTTTTGGGTGAAATCCAATCGCTAAAACTATGCAATACACCAACTACTCCATTTCAGAACGAACTTCGTACGAACCTGAATTGTCCAATTTCATGGCCAATCGATATCGGATTGAGTCCAAAACTTGGGGAACATCGTAATGTTGTGGGAGGAGTCATTTGGTGAGTTTTGAGTGAAATCCAATTGCTAAAACTATAAAATACACCAACTACTTCATTTCATAACGAACATCGTACTTGTGGTATCTCAAGGTGGAAGGAAGGCAAAGATTCAATCTTGAAAGAGGGTGTGCCAGCGAAGGTGGTGTGGTATTTTCCTCCAATTCCAAGGTTTAAAAGGATTTTCGATCACATGAGACCGCTAAGAGTTTGACTTGGCATGCTGCTAGAAAATCAATTGGCGGTTATATGTCTCATCCTGCGGATTCCCCGTCTTGGAAACTTCTTGATGATAAATGGCCCGAGTTTGGTAATGAGCCGAGAAACTTGAGATTGGCTCTTTCATCTAATGGATTCAATCCCCACAGTTCTCTAAGTAGCAGATATAGTTGCTGGCCAGTTATCTTAGTTACATATAATCTCCCTCCATGGCTGTGCATGAAACAAAAGTTCATGATGTTGACCTTATTGATTTCCGGTCCTAAACAGCCCGGAAATGATATAGACGTCTACTTGGAGCCTTTGATTGATGATTTAAAATCTTTGTGGGATGGGATTGGAGGAGTGTATGATGCACATAATGGAGAATACTTTACACTCAGAGCTGCATTAATGTGGACAATTAATGATTTCCCCGCCTATGGAAACTTATCTGGTTGTGTTGTTAAAGGATATAAAGCTTGTCCAATATGCGGCGATGATACACCTAGTCACAGGTTGAAAAATGGCCACAAAATTTGTTACATTGGGCATAGAAAATGGTTACCAATCAATCATCCATATAGGAGGCAACGTGCAGCTTTTAATGGGAAACCTGAATATGGCACGCCTCCCGAGCCATTAACCGGAGAAGAAGTGCTGCATATGGTTGAAGATGGTGACAGAGTTTGTTGGAAGAAGAAATCAATATTCTTTGATCTCGAGTATTGGAAATACCTTCCTGTGAGGCATGTCCTAGATGTTATGCACATTGAGAAGAATGTTTGCGATAGTATCATTGGTACATTGCTGGAGATCCCTGGAAAAATAAAGATGGGATTGCTGCTCGATTAGATTTATTGAACATGGGGGTCAAAACTGATTTGCAACCCGAGTATGGAGAAAGAGTATCGTTTGCCTCCCGGGCCTTGGAATTTGTCAAGAGCAGAGAAGAGAGAGGTTTGCAATTCTTTCTATGGTATGAAGGTCCCTGAAGGTTATTCTTCAAATATAAAAAATCTTGTATCTTTACAAGATTCAAGACTTCTTGGCCTTAAATCACATGATTGTCATACCTTAATGCAACAATTGCTCCCTGGGCAATTCGTTCGTGTGGAGAAGCCTGAAGGTATGCAATACTCGTTTGTGCTTCTTCTTCAATGCTATATGTGCAAAGATGTTGATGTTTCCAAGCTAGATAAGTTGGAAGAAGATGTAGTAGTTACTTTGTGTTTGCTTGAGAAGTACTTTCCCCCTTCATTCTTTGATATCATGGTTCATCTAGTAGTACATCTTGTCAGAGAAGTTCGTCTATGTGGGCCAGTATATTTTAGATGGATGTATCCGTTTGAAAGATATATGAAAGTGCTAAAGGGGTATGTTCAGAATCGTACTCGTCCCGAAGGTTGCATTGCTGAGCGGTATATAGCTGAAGAAGCTGTAGAGTTTTGTACCGAGCATTTATCTGATGTTAGTACAGTTTGAGTGCCTTCAAGCCAAAAGATGGGAGTTTCAAAGCCATTATCAGGTTGCACAGTGAGCGTAGTTGATCGGGACCTGTTGAACCAAGCACATCTATATGTCTTGGAGAATACGGAGGAAGTCCTACCTTATATCGAGTACGTATGAGTTTTATTCTTTAAGTTTCCATTTTAAATTATTTCTTATGTTTATCTTATATGTTTGGGACCGTAATGCTTGAATTTTTTGTGTCATGTAGGCAACATATGATCCACATCAAGACCGCTTATCCAAAATTTAGAAAGAGAACAAAGTGGCTGCAAGATAAGCACAATAGCACTTTCATTCAATGGCTACGCTTCAAGGTATATGTTATTAAATAACATATTGGACTTTTAATTTTCTTCTTTCTATGTTAGATTGAATTAAGTTATGATTAATTTGCAGGTTCAAAGTGAACTTAATGAGGAAGACAATCATGGCGTATCAGAAAATTTAAGGTGGCTAGCAGCTGGTCCAAACATGGCAGTGCCATTATATAGGAGCTATCTTATTAAAGGTATTAAATTCAACATCAAGGCATAAGATGATGTGCGGACAACTCAAAATAGTGGAGTTTATTTACTTGCACATACTATGCAAGTTGCTAGTGCCAAGGATAAAAACCCAATTCTCTCAAATATGGGTTTCTATGGTGTCATTCAAGAAATTTGGGACCTTGACTACCAAAAGTTTACAATCCCAGTCTTTAGGTGTGATTGGGTAGATAGTACTTCTGGTCTTGTAGTGGACGAACTTGGATTTACCCTTGTAGATTTGAGTAAAATTGGACATAGGAATGACCAATTTGTTTTGGCTTCTCAAGTCAAACAAGTATTTTTTGTTGACGACCCGATGCATCGTGGTTGGTCGGTAGTGTTATCAATGCCTAATAGAGAATATAATGATGTTATTGGTGATGATGTCTTAGGTGATGTGAGAATTGAGTGTGAGCCATTTACTATAGGGATGCCAAATGTTGACACATTTGATGAAGTGGTGGGTGAGTTAGGGAGTCAAAATATTCGAGATGGGTGTGAAGATATATGGATTGAATGATGCTTTCTGTAATTGGCAGTGTATGACATTAATTTTGTAATATATTATAATGTGATTTCTTCACTTTCATGATACAGGTTTTGGCCACAAAACAATCAGTACAAAAATTACTGGTTCTAGATTACAAACACGACGGTCTTGATAAAAATGTGAAAAACAAACGTCTGTTCTAATAAAAAACGACGTTTTGGAGAATTCAACGACCGCAATATATTTACCGACGTCTTAAAGCAACGTAACAATGAAGAACCATGACGCTATTGTGAAACAGTTATCCAGGATAACACGTCGGACAAGCATAAAGAGCCACCATGTAATTCAAATAACACGACTCCAATCCCATAATACCGACGTCTAAAAGACGAGATCTTTAACCTGAACGTTACAAAAGACGACGTCGTCATGAATTTACCACGTCGCATGTTCTTTCATAAACGAAGTGGAAAAGGATGAATTCACGACGGTATTTGAAGTCCATTGGTAAATTTGTCGACGTTAAGATATATGAATTAGATGACGTTAATTTTTTTAATGAAGACGTATAAATTATGAAACACATCGGTCTTTTTCATGGTAACGACGTTGTATATAGACGACAACGTCGTCTTTATAAATTAATGTGTCGTAATTAATGACCCCATCATTTTTTCCACGTCATTTATTTTCAGATCCTGTCATTAAAATTATTTTACACGGCAGTGGAATGAGAGACAATGCCGTTTCAGAGTCATTACACAACGATTATATTTCAAAATATGACGTATAAATTCTGTAATATGGCTCTCATCATTTATTTGGAACCGACGTTGTTTATTTATTTCAACGTCGTCTCTGTACATACATGCGTCGTAAGTAATGACCCTGACATCTATTTCCACGTCATCATTCATAGAAAAATCGAAGTGGAAAATTTATTTTACGACAGTTGTTGGAAATGTTGTGACGTAGTAGGTGCCAATAACGTCGTCTATTATGTATTTAAAGACGTCATATTTCTATTTGTCGTTAAAGGTTTATTTAACGGCGTTGAGTTTTAGTTCTCGTGTTGTATGTTTATCTTGCGGCCATATTCTGTTAATATATGTCATATGTTTCCTTTTTAACGACGTTTTTTTGTTAAAGTTGGTTGTCTATTCTCATCCTCGACTGTTTTTTTATGTCTTTTTGCAGTGCAAAGACGTCAGTTTTTATTTGTTGATGACGTTTTTTTGTTTTAACAACGACGGGTATTTACCGTCGTGGTTTTGTTATGGAAAATATGTCAGTGGATTCCACGACCATTTGAAAACTGAATACACGACGGTGAATTCCCATCGTGTTTTTCCTTTTTTGTAGTAGTGAATGAATATTGGTATATAGTTAGATCTTTATTGTATCTAAGAGACTGAGATTACTAACTTGGTGTTGGTCTGGTGACATTTAGATCATGAGTAATTTGAACTCAAAAAAATAATCATGACTAAAAACAATACTAAAATCAAACTGGACTGTTAATTTGGTATGATTGATACTTGATTGTTTTTGCTCGAAACTCCTAATTTGGTTCACAAGTCAGACTTAGGGCTCATTTGGGAGTGCTTTTGAAGCAGCGAAAAGCGCTTTTAAATGGGTAAAAGCACTTCTGTCTTTTAAAAATGGTGTTTGGCAAAAATTACAAAATGCTTTGGGTGAGATCCAAAAGCACTTGGAGTGGTTTTGGAAGAAGCACTTGAGAGGTGCTTCTTAAAAGTGTTGCAGGACAAAAATACGGGAAGCATTTGGCTCCTTTTAATGAAACCTTTAAAATGCCGAAAATACCCATATTTAATTTTTTTAAATGCCAAAATACCCTTTCTTTCTTTTTCTTTTTTTTCCCACTCTCTTCTTCTCTCCTATTAAAACCAAAACACCGTCTTCAATCCTAAAGCAGTGCTGCATGAAAGATTTAAAAGAAAGAAAAAAATTAAACAAATGCTATGAACAAAAGAACTCACTTCAACAGTCAAAATTCAGACAGATTTTATCTGCTGCAAAGAGTGAGAGACAGATTACGAATGAGAAGAGAATGACTCACAGTCGATGCTTCAACAGGTTCAAAATGAAATGGGTCACTTTTCTTCTTTGATGCAATGGAGTTTGTTCTGGCTACTATCCATGGAACAACTTCTTCCCTGTAAAGATACCTCTTACGTAGATCCAAGCATTCTTGAATCATCTTGTGCACTTCTTCTTCTTTTTTGCTTATTGACTATGCACAGAATTGTTTTGACAAATAGCCAAGGATGCATCAAGTTATTAGCTACATTGAATGATAGAATATTTCTTGTTTGGTTATAAGTTATAACTAAAAAATTTATTTTCATTCAATTGCCACAAAAGAATCCTTTGTACAAATTACCATGTCAATACCTACCGTACTACAACATTCAAAGTTCAAACAAAATGTTATATACAAACTACAAGTCAAGAGGCAAAAATTATTCAATAGCATTTAATATGCAGGTCAACCAACAAATTTTAAGGTCAAAGGAACTTAGAAGTAAACCAGATTCAGAGCTGTGAAAGTACTAATGGCTGGGAAAATGGGATTACTATGCATTGATGCACTCAATGGTAAAACTATGTTGGCAAAATTGTGATATTCTTCACGGAGTTTCGTGAGGCTGTATCTACCTTTCCATCTCCTTGTAGATCAACACCAGATTTTGCCTCTGGCGGGGCTAGAGTTACTATAAGGGAAGAGATGGTTGAATAACAAAATCTAATCCATGGGCGTGAGATGGGTGACGAACGCGAGAGAATTGCAAATCTTTTTATGTCTGGTTAATTCCTTTTTTATTTTCAAAACATGATTAAAAATTATACTTGGTGAAGTTCGTACTTTTTTATATTTTGGGATCCTATGAATTTTTATTTACTATGTTCATTATAACATTTTGGGATTCTTAAAATTTTTTAAAGTACTTTTGAAAGCGCTTTTACTGTGTCAGCCAAACACTCAACAAAATATCAAAAGCGCTTTTATGTAGTATAAAAACACTTTTAAATGTGACATCAAAACGACAAACTGCTTCTTTGTAGAAGTGCTTATGTCATAAGCGCTACTAGCATAAACGCTTCAGTAAGAAGTACTCCCAAACGAGCCCTTAGCTTTGTTATTTGCTCTACTTTAACTATAAATGAACTAAATAAATTCACAAAACAATTACAAATTGACAAAAAACTATATCTATCTTCAAAACGGATAGATGTAAAAAAGAATACAAGAGAAAAGGGAAAATACTTCACAATAACAATAGGGCCTTGAAGTAATTTCACGAACTTTATTCCTGCACAGAGTCATCTCTGTTACCAAACCAAACTCACACTACACATTTTCATTGCTGCATTCTTAACCCTCCGATAAACCCTCCACCAACACAAAATGCTCCTCCAAACTTCTGTGCACCACCACCACCACAACCTCCCTCTCTCCTCATCCCTCTCCTACTCCACTCTCCTCCCATGCAAAATTCCAACTTTGCCCCTCCCCAGTTCCATAAATTTCCAAAGACTCCCCTCCATCTCCTGCTCCATATCCCAAGTCCACAACTATGGCACTGTGGACTACGAGAGAAGACCCATGGTCAAATGGAACGCGATAGATCGGAAAATATCGCTCACGGATGGCCCTGAAGTGCGCTCTGCTGACGTGTTGAACCAGTGGGAGAAGGAGGGCAGGAAGCTCACCAAGTGACTGCTTTGTAGGGTGGTCATGGAGTTGAGGAAGTACAAGCGCTACGACAGAGCTCTTGAGGTAAAAAGAAAAATTCAAGTGCAAAGTTTTTATTTCGGGTTCTTATTTGGTGGTTTTGATGTGTTTTGGTTGGTGGGCATGCCATGTTTTTGTTGGGAAGTGCTTCAATTGCTCTGGTTGGGTGTCTCTCTGTTTTCATTTGGAATGGTTTGGTCTAATGGGATTTTGGGTTTTTGCTTCTTCTCTGGGTGTTAGCTCCTGGGTGAACGGCTATATTGGGTTTTTGATTTTTTGTTTTTGAGTGTTCTTTGCTTGATGGGTATGTACTCGTATTGATAGATATGAAACTTATTGTCTAAATTGATTGGTATGTCTTGAGATTGCTTATATTGTAAGGCATGTGGGTATAAAATTCCAAATCACCAAGTATAACATGATTGCACAACAGAAGAATTTCTAAAAAAGAATGTTTTAAGTAGAGGCCCACTCTTACAATAGTGAATATAACTTCAAACTTTCAGTAATTTTCATTTGTAAGTGTTTCCACCATGATTTAAACTTCTCTCATTACCTTTTAGTAAATGTAAATCAAACCCTCAGGTTTTCGTCTGAAGCCAATAGTTCAAAATGAAAAAGGAACCTACTTACAAAGTTGGTGTATATAAGAAGGGCTCTTGCACCATAGCGAGGGTTTTGATCTATTTTGAAATGAAGCGAGAGAGATTGGGAATTTAGCTCTGAATGACTTGGAGAAGTCTGAGGATAGAAGTGGTAAAATAGTGAAGTTCACCAGGTCTGCAATATTTTAGAATTGGAGACCCAAGAGTTGAGCATTTGTTTATAGAACACACCCTTGGAGTGGCTGCAGGAGCAAGATGGGAAAGTATTGTATAAAAAGAGCAGCTTGAAAGTGCGTAAATGCATGCCGCTTGGTGTACATATACATGTTATCAGGTTTAAAACTAATTACAATCTGTTTTGGGTGGACAATTTGTATATCTACTATTAATGCTTTAAGTTGAATTACAACTAAATTATCAGTTGACTGGTAGGGTAATCAAACAGTTAATCAATGCAGATAATGTGTAACCTATGTTCGAACTCGAAGGCAGAGAAAACTGTCATCATAAGCCAACATTAAGGCTACTTGAATGTTTCTGCTTTATCATCATAAGTGTGTGTTCCAATACGTGTTCAATGGTATGATGCTCTTGACAAGTGTAACTAGCTCACAGTCATCTTTGTGTTCTAGACTTCTAGTTGTGTTCCTGCTCTTTAGGTTGCAGCTGACCTTTATCTATTACGCAATGGTCCTTTTATTTATTTCAGTTGTGTTCCATGACATGGCGTATCTTTATTTTATGTTTTTGGACTGATGACATGCCTCATACTCAGTTTTGAATTTGCGTGCACCCTGCAGGTGTATGATTGGATGAGCAACAGAGGAGAGAGGTTTAGGATATCCACAAGTGATGCTGCAATTCAACTAGATTTAGTTGCTAAAGTTCGGGCAGTTGCTAGTGCTGAAAATTACTTCCTGAGCCTGCCAGATACTTTAAAAGACAGGAGAATATATGGGGCTCTGCTCAATGCTATGTTCGCACTAGAATCAAAGAGAAGGCAGAATCTTTGCTTGATAAAATGAGAAGTAAAGGTCATGCACTGCAATCGCTTCCATTTAATGTAATGATGACTCTCTATATGAACCTCAAGGAGTATGATAAAGTTGATTCGATTATTTCTGAAATGATGGAGAAAAACATCCAGCTTGATATATACTCCTACAATATCTGGTTATCATCTCGTGGCTCCCAAGGATCTGAAGAACGGATGGAACAGGTATTTGAACAGATGAAACCGGACAGAACCGTTAATCCCAACTGGACAACATTCAGCATGATGGCTACAATGTACATCAAGATGGGGCAGCTTGAAAAGGCAGAAGCTTGCCTGAAGAAGGTTGAGAGTAGAATCACAGGTCGTGATCGGATACCTTATCATTATCTTTTAAGTCTCTGTGGTAATGTTGGCAACAAAGAGTAGCTTTATCGGGAATGGAACATATACAAATCAAGTTTTCCCAGTATTCCAAATTTGGGATACCATGCTATCATGTCTTCGCTACTCAGAGTAGGTGATGTTGAAGGGGCAGAGAAGATTTATGAGGAATGGTTGACAGTTAAGTTCGAATTGCAAATATTTTCATAGCTTCTTATATTAAAGACGGGGACTTTGAGAAAGCCCAAAGTTTCTATGACCGCATGGTTGATGTAGGAGGAAAACCTAATTCGAGTACATGGGAGACCCTTGCTGAAGGGCATATTAAAGAGCAGAGAATTTCTGAGGCATTATCCTGCTGGAAAGAAGCTTTTTCTGCCGAGGGATCAAAGAGTTGGAGGCCAAAGCCCGTAAATGCGTCTGCCTTCCTTGAACTCTGTGAGCAAGAAGCCAATTCGGTAAGCAAAGAGCTTTTCATGGGACTTTTGAAGCAGTCAGGACAGCGTAAAAATAAGTCATATGCATCACTTATAGGCTTAGCTGATGAAGATGTTAGTGACGATGATCTATCATTAAAGAAAGATAGAACTAACATTACAAAGGACGATGATGATGAGAAAGAAGCGGGTGAGGGTCCAAATTGCTTTTGAACGAATTGCAGGGTACTATCCTGTGAGACTTCTTTCTTCAATGTGTTGGAAGATCTGCTCTATGTTGTCAGCACAGGGAAAGATTTTTAACTGAAATGGGCTCCTACCTTTTTCGTGGTAGTGATGAAGTACCATGGTTGCATTCTGTCTGTAGTAGCTGGGTGTATGCAAGTTGAAAAGTTGGAAGTGCCTTCATATCAGAGTGAGTTTAGATGGCAGGACTACTCTGCAGAAGAATATCTTGGTAATTGGCGTGACTAGAGAGAGCCCATCTCCACTCATTTATGCGTGAGAGGTAATGTGAAATTCTTCATGTAATTTTTGAGTAGCTTAAAGGGCAAGAAGTTTTTCTTTGTTTAGCTATGCACGATGCTAACCTGACTAAAAGGAAGAAAAGACAAGTTATGAGATTCATATGCATAAACTCCTATGGTACATAGTTCAGTTTCTGTTCAAATTCGTATAAATTATGGCTATGTTGTTCTCTCATTTACCCTAAAGTTTATTGCTACTGTATGCCTTTTAATTTATGTATTTTATGAGAATATGCCTTTCAGAATTAGAAATTTGTACAAGTCATCATTCAGGCTACATAAAAAAGACAGCATCCGAAACCTGTGCAAACAAGTAAAAAACACTTTGTATTTGCCACGCCGCATTAGTTTCACCATCAAATGTGATCTATGTAGCATTAATTTTTCTGCTTGTTCTACTGAGTGGATCTCAATGATCATTTGGTTTCGTGGCATCCAATCTTCCTTTTGTTCACAGAAGTTTTGAGTTCAAATTTCACGTACGACAATTGTTAATTAATAAAAACAAGAACATTTAAAGTGGTGTAATGAGCTTTATTAATTCACTTAGGGGTGCAAATCCAACTTTAAGATATGAAGTAAACCAAAAGTGCCTAGGGAGAATTGAAGTTTTCATGGTAAAGAAACAAGTTAAAGCCGCTAATATATCATTGATTTCACAATTAATGAGCACCATATTATTTATTATTCACCATCTGCATTACAAGATGATTCTTTAAAATTTCTTACATAGGAAAAGTTGCAAAACAAGTCCTATGAGGGACTAAATTAAAAATTATTCTTCCCCTCATAGGTTTGGCCAAATTTCCAATCTCCAGGAGCAACATTATCAAACTTACGTGTTCTCCCATCACTTGTAGTCACTTGAAACGACAAACTTCGGGTACATGAGACTGCTGCAACACTAGGTTGCACAAGCACGCAAAGCCTAATATTGATGCATTGTGCTCCCCACTTCCATCAACAGTCAAGATCAGTCTCTATAGGTGTGCCCTGCTGGAAATATGTCTATCGAGCAAGTCAAAGCTCAGGAACAAGGGTTAGAATTCCCCGTTTAGGCATCACAGAAAACAGGAAAACAACTTTTAAAAAAAAATAAATAATAAGCCCTAAACCCTAAACCCTATGCCAGCCTATGAGTAACAAAAATAAGCCAAACCCTACTTCATTCATCCATATTCTTAAATTTTTACATAAACGTCCATTTATACCTTAGACATCAATGTAAAGTCCCAAAGGGCAACATTAGCAAGTGTACTTTGAGGGGGAGATGGTGTGACAACAATATCAGCATGTAGACAACTGGAAATCAGCTCCACACGAGCTAACATCACATGCACTATTGAGGAATGCGCAGAATTGAGTTCAAAACATCAAGTTGCCTAAAATCCTAATTGCAGACTCTTCTCTTTTGAGCTCCTTTTCAGAATCAAGCTGCACCAACAATAAAAATAGTTAAATAACATAGCGGTAGGTGATATATCGTCCTGCAGTCTCACTCGGTCGGACTATCTTCACAACTTGTCCACGCTTAAGCCCATAATATTTCGCAATTGGATCGGTCACTTGAATCCGAGGAAGCTGGACTCCATCCACCCAATATATGCACACCAAAGAAACAATTTAGTGTACAAGTGGATTAAAGCCAGATAAGTATAGACTAAGATGTGTTTACAACACAACCATGAAAAATCTCCAAAGATGAGTAATATTTTGTCATAAAATGAGGTCACGCCATGTCTTATGTAGCATCTAAATTTCTTAAATGCAATATTAACAACACTGTTCAGCACTGACCTGTGTTTCTTTCACAGTATACCTCTCCAGTAAAGTCTTCTTTTCCTCAGTTGTAAGCACCAGATGCTCAGGAACTAGCACATGCTCTTTAATATTCACCAACAATTCTGCCTCCTGAATCAATAGAGTTAATGAAAGAAAACGTTAATATCCACTAACACATTATTTTCATGTTGCAATTGTATTTATTTTATAGACTAAGGTGGAGACAATGTGACTGGAAAAGAAAACATTTACAAGCCAAGCTGAAGTGAAAGCTGTATTCCCAGAAAAAGTAAATCAAACAATGCGAAGTAGTTATTCAAGACAGACCTAGTTTTAGCCATCTCGGTTAATTAACATTATCCAATCCATCACTCTAAAGTGTAGGGTAATACCTATACAATTAAGAGCATTTGATCAAATAAATTGTCATTCTTTAAAAGGCCCTTGGAATACAAACAAACTAAGCAGGCTACGGTGGTAACAGTGATCTTTCAGTGTATAGACTTAAATTTTCTGATACTAAGACATGACCAAGTAAGAATTCCGATGTTTCTAATAGTTAAGGATTAATAGATTATAGGGATATTCATGAGATTTCGAGAACATTTCATTTTAACCAAAATTTAAGCAATGAACGTCACCTGAAAAACCTCCAAGTGGAACTTTGAAGATATCTCACTGATACAGGTTTTTGCAAAGGGAGTCAGATTTTGTTGAGTAACCAAGACAGCTCTTAGCACATTCTCCGATTTCATGCGGTTAGTATAAGTCTTCATTGTCTTGACCCCAACCTTTGGTTCTTCAGGAAAAAAGACATAAATCTGAAACACAAGAACCAACAATTAGGGACGGATAAGACTACATCCACTGCAATAAAAAGCATCAGGGACACACCTGATCAGAGCTATCACTTCTCTTAGTTTTATTGATAGTAAGATCTTCCCTTTTCATGTTTTCGCCATATTTGCTCTTGAACTGTTCTCTTGTCATGTTGATCTCAAAATCTCCAACTAAGTAATTCCGATCTTTCAGCATTTGCATCACCGTCTTTCGAACTCTGTAAAGCCTCGTGATTTCTTCTTCGGGGTAAACCATCTTTGTCACTGATAGAGTACAAAAATTAGCTTGGTAGTTAGGTTTCTTTGGGATTATGAAAATTCAATTTCGCAAATGACTATAAAATCTACAGTTACACATGTAGCTACCAAAAGCTGCTTTCCCATGCAATTGAAAACGAGATTGGTTATTGAATCACAGCCAAGCAACAACGAAATCAACTTAAACCAAAACAAAATTCAACTATTCCATTAACTTTTCTACACAAAAAGAAAAGGCCTCTGCTCTAGAAACCTTAGAAATGAGGACACTAGAGATGACTCAAGATGATTAGGGCATTTGATCAAGTAAACAAGAAAGAGTGTATCAAAGGCTTTCCGAAAAGAGGGGAAAACGAACCAACCACATTTACCAAGTAATACATCAAATCAACAAACCAACCACAACAAGTACTTCAATAAAGACATATGCAGAAATCTAAAAATCAAGAAAGACCCATGAATTTATGAAGAGCATACTCAGAATGTCATACAACCAGGTTTTGCAAATCTGGGAGAGAGCGAGAGAGCGGCTCTTATCCAACGGTAATCCAGCTCTTATTCAAACAGCAGCCAAAACAGCAACCAAAAATATAGAAAATTACCAGAAATAAACACAGCAAGCCAATCCTTTTTCCTTAGCCTTCAAATCAATGTTGTCCAGAATATATATATATATATATACACGAGATGCACACACAATCAAAACCTAAATACCCAAACAGATGCAAATAGTCGCATAATCGAAGATGAGCTGTGAGAGAGAGATGAACAATACCTGAGAGAGAGACAGAGACAGAGAGCTATACGAGAAGAAGAGGTGGACGCTGCGAGCGAATGGGATCTCCGATTGCTGGAAGACAGAGAGAGTAAGAAAATTGAATTGGGGAAAGAAAAAAAAAGGAGAGAGATAGAGAGAGAGAATCTGACCTGCGTGACGGCAACGACTGAGAGAGGCTGAGAAAAGAGCGGCGGCAGAGAGAGGCGTGACGTGATGGCTGAGAGAGAGGTTTGGAATCGGTGGCGGCTGGCTGAGTCTGAAACGAAATGGGAGGAGAGGAAAAAACGAAGAATGAAAAAAGCCTAAGTCACTCTCAGGGCCTTTTTTTTTGGTGTAATCCTGTGTGTGCGCTACCTATGGTAGCAGCATACACACCCAATCAAACTTTGACAGGTATGAAATATATATAATTTCAAATATAAATATATATAATATTAAAAAATATATAAATTAATTATATTGGACCGGTTCGGATTGGATTGGTACCTTAGGATGGAAAACCGGAATCGAAACCGGTCTGAACCAGTTCGGTTTGAATTTACCTCAGTTTTTGACTTTTTTGGTCAACACGATTTTTTTCGGTTTTTTCCGAATTGGTTTAGTTCGGTTTTGCGATTTTACGGTTCAAATGCCCACCTCTAGCCAAAACAGCAACCAAAAATATAGAAAATTAACATAAATAAACACAGCAAGCCAATCCTTTTTCCTTAGCCTTCAAATCAATGTTGTCCAGAATATATATATATATATATATATATACAGCAATCAAATACCATAACGTCAATATCAAAAATCAAATACCATAAGCCACTTTACAAAGTTGCTCCAAACATCAAGAAACAAAGCAAAGCATAACAGCTGACAACATGTGCAATTTAAAATTGAGTAATGATTTCAAACCATTTTCCTGAGACATATTTGCTTGAAAATATATATATACAATATAATAATTCAATGTCAACCACAAGCAGTTGCAACAAGAATCTACATGCACATATAACAAATTATATAATGTCATTGCACTCTTATAGCATTTCTATCTAACAGAAAAAATCATAAGGATATACAAAGGAAATTAAAATAGACTTGAAACGCATCAATTCCAGCAACAAAAAAACACTTCTGTCCCAAAATCAATTATATGATCCTAGATATGACCAGAAATTACACCACAACCACTATAAATAAATCAAATAGCAGCAACAAAAAAAATTACCAGAAATTACCCAGACCAAGCCGATCGTTTCCTATGATCCCAAAATAAATTATGTCCACAACAAATCACAACAGAGTCAGATCAGATAATATATAATTAACAAAAATTGTCAAATCCCTGAAAAATTTAATTAGGGTTTACATATATTCATACCTCAAACCGACAAAAATCGAGAGAGGGAGACTGAGAATGACTAAGAGAGAGCGAGAATGACTGAGAGAGAGCAAGAGAGGCTGAGAGAAAACCATGTAGAAACTGGCTGAGGGAGACGAGAATCAGAGAGAGAGAGAGAGAGAGAGAGAGAGAGTGACTGAGAGACTGAATGACTAAGAGATAAAAAAAAAAAAAAAAAAACTTGGATGGACGGAAAAAAAAAAAAAAAAAAAAAAAAAAAAAAAAAAAAAAAAAAAGAAGGAAGTGACTGAGAGAGAGCAGAGGCGAGAGAGTCGAGTGATGAGAGAGAGAGAGTGATATATTGGTTGAGAAAATCTGGAGAAAAAAATAGAGGCAGAGGCAACTCAGGCGAGAGTAATTGAGAGAGGCAGAGGCGATAGAGTCGGGTGACAGAGGAAAGAGGTGCAATGAGAAAAATTTCAAAGCCCAGAGATGTTAGGCCCCGTTCGGTAACGTTTTAAGGGGTTGTTTTCATTTTCAGAAAACAAAAATGAGGCAAAAACACGTTCGGTAACCCAAAAACAGAAAACACTGAAAATATTTTCATAAAATGAAAACAAGTTCATGTGTACTTGTAGAAAACAAAAAAAGTTGTTTTCATTCTCATGGGAAACATTTTCATAAAAAGAACTCACATATTATTATTTCAAATTGTACTACCAGACACGTTTTCATTGTTTTTTTTTTCCTAATATGTTTTCTAATTAATCTACCAGACGCATTTTCAAATGAAAATGCAAATTCGTTTTCTTGTTTTCATTCTCTGAAAATATTCTAAGAAAACATCTCCGAAAACGTTACCGGACGGGCCCTTAGGGTTTTGCAGAATCTGGTGTAGGATGGACTATATATGCCAATGAATCCACTAATCATTCGCTGACACGTGTATTATTTTGTTTAATTAATAATATAATTAAATTACTCGTCTAGTCTGGTTTTCAACGGTTTGGAGTAAAAAAAACCGGTCCAACCCTGCTCAAAGCTGGTTCAGCCGGTTTCTCTACCGGTTCTATGATTTTTTTAATATAAAAACCGAACCAAACCACCTAAAACAGTCTTATTCGGCCGATTCGGTAGGGTTTTTGGTAATAATGCCCACCCCTACTTAAATTCGTACAAAGTAGAAAGGAGAAGAAGCATGCATATCCCATCTTTACCACTAGAAAATCTCTCTGTTAATAACCAAAACCCTATGGAAGTCAAGACACAGCCATTGAATATAGCCCTTATTGTTATTTAAAAAAAATTAGGAAAACCCCAAAAAGCCAGAAAATAAAACCAAAGAAATAATGTTTGTTACATTGCCCTATCCTCATGTTTAAAAGTCCAAAGAAAAGATTCGGCACCACCACAGAACTTTGTACTTTTATTTTTTCATCAATAATTATCATCGTCTTTTCTAAAAACAAAAATCCAAAGCCACTGCCAAGGGAGAAGAAGCATGCATATCCCATCTAAACACAAAAATCCAAAGCCACTGCCACCAACCACTCCATTTCAGAAAGAACTTCGTACGAACCTGAATTGTTTGATATCATGGACCAATCGATATCTGATTGAGTCCAAAACTTGTTGGAACATCATAATGTTGTGGGAGGAGTCATTTGGTGAGTTTTGAGTGAAATCCAATTGCTAAAACTATGCAATACACCAACCACTCCATTAGAGAACGAACTTCGTACGAACTTGAATAGTCCAATTTCATGGACCAATCGATATCGGATTGAGTCCAAAACTTGGGGAACATCATAATATGGTGGGAGGAGTCATTTGGTGGTTTTGAGTGAAATCCAATGGCTAAAACTATGCAATACACCAACCACTCCATTTCAGAACGAACTTGCTACGAACCTGAATAGTCCGATTTCTTGGACCAATCGATATCGGATTGAGTCCAAAACTTGGGGAACAACATAATATGGTGGGAGGAGTCATTTGGTTGGTTTGGAGTGAAATCCAATGGCTAAAACTATGCAATACACCAACTACTCCATTTCAGAACGAACTTGCTACGAACCTGAATTGTCCAATTTCTTGGACCAATCGATATCGGATTGAGTCCAAAACTTGGGGAACAACATAATATGGTGGGAGGAGTCATTTGGTTGGTTTGGAGTGAAATCCAATGGCTAAAACTATGCAATACACCAACTACTCCATTTCTGAACGAACTTGCTACGAACCTGAATTGTCCGATTTCTTGGACCAATCGATATCGGATTGAGTCCAAAACTTGGGGAACAACATAATATGGTGGGAGGAGTCATTTGGTTGGTTTGGAGTGAAATCCAATGGCTAAAACTATGCAATACACCACCTACTCCATTTCTGAACGAACTTGCTACGAACCTGAATAGTCCGATTTCTTGGACCAATCGATATCGGATTGAGTCCAAAACTTGGGGAACAACATAATATGGTGGGAGTAGTCATTTGATTGGTTTGGAGTGAAATCCAATTGCTAAAACTATGCAATACACCACCACTCCATTTCAGAACGAACTTGCTACGAACCTGAATAGTCCGATTTCTTGGACCAATCGATATCGGATTGAGTCCAAAACTTGGGGAACAACATAATATGGTGGGAGGAGTCATTTGGTTGGTTTGGAGTGAAATCCAATGGCTAAAACTATGCAATACACCAACTACTCCATTTCTGAACGAACTTGCTACGAACCTGAATAGTCCGATTTCTTGGACCAATCGATATCGGATTGAGTCCAAAACTTGGGGAACAACATAATATGGTGGGAGGAGTCATTTGGTTGGTTTGGAGTGAAATCCAATGGCTAAAACTATGCAATACACCAACCACTCCATTTCAGAACGAACTTGCTACGAACCTGAATAGTCCGATTTCTTGGACCAATCGATATCGGATTGAGTCCAAAACTTGGGGAACAACATAATATGGTGGGAGGAGTCATTTGGTTGGTTTGGAGTGAAATCCAATGGCTAAAACTATGCAATACACCAACTACTCCATTTCAGAACGAACTTGCTACGAACCTGAATAGTCCGATTTCGTGGACCAATCGATATCGGATTGAGTCCAAAACTTGGGGAACAACATAATATGGTGGGAGGAGTCATTTGGTTGGTTTTGAGTGAAATCCAATGGCTAAAACTATGCAATACACCAACCACTCCATTTCAGAACGAACTTCCTACGAACCTGAATAGTCCGATTTCGTGGACCAATCGATATCGGATTGAGTCCAAAACTTGGGGAACAACATAATATGGTGGGAGGAGTCATTTGGTTGGTTTTGAGTGAAATCCAATGGCTAAAACTATGCAATACACCAACTACTCCATTTTAGAACGAACTTGCTACGAACCTGAATAGTCCGATTTCATGGACCAATCGATATCGGATTGAGTCCAAAACTTGGGGAACAACATAATATGGTGGGAGGAGTCATTTGGTTGGTTTTGAGTGAAATCCAATGGCTAAAACTATGCAATACACCAACCACTCCATTTCAGAACGAACTTGCTACGAACCTGAATAGTCCGATTTCTTGGACCAATCGATATCGGATTGAGTCCAAAACTTGGGGAACAACATAATATGGTGGGAGGAGTCATTTGGTTGGTTTGGAGTGAAATCCAATGGCTAAAACTATGCAATACACCACCACTCCATTTCAGAACGAACTTGCTACGAACCTGAATAGTCCGATTTCTTGGACCAATCGATATCGGATTGAGTCCAAAACTTGGGGAACAACATAATATGGTGGGAGGAGTCATTTGGTTGGTTTTGGAGTGAAATCCAATGGCTAAAACTATGCAATACACCAACCACTCCATTTCAGAACGAACTTGCTACGAACCTGAATAGTCCGATTTTCTTGGACCAATCGATATCGGATTGAGTCCAAAACTTGGGGAACAACATAATATGGTGGGAGGAGTCATTTGGTTGGTTTGGAGTGAAATCCAATGGCTAAAACTATGCAATACACCAACCACTCCATTTCAGAACGAACTTGCTACGAACCTGAATAGTCCGATTTTTGGACCAATCGATATCGGATTGAGTCCAAAACTTGGGGAACAACATAATATGGTGGGAGGAGTCATTTGGTTGGTTTTGGAGTGAAATCCAATGGCTAAAACTATGCAATACACCAACCACTCCATTTCAGAACGAACTTGCTACGAACCTGAATAGTCCGATTTGATGGACCAATCGATATCGGATTGAGTCCAAAACTTGGGGAACAACATAATATGGTGGGAGGAGTCATTTGGTTGGTTTGGAGTGAAATCCAATGGCTAAAACTATGCAATACACCAACCACTCCATTTCAGAACGAACTTGCTACGAACCTGAATAGTCCGATTTCATGGACCAATCGATATCGGATTGAGTCCAAAACTTGGGGAACAACATAATATGGTG